AAATTGTTTAAAACTAGCAACTTCAAAAATAAAACAAACAAAACTTTGCCAAAAAGGAGGTTTTTTGAGCAAAAATTGTAATAACGCAAGGGAAAAAAATTAAGTAATTTGGAATAAAAAACAATTTTCACTGGGTAACTTTTTCTACAAAATTATGCATTTTTCTTAAAAAGAAAAAAAAGTAATTTCACGAAAAGATATAAAACGGAAAAATATTGCATTAGAAAATGTTTCTAGAACATTAATTACAGATTTACAGAAGTTTTGTGAATTAGAGCGATGAATTTATATCACCTTTAAATAATTGAGATTTTAGCAAAAATGTACATTCTGATAAAGTAACTAACAGCGGCTGTATCGAATTGACTAGAAATCAACTTAAATACCGTATCTAATTAAATATACTTGAAAGAGCTTTAATTAAATGAAACAGATTTATATGCAAACTCTTTTAAATTAAAGCATGTTTGATAAATCACTTGATATAAAAAATTCAACGTTGAGGAGTACTTAAAAATGAAAAATAAATTAATTTATGACGTTATTTTATAAGCAAATAAAAGCAAAAATAGTCTAAACAACAGCTAAAATGGCTCAAAAGTGTCAGAAACGACCATAGAGTACTATTTGATGTTTTTATAAAAATATTTGCACAATAGTAACTACAAATTGTATCGAGTGTAAAATTGTGTTAAAATATTAATCCAGGAATTGTCAGGAAGTATTATTATGGAATCTTCTGTTAAATATTTTTTTTATCTTTTAATTCAAATGTTTTACATTGTTGAATAAAGAAAAGACGCTTAAATACTTTTGAGCATGTGCCAAATTTCTTTACTTTTAAAAACCGTTCTATAAATTTTATTGCCCATTTAGTTTGTACCCTTAAAGTTATGAGATATAAAAATTCCAATAAAGATTTTTTTATAAAAAGAGCTTTTCATTAAGTAAACCATCTTTTTATTTTTGGTTGGTAAGTATTAGAGTTTTGGGCCAAAAATAAGCATTTCTAAATTTAGTTCAATTTCTCCATACAAAAACTTGTCTGGAATCTCTGAGTATTAGTAAAGATCTCGTCATAAGCTAGGATTTCCCGACCGCTTTAAAAGTTTTTAATGGACTAATTAAAGCGATGTATCTAAGTGAAAAAGCAAAAGCAGCATAAAAACGGCGACACTTTAAATGTGAATCACTCAACTTTCTCTCAGCAAATCTTTTGCGAAAAACTAAAAAATAAAATTGCTCTTGACGCAGTCTGCATAGATTCTAACAAGCTTAAAACCTCTGACGTCACGCAAATTATTCTGAAACAAAGGCTTTTGTACCGCGAAATGGTCAAGATTATGACTGACTCTCCCATCGGAGATTATCCTCCCTTTATGTAAAAATTATTCAGCCCGGTGTTTTTTCCTAAACTAATTCGGACATTCCGTGTCGAATCTATTTCGTGAAGGGCCACCAGGGACACCTTTGCACCGAAAACAATTCCGACGCAATCTGTTTACAGCGTTTAGAATCGCTCCGGAATTAAGCGAATTTATTCCGGGAGTCGATATCGTATATCAGTCACGTCGCAGGATAACGGTTGATTTGCCTAGAAAACGCTCCATAGACGCGTAGATAACCTCCACGTGCAATTTTTATGTTCCGGATTTGACACCGATTGCATTCCCGGATTTTCCACCTGGAATTTAATAGCAATATGCTGAAAACTTGTTTACAAGCCGCCGGTAGCAACCCTCGACGAAATTAAATAAAGTCGACTGAAAAAACTCGTTCCGGTAATGTGCGACACGTCGAAGGTGGCCAAGGAAGACTTCAATACACGAGGAGATGAAGCTCGAAATGGTGGATGCGCCGGGATAACGATTTTAACCAAACACTTGAAATAAATAATCTCAGGGAATACAAAATATGAATTGCGAAAATTTTATTCCCTTTTGCATTACCTAAATGGGGATATTTCAGGAGAAAATAAGCCATTTATCGTCTCGTCAAGTGTGAAATGTATCGATGATTCGCCGCTTAAAAATTCGCCAATTGTTATCAGGACAAAGCCACTTAATTACAACTTGGTAAAACTTTGGCCTAAACTTTAAGTCGGTTGATTATGAATTCTAATTAAGGCTTGTTTGGGAAAGTTTCTTACTTTAAATGGACCGGAGTTTTTGTCGATGCAGTGGATTAAAGACTTACATATTCATACGTGAAGTTTAAATGGACTTAGGGGAGTTTATGCTAATTGAAACAATTTTGTTGATTATGAGCTAGTAATGCAAAAATTTTTTGGCACAAATTTAATAAAGGATCAAAAATCAGCAAGCAAGTGTTATAATGTATCTCTGAAACTTTTAATTAAAGTGATGTACTTGACTGAAAAACTGACTCTAAAATAGACTTTGAATGGGAGGCACTCAGGCTTTAATCCTTTGACAAAAATTTATCACAATTACGTGTTTTGAAGCTAGAAACTATTTCAAAGTTGTTTAAATAAAAGAGAACTTTTGTTTATAATTAATATCAATAATTGAGACGGGTTAATTTTTACTTAAATTAAGCTCATTTGAATGCTAATTACTTTGCCTAAGTTATCTCTTACTTGGTAACATTTTCAGGTTGATTTTCGTTGAAAAGGTAAATGATAAATATTTATTTGGAGTCTCTTGAGAAAATTATTCAAAGTTTGAAAGAGAAGGATTACAAATCCAGACAGAGCAAATTTTCACCAGAATAAGAAAGACTACAGTATTAATAATTATTTTTTTGATAATCTTGAATAAATAAAATTTGAGTAAAGTTGTGCAAAGCACTAAGACTTTCTTTGGAACCTTCAAGTGTGACAAATTGGAAGAAACTTTGTTTGAGTGTTCTCAAACAAACACAAATATGATCCTTCTCCAAATTAGGTTTGCACTTTGAGTCAAAGTTAACAATCGAAGAATAATTGTAACACTCTCACCCAATCAATTTTCCCTCCTCAAACCGTATTTATTTCGCTCACAATCCTTGTTTAGTGTTATTCCCACATCGCAGCCTCTATTGATTAATAGCTTCAGTGAAATTTGAACTCATTAGTCCTGGTTTTGCACGTATCCGTTTTGCAATACATGTGCACCACTTTATCTTTTTTCTGTCGGAATTAGTTTAGTTAGTCCACCTTTCGCTTATCACATCTGTTTATCAGCGATTTTTCCGCCATTGTGCGTCCGGGAATGATTAATGTCGGACGCGATGTCGCCGAGTGATTTAATTCACACCTGGGCCCATTGTAATTTACTGTGAACAGGAAATGTAATTGTACGGACCTGCGATATCGCGTGAAATATGGTTTGTGGGTGCAATTAGCGTCGGTACGGGCCTGGAGAATCTTTCAAGCGCGATAAAAATAAAGGAATTTATCTAAAGGAGAAATAAAGTTTTCAATGGATAAACAAACAGAAGGCAAAGTTAGAGCTGTGAAAAATGAATATAAATTATAAAAGTCGGGAAATTTAATATTGTTGTTTACATTTTTTAGTCAACTAGGGCGAGTACCACCGACTATTTGCTAAAATAAATTGTCAATATTTGAATAATTTTTCAAATTAATTAGCGTTTGGAGTATTTAACACCAAAAGTTACAAAATGTGATCAAATATAGGCAACATGTTTTGTTGTGGCAAACTTTTCCGTTTCTGTGTAACCAAAATCCAAATAATACATGAAACTTTGGAATTTCTCCAAGAAAGCAGCCTGTGATAGAAATAACTTATCGTCTGTAGTTACATTTTTTTTTGAATATAAGGACACATTTGAGAAGTTAAGTTAAAATCGTAAATACGTCGCTATAAAAAATGAAATCTTTTCAGGCGGAGACAAACTAAAAAATCTCTCAAGGAAAAAGATGCAACGTTTTAATAGACTTGAGCAGAATTTTAAGAAGAAATAAAATAAGAGAAACTTTTTAACTTAATTTCCTTCAACCGCTCGCTGTGTAAAACAGTTAATTTCATAAAAACGCGCTAATCCTGAAAAATCGCATTATAATGAAAAAATCTCGCCTGCTACCGCAATTAATTAGCGCTAGTTATCGATTCTAGCTTTAGGTTTTCAATTAAAGTCGTTGGATCCGCATCGAATTATCCGTCAACATTTCATCGGAAAGTCAACAGGAGTCGATCTCTTGATTAATATTCCTTTTGTTCTTTCTTTGTCCGCGAAAAGGCTGCAACGCTGTAGCACACTTTAAGACGAAGAGCTTTGTTTCTCGGGCACACCACTTGGCCCGAGAGTCTCGACGCACCTGAACAAGGACTCTTCAATTTTCAATTGCAATACGTCTAAGAATCCGGATTTTTCCATATGTTTTGTCGTAAAATAATTACGTGGAATGGATTAGTCCGGTATGTAATGTGTTTAAAAACGTTAGAATTCTTTGTTTGTTATTGTGGAAGGATAACAAAGGATAGTCACATCCCTGCATTAGCAACAAAGCAAATATTGTGTGTTTATTGAAGTAAAAGTGTAACAATAAGCGTTCCATTAATTTTATGAGCTGAAAACATTTAAAAAATGTTTTGACCTAGATCGTATCCCATTATTCGAATCAATGCAATTATATTACGACTTGAAAGCTTGTTGGAAATATTAAAATCGGGTAAAATTCTGGTCCTGAAATCGAATGTAATTGGGTCAGATGGGCATTTGCCCGAATCGCCTTTGTCAGGACCTTCGCTCCTTAATACAGAAAAAGTCCGTTTTGTTTGTGAAAGTGGCACGAAATTACCGGTTTTCGATTCGTTTCAGGACTTTTAATTCAATTTTATTGCAATATTTTTCGACAAATATCTCGTAATTAGGGTTTTGTGTAGGCCTAGTATTGTTTTCAATCGGAACTTTTAATTAGAAGCCTGAAACTTTGATGTACTCTAATTTCAGCGATCTTTCTCTCCCCCAGTTGATTGAAAACTACTCGATTTGATGGAGAGGCTCTCGAAAACTGATTAAATCCTTTTTTGCAGATATCCGACGATGATCGCATGTCGTTAACGACGGCGGTGTCCGATGAAGATGACGGCGAAAGCGTTATGAACTCGCCTTATAAAGCGAAACAGACGGGAACCGCCGCTGCCTCTTTCAACTGCACCGGAGCCGTCCGGAAAGCCGGGTAAGTACTCCGGAGCCGCTTATTTGCAGAGTTACGTGAAGTGGAACGCAATAAGTCCTGATACAATAAGTACACAAGGCCAATAGTGTTTTATCCGGAACCGGAAACATTTCCGGTCATAATATTCTTTCCCAGCGACTGTGTACGATTTAAAATTGTTTAATTCGGTGCATAACACAAGGTAGTATTCAATTTTTGCGATTTCCAGATTGTAAAAGTTGTGCCTATTTGTTCGACAATCGTCTTGATGAAACTCCACAGGTCTTGGCCTCGTAAAAAGAACTCATAACAAGCGACGGCTCGATAATGGGCTTCATGTCCACACTAATAGGCTCTCGAAACGGTCACGTCTTCAATAGCCAAACTCCGAGTCCACTGATTATTGCACGTCTACGTTTAACACATTTGCTAAAGTTGGATAATAAAACCTAGTCCAGGTTCAATCCCGAAGCGGTGTTCTATATGGGGATTAAAAGAATCAACAAAGGGACTGTAATTTGACTAATTATTACGAAATAAACGTTTTCTGAGTCAATATTGATCCAAATTGTGCTTTTATTAAAGTTAGCCGGGGGCTATTGTGACCTAATTGAAATTTTAATCCAAGGTGTAACGCGAAAAATCCTATTTGGGGTACACAAATTTTCATAATCGCCTTAATTGGGTCATTGTTGATTTTAAAGCTTCGAAGAAAGGGAATCAAATTATTTCACTGGAGGTCTGTTGTCTGAGAGAATCCCTTACTTTTGTCAAAGTTTCACAAGAGTTTTGGGGACTTTCTTCTACAATTTTGCAAATTATTGCAGATTTTTCATTTGTAAATTTCATTGTAATTTTATTGATCTCACTTGAAACAAAGGAATCTGAATTATCCTCTCTTTTAAAAACCTGGTTATTACTCACTTTTGCCCAAAATCCCCTGCAACTTTTTCACTCAAGATCATTAATCACCGATTGATCTCGTCGTCGGAAATTCCTCGACTGAAAACTTGAATAGCGTAATATTTCAAATTTTACAACAATCACAAGTCTGGAAAATACCGAAAGTTGTCTCGGAAATAAAAACTTTGCTTCAAAAACTTAATAAAGTCGCATCTTGAAAACTTGGAATGAAATAATGCAAAATTGAAAATACATATTGGATTGGAAATAGTTACCTGAAAAAAGCCACAATCCATTAAAAATGAGTGCGCAAAGAGTTGCTGAAATCCTGCAAAACTCGCTATTAACGACCTGGAAATAATACAATGAATATTCAGTTGCTACAATAAATCATCGTAGTTTCAACCGAATTTTTTTATTAAGGAAACTGCGTGTATAAATAAGCTTTGTAGGGTGATATTTCCGTATTAATCATTGTTAAAAAGCTTTCGGGCGGTTTAATCAACGAAAGCGAACTCGTTTATTGGCAAATTAATCATCACTTCTAAAATATGAAGTTTTTTGGGCCATAAAACTAAAGTGTCGAGCTTTGCTTTGTCGAAAATGCCTCGTAAGCTCAAATCAAACCGATTTGTATTCACTACTCCATAACCGTAAAAAATATTCAGAACATTGGAATTAATTCAATCCGGGTCTGACTTTGTGTTGTCTGTCGAGCATCCGGATTATTAATTTTAATATTAGAGTAAAATTTTAAGTCGTAATAGCCAATAATCTCTCAGTAGCTTTGCGAAGCTTCCGACTCGAATCCGCCAGCCTATCTTAATAAAGTGAAGCTTTTTCCTCGATTATTTTTCATGGCGCACGAAACTTGAACGCTTAATAAAGAACAAAGTGTCAGACATGGAGTTTTGTATTTATTGCACGAGAAAAATAAACGAACAAAACTTCTAATAATTCTCCTTGAAGCTGGACCACTGCTAAACCAAGAAATTAAAACGCGATTCAGGGGTTATAAATATGTAAGACTGCAATTACTCAAGTTTTAATCCTTGAAGGGTCGATGAATAACTGAAACGCTGAAAAATACGCCGTTAATCATGAAACTTTCCGAAAAATTATTGAAATGGAGACGGAATAATTAACATAAGAAGCCGAGACGAAATACCAACTTTCCCAATCTATCAATGCAAAGTTTATTGTTTGAACTTAAAGCGTAATAAAACGGAATTATCTCTCACCTGAAACTTGGCCCGAGCTAAATTTGAAATTAATCCCGTTTTAAATCTGATTACGGCGAAGATTTTCTAGTCTTTTGACATACGGCTCCATATCGATGCAAATTTAATCCGGGTCTCGGCTAATTGTCAAAGCTCGATTTTCGTCTAGAGTAATTTTAATAAATTCTCCTTTTGTAAACTCGTTTCGAGTCTAATGAGTCGGAATCTGCTCAAGTCTGCAATTTATTTTATTTAAAACAGGTGTTAATTACGGCTCCAATTAAAGTAATGGAAACCGCGATAGAAATGGAAAAAGTTGTGCAAATTTTTGGCGCGACTGTGGAGGAAATTTATTGCCGGAGTCGATATTGATGATTTCGGGATCGGGATAGGCGCCAGGAACGATAACGAGAATCCCACGCAAGATTAACCTGCCGTTTAAATTCCAATATATATTTTTATTTCGGAAGCGGGGTCCCAGAACTATCGACGAAACCAGCCAAGTAGCGATTTGAAAGCCAATAAATTCTAATAAATTCACAAATAAATATTTTGGCAAGGTTTTATGCAAAACCATTGATTTATTTCTTTATTTATTTACGGGAAATTGAAAAAATGTAAAAAACTTGATCTAGACACTAAAAAATCTCCTGGTTCAGTGTGAGAATTTTCTGAAAAGATTTTCAGGATTGCTTTGAAAAATAATAATAGATATTTATTTTCTCCTGTTTATGGTTGGTAAATTTTTGTTAAAGAATGTTTGTATATATTACAAATATGTATTTTGAATATTTTCAAAGAATTTCGATAAATTGCTACGAAATTCTAAAAACAGTTGAAAGATATTTGCCAAAAATTTGGAACTTTAAATAAATAAAATAAACATTTCAAAATTAAAGGAGTGTTTGAATAGTCTTATTGCAAAAACAGCGTTTCAAAACGATGCTTTTAGGTGTACTTTTAGCAAAAAATTCTAAGTTTGCAGGAAACGCTTTGACGTAATTATAATTTAATTAGCAAATGGTCCAATTAGACTCTGAGGCAATTAGCCCACGCGTAAATAAATTGTTCTAAAATAGTCCAATTTATCATTTTTCTTACGTAATAATTTCCCCTCGCGTTTCTTAACAAATCTTTGATTAAAGCTCGCTATTTTTTCGCTGCGAGAGACCAAATTAAGCTCTTGACAGGTGTCTGTAGTCGACTAATTACTATTCTAATTTTTTAAATTTATACGAAACTCGGGCATCATTTATTCAGGGAGTAATTTCTATGCATAGCAATTCGGCCTTTGAATGTCTGATTACGAGAGAAAAAAACTCAGTTTTCAAATTATAATTTATTATTATAAGCAATCAACAGTCGAGTATTTGATTTTGGTTTTAATTTCTTTTTCTCGTTTTTTCAATTCTTTGAAACACTCGCACTTGAGGGGATTTTCGACGATGCTCAGGAGTTGGGTCTTGTTGAGGACTTTGGTGAGGAATTCTTCGGATAAACACCTCAAGGAATCTCCGTTCAAATTGAGGTGTTTGACGGATTGCAAAGTGGCGAAAGTGTGACCGTCGATTCGGGGAATGTCGTTCCAGTCTAAGAACAAATCACCAAACTTTGCACTCCCTAAAAATACTTCCCGATCCAGTTGCTGGATCTTGTTATAACTGAAATAAAGATTTGCAACTTCTTGTTGCCTCCAGAAGTTTTTGAAAGCTTTCGCCGGGAGCTCCTCTAGGAAATTGTGGGTTATCGAAACTGTGGTTAATTGGGGACAACCCGGAAACCAGTTGCCACTCCAGTGTTTCAATTCGTTGAAATCAAGGATAACTTTTTCCAACACTGGCATATTATCAAACGCACGATCCGCCAACATTCTGATTCTGTTATGTGACAAATTCAGATTTTTCACTTGGACAAAATTAAAAATCCCTTCTTTGATTTCTTTAATATTGTTCAAACTCAAACTGAGGTTCGTTAGAGGTTTCAAATCCTTAAAAGTGTTAGGTTTGATTTCATTTACGCCGCAATCGTCAATCACCAACTCTTCCAAATTGTCAAAGAACGAGAACTTCACTTCCCACAAATAGGGAAATTTCTGATTCACTATAATTTTCCGTGTCATGTTGAATCCCTCGGGGAAGGGTTGCCGGGCGAAATAATTCTGCGTTTGTCCATTGTCGTCATACCAAATCAAGTCGGCGTTGTTGGTAATCGCCCTACTGGACACCACCATGAACAAAACACCCGTCACGAGCAACATGATTCCGAGCACTGGAACTTTTCCGCAATAATTCAAGCGAGACGTGACACAAATGCGAACACAGAATTAAATTCATTCGATAATGCAAACAATTAGAACGGCTTCCATCGAGACGAGTGAACTTGGGGTCGTCTTGTGACCCGTAAACGCCATGAAGTGGACATTTATTTTAAGTGTGGTGAGAGTACTTCGGACGGGGGAATTGCCAAATGTTTCATTCCAGTCGCGTGTGATCTTTGATTGATGGAATAATAAACGAGACGAGAGCATAGTACAAATTTGGCTTGTTTATTATTTCGCGGAGATTCTGCGTCTAATCGGTCAAGGTTGGGAGGTTCGAATTGGTCATCAGTATTTATGGAAAAATGGGGATAAGGAATTCACATGCTGATTCCACTGTTTATCTAATCTAGTGTTTTTACGGGTTTTCCGGAAGGAGATTCACAGCTTCTCAGAATTGCAAAAATACCCTTTTCAATATTTTACTGTCTCAGATTCAACAAAAAGTTTTCAACATTTCTTATTTTCCACACCAAAAGACTTTTTTCTAATACTTCTAAATGTCTATCAATACTTATTTTTGAGGTTGAACTATACTGGAAAGTAAGATGTTTCTGGCACACAATAATTACTTTTTATTGTTATACTCTCTATAATCGTCATCTTTTTGAACATGTTGTTTTACCTTTCGACCTGTCATTTTAAATTTTATTTGATGTTCTACAGACATCTGTTTTCGAATCCAAGAATAACTCGATTACAAATTATCTTGATCTCTCGATACAAATTAGTCAAAACAAAACAAAGTATAATTCAATATGAGTGGGAAAAGGTATTTTTATTGCAATCATCCGAGAAAGGTAATTTTCTACGTTTAATAAGAAAACGCAATGAATTTAACATTATTGTATCTCTATTATTGTATCTGCACCAACACAAAAACAAGTAGCTACGATCAGAAAACCTTAATATTCGTAGGAGTAATCTGAGTATAATTTTTGCTTTTTATTTATTTACATTATAAATTATATTTTAGGATCAGTTCTTTTTTAGAACAAAGTAATCTAGTTATGCATTTATAAAATTATATTTGAATTTTTAAAATAATTGCTTTTTTCCCGATTCAAAATATTGATAGTATGCATTTTATCTTATGAAAATTTAAATCCATTTTGTCACATACATTTCACTAATATTAGAAATTTAATTTAACAATAGCATATCGATCAGAAGGTGCGAAACTAAATTGAAAAAAACTAATTCTTGGTATTAGCATTTTTGTCAATTTTCAAATAATTAATTTTGGTTTGTTTCTTTAATTTTTATGACTAAAAACAGAAAGATAAATAGATGGTGACTCTACAATGATAGTTATATTTTATTTTATTTATTTGAAATTTATGCAATTTTTTACAGAAAATTACAAAATTACAGTTTTCAAACTATTTACTCTACCGTTCCGTAGATGGCATGTCTCTAGCCAGTTCCAAAATGTACCACCAGAAGAATTTGTCGCTTGTGTACAGACGGAAAGCCGTTCAAACAACTTTTCAAATAAAAAAAGAAAAATCGAATTTTTAAGAAATGCAGTAAACAAATTGTTTTTTTTTTACAATTGGATGTTGTTCCTGAATTAAAAAAGCACCTCACACACACAGTAACACCGAGTTTTTATCTCATTTTGACTATTTGTAACGAATTGCAAAATTCAATAGTTTTTATTTTTTATGAAAAAAGTCATTATTTAAATGCATGAAAAAAATACAGTAACATAAGTAGGAAATCTACAATACACCAAAAATAAATCAAAAAATTCTTCCGTGCAGTTTTGTTATAAAAAAAAATAAAATGGCCAAAAATAGAGGTTTTTTTAATTTATTTTTAAATGGCACGGACAAAAAAATTCCAGAATTTTTACAGAATTTTTAAATAACGATTTATTTTTTTATTCAGTATAGTTCAACCTTAAGAACGAAATTTTTTCGTTGACATGAGGCTCAAGGCTCTGAACCCGCAGCAACATTTTTTGTTTCTTTCTTAATGCGGAATTAGTTTCGTCCACAAAAGCTAAACGCGAGCTGCGAGTCGACTATCAATTTTCCTCGTCGAGAACAAGCAAGCAAGTCTTTGTGACAAGAAATATTCCAGGTTGCTATCACCTAGTCTGTTTCCATTGAGTCCATTGTTCGAGTTGAAACTAAACACAGCATTTGCATTTCTCGCCTACTCCTCGAACTTGTGATTACGTTAACCAAAGTGTAATCCCATTTTGAAAATAGCACAGTCTTTGTTGTTAATTGCCGGAATCAGAGATCGACAGACAGTTCGATCCTTGAAACTAACAAGATGTCTTGGGAGTCGATAACGAGGCAAGGAGTTACGTGCATTTTCCAACTTAATTAAGTTGCAGGAGATTTACGCCATCTTCTGTCGTATTAAACAACACATGCGTTTCACTGCGGTATTCCCCGGCATTACCATAACCGTAATTGCTCAAGCGCAAAAAGGCTTGAAAACCACATTTTGCAAACTAGTTTCAAATTTTATCCCACATGTGGGTTTAATTAGCGCCCCGAAAACACAATTTTTCGTCACTTTAGCATCCATTTTTCATTGAAATTTTTCAGTGACAGTTCGAAGAGATGTACTTGTCATTTTTCACTGGCTGCAAAATTGAAATTTCAACGCACAACAGCGGACAAAGAAAGCGTTTTGACGTGACGGTTTAATCTATTTGGGTCCACTTAGGACCCAGAGTTGTTTATTACACCGATGAGGTCTTTGATGTTGGAAGTGATCGAATTTCGGCAGTTTTTGTCTGGGGATTTATTGGCACGGGGAGGGAAATAAGACGCACATTATATAAATTTATTTCTGTTACACAGTGCGGACAGTGAAAAGTGACGGGAGTTTATCGGGAATGGCTTGCTGATGGATTTTCAAGCACAATAGAGAGATGCTTCAGGGGATGGGAAAATGTGCAGAGGGGTCGAGTTAGAAAAGCAGAAGAAACGGCTTATCTACATACACTTCTAAATTTTGATAAACACATTTTTATAACTTATTAATTTTTGCAACGAAAAATTTCAGTTGAAAAAAAAAATAGGACATTGTAGTAGGACATACAGCATGTCTCAAAAATATGTTAGAATACAAACTTGTGTTTTTTTAAATGAAACACCACATGTTTCTTAGCGTTTTATTTGGATGTAGATTTTTATGAAAATGTTTTTAAGCTAAACTTTTATTGGTCGATTTTACTTCGTTTTAAAAATAAGACCTTTTTAAAAATCATTACACAAAAACTAAGACATCTAGAAATATTTTTTTTACTACCGCAAAGAAGAAGGTACAAACTATAAGGTTGTAACATTTTATTAGTGTGTTGCATTTGCAAAGATAAAAAAATAAAGGCGTTTGTTAAAAGTTCAATAACTATAAAAATTTAATGGAACACCCTATTCATTGTTTTTGCATTTAAAAAAATATTAAATTGTCTTTCTAAAATTATTTATTTTTAGGTGTTTATAATCAATAACTAAAAAGATATTAACGTTAAACATTAAAAAAATAATTACTATTGTTTCAGTAGCCAAAAAGTGCACAGTTGCACAAGAGATGAAAGAAATATCACTTAATATTCACATTTGTGTTAAACTGAATCTATCATAATAAATAATTTGAATTTCAGTATTTATAACGACTTTTACAATCTCTGGATAAATCTTCGGATAAGTGATCTGTGGTGGAATTACTTTGGTTCCCATAGTATCAACAATGCTCAGATATTGATAGGCATTATTGCTACAATTAATATTAAATGTTAAATATCTTTATCCACGACTATTGTATAATGTACCCCTTATACATCTGTTTGCTCGATCTTAATAATACCCATTAATCACTAGTGATTAATGAGTCATTAATCACTCTCATTAATCACTGCTGTCAGAAGCTTCCTTGATTTAGTTATTATATTATATTGTTTTGCTACTAACAATTATTGGTTTTTAAAATTTTATCGTGTAAACCACTAAATAGTTTCAATTCAGTTCTGTATATATAAGAAAAATTAAAAAAAAAATTTTTTCCTTGACCAAATTCGGACCCGGGACTCGCGGTTGGAGGCAACCAGCATCGACATAGAGCCATTACCAACTTTGAATGTGTGTGTCGTATATCTGTTTCTTAACATACTTAATGTAAGAAAATTTTCCAACACAAAAGCTTCAACAAAAATAGTAGTCGTGGATAAAGTATAGTATACTACTTCATTTATCAATTCTAGACATTAAAAGTTTTTTTTTTTAGATAGAATTTATCAATCTATTAGATGCAAAAATAAAAGGGTGTTCCATTTAAATGTTTTAAGTTATTTCATTTTTAACAAACTTCTTAATTGATTAATTTTTAAAATGCAAAACACTAAGAAATTGCTACAGTTTTAAATTCTGTACTTTTTTTCTTTGCAGAAGTAAGAAACAATTGTTTTAATTGTCTTAGTTTTTGTGTAACAAATTTCTAAAAAGTGCATGTTTTCGTTATTTCTAAAACTAAGCGAAACCGACTAATAAAAATTTAGCGTAAAAACATTGTTTTAAAAGACATCCAAAAATGCCAAGAAACATACGGTGTTTCATTTAAAAAAACACACGTTTGTATCGTAACTTATTTTTGGGACATGCTGTATGGTTAAATAACTTTAGGTGATGCACTAGATTAGTATCTATCAATGTCCTATAGAATATTTATTATTTTACTATTTAAAGGTCACTAACTCGCTGAGCCACCCTGTATGTGTCTTTATCGTAGTTACACTCTGATTTGTTGATAATTCGACCCAAATTGGGTGTACTTTGGCCAAAATTTGATAAATTTTGGCCGAAATTAACATATCAAAAAGGTCATTACCATATGAATCACTCTTAAGAGCACCCTTGCTCTGTAAATTGACAGCAGATAGCGCCACCGGTCTTCATTAGTATCTCCCCGAGATGAAATGTTTTTCCACGCCTAGAGACATATCGACCGTTTCTTATTTATATTTGCCGACTAGAGCGAAATTCAGCTTTAGCATCGACCTAACGAGCACAATACAGAGTGTCTCATAAACAAAACTACAAAAATTGCTATTTCGCAGAAAACAATTGCTTTCGTTGATTTAGCATCCGTGGTAAACGCTCGTTTTGGAACGTTTTAAATATTAAACCGGGACAAACCGGCACTAATTACGTTTTGAATAGGATTGTAATTTTCTGTGTGAGTGGCTGCGTTTGTTGTCGCAACTGTTGGTTTCGACAACGAATTTTTGGGGAACAATTAATTAACACGTGATGGATGGCCGGTGTTGATTAATGTTACGGTCGCAACGTCTTGCAATTAACAAAGAAGATTTGTCGTTGAGAGGATTTAAACTGTCACTAGCAAAGATTTTTATTTCTTGGATTTTTTTATGTAAACTCTTCACGTGTCGCTGATACTCGAGTATTGGCACGTTTTATGTGCTGTGCGAACTCTCCATCCATCAACAGAAAGATAAAAAGGGCCCAAGTGCAAAAAACAACACAAACAAAAGGATACAAAGCCGACATTTTTGCTCGATTGGGCCTGGAAGGAGTGGCGACTTTTGACCCGATATACAGTTAAAACTAAAGTGTGGAAGCTATGATAATTTCTTGGAAAAAAGCTTTAATTAAGATACCACACAAAGATACTCAAACACAACATATTGAACTACACTACTCCAAAAAATTAAAGGAACAAAAAATTTTCCAAAATTTTTTGGTGATTTTTGAAAGGCTGTAAGTCATCGAAAATTTGTAAAACATTTAAGAAACAATACTGCTTAATTTTTGTAAAAAAATCATAATAATGTTTTAGATTTTTTTTAATTTGTAAAAAATTCAAGAAACAATACTGATTAATTTTTTTAAAAAAATGACAAATATTTTTTTTTGATATTTCCCCGAATTTTTTTTTCAAATATAACTAATGCAAAATTGTAAAGAAAAGCTGAAATATACTGCTCCACAAAAGTTAAGGAAGTCGCGTTATTTTTACAACAAACAAATTTTATTCTTCTAAGTATTATGGAATCCAGTAAAAACAAAAAAGTAAAAGATATCTGCCCTTATCTCACTTTTAATTAATTATTAATTAATGTTTTAATAATTTATTGATTTAATTAATTATTGTAATTATTGCACACTTCCTTAACTTTTGTGGAGCAGTTTAGTTATTTTTGTTACAAGTACCTAAAACACAGTTTTAAAAAACGTTTTATGTACGTGTTACAAACAACATTTTTTTGTTAAAGCTCTAAAAACACGAATTCACACCTCTTATTAATTGAATAAAATTCGACACCATAGTAACCAATTTTATTTTGTAGTCCGGAAAAACTGTTTTTGGGGACTAGGTACCTAAAATAGCCTTTTTGCGTACTTTTTATTGAGTCCGGAAAAGACTCATTTTAGGGACTCAAGTGAGTCCCTAAAACAGCTGTTTAAGAGAGCGTATACAAAAAAAATGTTTTTCTCATCTTGACGAAGATTAGAATGTTCAGAAACAATTTCAACAGAAAGATAAAAAGGGCCCAAGTGCAAAAAACAACCCAAACAAAAGGATACAAAGCCGACATTTTCGCCCGATTGGGCCTGGAGGGAGTGGCGACTTTTGACCCGATATCCAGTTAAAACTAAAGTGTGGAAACTCTGGTTTTATTGGCAATAAACTCGTCCACTTTATGTTGTAATTAATGCCCGGTTTATTATGCCATTTGCTTGCCTAATTAGGTGCCATATTTTCATCAACCACCCGGCCGCAATCTTCGGGTAATTAATATAGTGCTGGGGGTATTCGTGACAGATTTAGCAGTTGTGTGAAGCCTCGAGCATCGAATGTATCGATTGGTTGCACCTAATAATGCGACCTGGGGTTGTATCACGCCGATAACGAGCTAAAAGCGACTCTTTGAAGCGTATCAAAGCCGAATTGGAATTTTTTTCTGTTTATAGATTTCTCAGTGTGAAGAAATGGCTGTTGAGGAAGAAGCACCAGATCGAGTTGGCCCGCAAACGGGGCTGGAAGGGTTACTGGGTGTGTTTGAAGGGCACGACTCTGCTGTTTTATCCTTGCGACTCACGCGAGGGCCGCTCCGTGGAGGCGGCGCCCAAACACCTCATCATCGTCGACGGCGCCATCATGCAGCCCATCCCAGAACACCCCAAGAGAGACTACATTTTCTGCCTAAGTACGGCGTTCGGTGACGCCTACTTGTTCCAAGCGCCTTGCCAGGTAACACCATCCAACTCACTCCATTTTAGCAAAATTCGATTTTTAACGTTTATTTAGCTCGATTTTAACTACTCCTACAGCTTTTTTTATTATTTTATGCAAAAACCAAAATAAGACAATAAACTAATTTGTTGTGGTTTGTTGCTACCTCTGGCTATTTTTTTAAAAAACTTAAAAAGTAAATTAAACCGTAGGAAAGTAGGTACATACAATTCTTTGCAATTCATTTTAACGACTTTTTAAAGTTTATAGAAATATTTGATTTTCTAGAATTTACTTATTATTTGTCTTTAAAGCTGACAAATACGTTATACTAGGATGATGTCTTTTGGTGCGACTTTCAGAATAAACTTTAAAAAAATATATAGTATCAACATTTTATATTACTTTGTTTGTGTAGATATGAAATTAAACTGATTTTAAAGAAAGCTATGATAATTTCTTGAAAAAAAGCTTTAATAAAGATACAATACAAAGATACTGAAACACAACATATTGAACTACACTACTCCAAAAAATTAAAGGAACAAAAAGTTTTCCTAAATTTTTTGGTGATTTTTGAAACTGAAAGATAATTTGTAAAAACATTTAAGAAACAATACCTACTGCTTTATTTTTGTAAAAAAAAATCAAAATAATGTTTTAGATTTTTTTTAATTTGTAAAAAAATTCAAGAAACAATACTACTGATTAATTTTTGAAAAAAAAAATCAAAAATATTTTTTTTAGTTTTTTTTCGATTTTTTTTATATTACAATGCAATTATTACATTATTATAACTAATGCAAAATTGTAAAGGAAAGCTGAAATAGTTATTTTTGTTACAAGTACCTAAAACACAGTTTTAGTTTTAGTTGCTGTTTCCGGACGTGGTGAAACCGAGTCTGGAATAGCAGATGAGTCTGTAAAAACGTTTTAGGTACGTTTTACAAACAACATTTTTTTGTTAAAGCTCCCAAAACTCGAATTCACACCTCTTATTAATTGAAAAAAATTTGCCACCATACTAACCAATTTTATTTTGTAGTCCGGAAAAACTGTTTTTGGGCACTGAGTACCTAAAATAGTCTTTTTGCGTACTATTTTGTTGAGTCTGGAAAAGACTCATTTTAGGGACTCAAATGAGTCCTTAAAACAGCTGTTTTCGGGAGCGTATACAATTTTTTTTTATTTTGATGAAGATTAGGCAATGTTCAGAAACAATATGTACAATTGTTCCTTTAATTCTTTTGCAAAATTTTGACTAATCGGTCCGAGAAAACAGTTTAATGGATCGGTTTAAAAATTAGCATAGCTGTGGGGGATACTTTGAGCTGTAAAAACACCTAAAAACATTAGTCTCTCCATATATATTAGTGAATACGCAGTAGATTTACTAAAACAACGCAAAAAGTTACTTTTTTGTTTTGTTTAAATTAATGTTAAAGGTGAAAAAATATATTTTCCAAAAAATTATAAAAGGATCTTATACGACATTTTTTCCTGTTTTTGACACCACCCTTATATTCTCTGTGTAGTCATTGGTTGCTGAGATATCGATGATCAAAGACAAGATGATTCTTTTTCATTTAAAGCCAGATATCTCAGCAACAAATTGTCGTAAAGAGAACATGAAGAAAGCATATTAAAGGTAAACAAACATGCTATCCGGCCTATGAATTGACTTAACCAAAAAAAATTCACCACGTCCGTGGACCAGAAACGAAAACATAATTAGAAAACGAAAACATTAGAATTGCGTGACAGAAAAAATATTTGCCAAAAGATCTAAAAACTAGAAACTTAAAGCTTCAAAATGTTTTTTTTAATCTAGATACGACTATTTTTCGATGAGTTACAGCCTTTCAAAAATCACCACAAAATTTAGGAAAATATTTTGTTCCTTTAATTTTTTTGAGTAGATTAAACTAGGCGTGATATATGTTTTATGATTGTATAGTGAATATTTCTTCTTCTTCTTCTTCTAAAACTCATCTTTTAAAATGAGAGTGAGTTCGTTGAGTTCTTTTAAACCTTTGCTCCTGGCGTAATTGCCTCCTGAAAAATGCAAGGCGAGAGATTCGCTTTGGAATTTTATTTCGGTGGTTAACACGCCGCGTATTAGTTAAATTGCGAAAAGTTGTAGGAATTGGTGTCGGAACAAGAAAAGTTTCAAAGTTATGTGCATCCAATATTTAGGCCGGTGCGCGGTGTAGGGACGAATAAAACTTGAGACAAAGTGCTTTTAGAGCAAGGCGTTCCTCCGGATAATTTATTTACGTAATAATATATCCGAAAATGTCAAAAGCACAAAGGGAATACGCCGAGCGTTCTCCCATATAACATCCGATTGTGAGGTGATGCTGAAAGTGTATAGACAAACGAACGATTAATGTTTCAAGACGGTGAGGTTACTCCAGTTCAGTTCCGTGGTTAATTTTCTGAAAAAAAAATTGAAAATTATGTTAAGTTTGCGATTTTTTCAGGTCGAGTTGGAGAACTGGGTGAATAGTATTCACAGCGCGTGTGCTGCGGCTTTCGCCCGCCATCGCGGCAAAACCGGCACTCTGCATCTGCTACAAGAGGAGATTTTCCGCTTGGAGAAAGCCATCGAGACCGTGAGTGTAATTTTTGCCCTTACATTATTCGAAAACATATCGAAAGGATTCTTGTGTCGTCTCTTCTATTTATTCAGTGGCTCGGCTTTCAAAGCTGCCACCTTTTCAAGAGATTTAGAGAAAGCTTTCAGGCACATGTTTTGAATCGAAAGAATTAAACAATTCGATGCAAAAAATCGCGCAAGGGTGGGCCGCCGAATTTGGCCGCGTTCCAAAGCCACAAAACAACCAAAAGTAAGGCCGGAATTCCCGGAACGCTGGCGAAATTTACGGCCCGATGTGAAATGGAGCATAACTCCGAGTGTCCAAAATCGCGCTGTAATTGTTTTAAGTGAGAAAAAAATCCGGGTTGCAGGACTACAAGCTGAAGCACATGGCCGAAATGCAGCAAAGCGTCGTGGGAGACTCCGACACTCGACAACAAATCGCCAATCAGGTGGTGCAATGGGAGGAAAACCTGGAAAGGCTGCATTGCGAACAATTTAGGCTCCGGTGCTACATGGCAAGTCTGCAAAGCGGAGAATTGCCCAACCCTAAGGTGAGTCAAGTGATGAAACTTTGAGTATAGATAAATATAATTTGTTGCAGTCCTTGCTGACACACGTCTCGAGAGCAACGAAGAATACCTTAAATAAGTTGGGAGTGTTTACCGTTTCCTCATTCCATGCCTTTATTTGTGCGAGGAGTCCCTCTTTACTCAACAATCTGCTAGCAGGCCGCGGGGCGACGAAGAGGAGACCGCCGCTTCTGTCCAGGTCCAACAGCGGCTCGAGCAGAAGGTCTTTGCAGGTAATTAAGAGAGATTTACCCTTTGCCATAAAACACGAATCCAAACTCTCCGAGTTTATTAATTTAATCACAGCTCGAGCCCTGCCGCCGACAGCCATCACGCGACTATCGAAAAACGATTACCAGATGCACGCCTTATTGTGTTGCAGATAAATTCCCGGGAAGATAGCGAAAAAACCGTTAAGGTGTCACTGCCAGACGGGAATTCGGCCACGGTCTACGTGCGCGACTCCATGTCGGTGGAGGAGTTCCTGGCGAGTGCTTGCGCGAGAAAAAACCTCAGCTCCACGGAACACTTCATAAGGGTGAAGAAGAGACGGGATATGGAAGACCATAATTACTTTGTGCCTCACAGGAGCGATCTGATCGAGACTTACGTGAGTAATAAAATTAGCGTAACGAGATTTTTCCGAGTTAGAGCCAATTAAGCATGAGGGAAATTAAAAAGCGGAAAAGTGGGAGGAGATCGAATTATTGTAGGAGTTTGGGAGACGGTTTTGAGAGAGTGGAGGAGAAATTTCGCGATGAAATTAATATGAGGTGTGTGCCGCAAAATTCAATAAATGGGACACTTTGGCTGAGGATGGAATTTATTGTGTGCAAATATCAAATGTCAAGTTATAGCGTCGTTGTGATTTGGAATATAATTACAGAGTTACACATGTTAAGTTTGTGGCTTCCCTAATTTATCGAATGTTGATTCAAAGAAAAATTATTTACAATTACACAGGGCGACAAATAACAAGTCATATCATTTTGTTCGTCTGAGTGAGACCAACCAATGCACTAAAAAAAATTCAAAAAGTGTACACACTTGATAAGAAAGCATTTGCTGAGAAGATTTTCAAAAAAAAGTTCAGAAAGCTAGAACAAAGTGAACAAGTTCGAATCTGAATAGACAGTAATTTGATTTGAAAAAGATTTGCCCTTATATTTAAAGCTCGTGCCCTAAACTTCTAGATCCTCTTTGCTCAATGATCAGTGGTCATTTTTACAACAAAAATTCTTCATTTGCTTTAATTAGTACGCAAATACTCTTTGTTTGTTATAAGTAAAGAAACAGTTTTTGTATATTCTAATTGGAACAAGGAAAGTGCAATTGACTATTTTTAAGCAAAAGAAGAGTCTTAAAACAAAAATTCTTTTATAAAAATGCAATTTTAATTTTAATTTTCTTATATGGCGCAACGCTTGATTAGCAAACCTTAACTTCAAAAAATCATATCTTGAAAACTATTCCGTATATTCTTTTAAAAATTTGGATTAGAACTAATAAAGAGATGCTCTACACGATGGTGATGATGACAAAAAAATATTTGTAGGGTTTTTCTTAAATTATTTCGATTTACTTCGAACAAAAGTTTGCCAATATTCAATTTCAAATTTTATATCATTCTGAAGGGCAGGTCCATCCCTTTAGAATGGTCTTTATTTAAAGAAAATCGCCCTAATAGTTATTGAGTAATGATTATTTAAAGTTAAAATATTTTAAATTTATTTAAATTAGAAAAAAATTATTTAGTTCAAAGTGAGTGCACTTTTTGAATTTTTTTTTAGTGTCTTTGATGTGTCTCACTGAGACGAACAAAATGATATATAATTTGTCAAGTTGTCACGACATGACTTTATTTTGTTGCCTCTACCAAAAATTTAAATTAATTCAAATAAGTAATAAATACTACTACACCAAAATAGAATTATTTTTTAACTGTTTTATACAGTTTTTTAATTCAGTGCCATCTGGGACTCCTGTTATGTTCAAAAAGTGTACAACTTGTTTGTAATTAGTTCGAAATTCTCCATGATTGCGACTTTTGTTCGTCATTCTGATGCAAGTTTCCCGATTAAAAATCTGCCAGAATCATTTGCAGCAAATTGAATCTGAACAAAGCAACATTGCGAATGTGTCCCTAGTGTCAGAGCAAACCATCGACAAATCATTTCGATTTGATTATCCCTTGTCTGTGCACGTACTCAATTCAAATACCTGTTGGACCAGAATAATTCCTATCGAAGTTCGCAGGTAGAGTCATCGAATCAATAATTCAGCTGTGCATCAGCAGTTTTCCGTGGTTAATTAATGACAATTTAATGCCTGGATATTTAATGAATCAACAGTTGACTGATTGTTCAATCAGTGACTGATTAAAACTTAAAACGCGACACGACGAAAAAATCAATGATTGATGATCGCAAGTTTTTGACGAGATTACCTCCGCTGGTAAAAAATTAAGATAAACTTGTTTCAGAAACATGAAAAATTACAAAAAGCGGCAATTTAACGTGTCAAAAACCGAATACACGAGATGATTTATCTGAATTCACCGCCAAAAATCGAACACAATGTCACAAAGTTCGGAAGTTCGTCTCGATCTGTTTCAGATTTAATGAACCGAGAGGACGCGAACTTTAATCTAATTAGGACAAAATAACAACCCGGAAATGGAAACGTCCCGGCAGTAAGACTGTTTATGTAACCAGCTGTGTAGGCCTGCGTTGCAACTCTCTAATTAAAGCTGAATTAAAAAAATTGGAACGGCTGTTTATTATATTTTTACAAATCGTCTTTTGTACTCTTGTACTTGAGGATTCAATTAGGAAAAAACTAAAGAGAAATTTTATATAAAGTAGATAATGGTAATTAATTATTTCCCTAGTTTCCAGGTTCAAGAAAAAGAAAAATATGAAATATCAATTTTATAGTAGCTTCTTGAGAATTGGCATTTCAAACTAATTTTTAGATTTCAGAAAGCTCCAGCTTCACAATTTGAAATGTATTAGGAAAAATAATGATAACGCACTCAGGAAACTAATATACAGAGTGTCCCAGCGAGGTAGTAAAGTCCAATATTGATCTTTAAACGATAATATTTTAAAACATGTATATAGGAAATTGATAGATACTAATCTAGTTTATCGTCTAAAATTATTTTCAACTATACAACGTGTCCAAAAAATAAGTTACAATACAAACTTGTGCTTTTTTGAATGAAACACCATATGTTTCCTAGTATTTTTGGCTGAAGATTTTTATGACAATGTTTTGAAGCTAAACTTTTATTAGTCGATTTTGCTTAGTTTTAAAAATAAGACGGTTTTTTGACGAAAACATGCCCTTTTTAAAAACTTATTTCACAAAGACTAAGACAGCTAGAACAATTTTTTTCTTATTTCTGCTAAGAAGAAAGTACAGAATTTGAAGCTGTAACAATTATTTAGTATTTTGCATTTGTAAAATTTTGGTAATAAAAGCCACAAATAACATTGAACAGAGTTACAATTTAGGATACAGCTTCCTTGTTTCCTTTTTTAATAGCCTATGGCAAAAAAACTTTGAAAATTATTTTTCCAATAGAAATAAATAAAGTCAAAGTGCAAACTTTAAACCCTCATAACTTCGAAATTTTTATAGATAAATTTTTTTAAATATTTTTAAGATTAAAAAATGAAGAGGTTTGTTACAAGTTAAATAACTTAAAAAATTTAAATGGAACACCTATTTTTTATTTTTGCATCTAATAGATTGTCTATCTAAAAAAAACAAACTTTTAATGTCTGGAATTGATAAATGAAAAGATATTTAAAATTTAAAATTAATTGTAGCAACAATGCCTATCAATATCTGAGCATTGTTGATATTATAGCAATCATAGTAATTCCACCACGGATCACTTATTCGTTTATTATCCAAAGATTGTAAAAGTCGTTATAAATACTGAAATTCAAATTATTTTATTATAAAAATAAAGAATAATGGATTCAGTTTAACATAAATGTGATTATTAAGTGATATTTCTTCTATCTCTTGTGCACCTGTGCACTTTTTGGCTATTGAATCAATAGTAATTATTTTTTTTAATATTTAACGTTGAACATCTTTTTAGTTATTGATTATAAACACCTAAAAGTAAATAATTTTAGAAAGACAACTTAATAATCTTTTAAATGCAAAAACAATAATTAGGGTGTTCCATTTAAATATTTTAAGTTATTGAACTTTTAAAAGACGCCTTAATTTTTATATCTTTGCAAATGCAACACACTAAAAAATTGTTACAACATTATAGCTTGTATCTTCTTCTTTGAGGTAGTAAAAAATATTTCTTAGATGTCTTAGTTTTTGTGTAATAAATTTTTAAAATGTGCATGTTTTCGTCAAAAAAACCGTCTAATTTTTAAAACTAGGCAAAATCGACCAATAAAAGTTTAGTTTAAAAACATTGTATATACCTGTTTAAATCTTCAATTCATTTTAAATCTAAACGATTTCTAGAAAAAAAAGTTTCTTTTGCAGCTCCACACGCACGAGGTCGTCGAAGTGTGCGCGAAAATTCTGTACCAAGTGGAGCTCTCCCGAAGCACATTGGAGCAAATGTGGGGCTTCAGCGTGGAGGCCGAATTGGTCGAGAACGCCGACAGACAGGACGAGCTTTGCTGTTATGTCAGCCGCGTCGAGGACAAAAGCGTCGCCATGCAAAACGGCATCATAAAGGGCGACGAAATCATGGTCATAAACGGCGCCATAGTGTCCGACTTGGACATGATGTATCTTGAAAGTGTCTTGCAAGAGGAGTTGGCTTTGTGTATGATGATGAGGTCATCCCGAACCGAACCTCCGGAACTAGTTGGAATCCTTCGGGCGACTGACGACATCATCGAAAGCTTAGTCTGTCCTCCACCTCCCTCAGAACCCCCCGTCATCAGCGAGGAGATGATCTCCGGACTCATCGTGCCTGCTCCAGGTTGGAGTGAGTAGATTAGTGTAGAATAGTCGCTGTCATAACTAGTTTTGAATTTTAATCACAAAGTCGAGATCAAAGTTAGCGCTTTATTAGAAGAAGGATCAGAACAAAGCTCAAAAGCAAACAAAAAAAGGATTACCGCGTTGTCAAACAGGTTACGCTTTTTTCCCTGTCTTCATTATACGCTGAAAAGTTACACGCTTTCTTTCCGGGTTTTATTAAATCCGGGTGTCTGAAACGGATTATAACTATTTCCAGGTTTTTTTATACGTGATGCGTCCTTTAAGCCAATAAATTGTGTTTACTCTGTCCGGTCACATTTAACCCGAGTTAAATCGAGCTTTCAAAGCACCCCTGAGCTTTGAAAATTTGGCTTTGCCAACTAAATAGACCGAAACTCAAACTTGAAAAGTTCAAAAATAGCGACATAATTAATCACTCGAGTAATTGATGGCAGTTTAAAAAAAATATGAGACTCTTGTGGGATTTTTATTGGATCTCTTCGTAAACCTGTCCATTATTGTTACATTATTGTTGCTTTGTCCAATTTTTTCAATTTAGTTCAGGCGGAGATTTCCATTCAATCGATGAGATTTTATTTGTAATTGCTGACGCTCGTTTTTCCGGCTTAAAAGTTGCGTTTTCAGGCAAAGACCGCTACTCTACAGAGTCTGAAAATCCGCCTTCGTCGATGACTGATTCCGGGATAAAGGTGAGTTCGCGTACAAACTCGTTCGAGATTGAGAATCTCCTGAAAACTGCTGAGCAAGTGACTGGTTTCTGTCGCTCACCTGTTGAAACTCGCAAATCGAGTCCTACAGGAAGTTTAGTCAGCAATACTTCTCAGACCTTGCTAACTCCCTCTCGGCAACTCAGCGACGCCGAGAAGTTGCGAAAAGTCATCTTGGAGTTGGTAGATACGGAGCGAGCGTATGTCAAGGTAAAATAAATCTCCCCATAAATCCCCAAGTTTTTGCACCTGATGCTCCCCAGCATCTCAACAATTTATTGGAGAACTACTTGGAGCCGCTGAAGAAGGAGACATTCCTGTCCAATGCGGAAATCAACGCTTTGTTCGGGAACATCCAGGAGATCGTCACGTTCCAGAGACAGTTCCTGCAGAACCTCGAAGAGGCTCTCGATCTAGAGCCGGATTTCCATAAATTTGAATACAGCAGCCAGTTTAAAGTGAGTCGCGATTTTTTTTTGGTGTTTGGACTCAAAATTTTCGTTTCAGAATGTATTGTTTTCCATTGGGAGCGCATTTTTGTATTATGTAAATCATTTCAAATTATACAGCTCGTTCTGTGCTAGCCACAGCAAAGCGCAGAAAGTTTTGCATCCGAGTAAGTATCATCGCAAATATGCAGACCCGAAACTAACGAATTTCGCAGACGAAGGCAATCAAGCTCTGCAGGAATTCCTCGCGGCGCGTAATCCCAAACAGCAACATTCCTCCACTCTAGAGTCTTATCTCATAAAACCGATTCAGCGGATCCTCAAGTACCCTCTACTCTTGCAACAGTTGCGGAACTTGACCGACCCCAACACCGACGAACACCAACACTTAGTCGGTAAGAAGATTAAGCTAAGTCGAGTCCAATCCGATTCTCTTGATTGTCTAAAGAAAAACTTTAACTAGATTTCTATTTTTTGACAATTTTTTCCGAAAGTAAGCTTAATTTGTGTTTTATTTAGAAAAAATACTAGTACCATTTAAGATTTCACGTAAAATATACACTACTCTAAAAAATTAAAGGAACAAAAAATTTTCCTAAACTTTTTTGTGATTTTTGAAAGGCTGTAACTCATCAAAAAATGGTCCTATCTAGATTTTAAAAAGTTTCTAGTTTTGAGCTCTTTTGGCAAATATTTTTTATGTGCTACGGTGGGGATTTTTTTTAGTTAAGTCAATGCATAGGCCGGGTAGCATGTTTGTTCACCTTTAATATGCTTTTTCACATTCTCTTTACGTTAATTTGTCGCTGAGAATGCTGAGATATCTGGCTTTAAATGAAAAAGAATCATCTTGTCTTTGATCATCGATATCTCAGCAACCACTGACCACACAGAGAATATAAGAGTGGTGTCAAAAACTGGAATAAATGCCTTATAAGATCTTCTTATAATTTTTTGGATTTTTTTTTTAACTTTAACATTGGTTTAAAGAAAAGAGAAAAAAGTAAGTTCTTGCGTTGTTTTAGTAAATCTACCGCGTATTCATTAATATTGATGGGGAGACTAATGTTTTTAGGTGCTTTTACAGCTTAATGTTCCCCCAATATCTCTGTAAATTTTTAAATCAATCCATCGAACCGTTTTCTCAGACCGATTGATCAAAATTTTGCAAAAGAATTCAAGGAACAATTGTACATATTGTTTCTGAATATTGTCTAATCTTCGTCAAGATGAGAAAAACAATTTTTTCAGCTTTTTTATAATTTTGCATTAGTTAAATTTGATAAAAAAATCGAAAAAAATTCAAAAYAAAAAATTTGATTTTTTTTCAAAAATTAATCAAAATTAAATTTTTTTACAAATTCAAAAAAATCTAAAACATATTCTTGAATTTTTCGTCAAATTAAGCAGTTCATTGTTTCTTAAATGTTTTTACAAATTTTCACTTATAATTACACGAGAGCTTTGTTTTTTCCAAATAAACTTGACATTTTGTTGGCTGAGATATCGATGATCAAAGACAAAATGATCCTTTTTCATTTAAAGTCAGATATCTCAGCGACAAATTGGCGTAAAGAGAACATGACATAGCATATTAAAGGTAAACAAACATGCTATCCGGCCTATGAATTGACTTAACTAAAAAAAAATTCTCCAAGTCCGTGGACCAGAAACAAAACCATAAAAAAAAATTTCTTGCTCTATTACTTAGAATTGCGTGATAACCGTAGCACAAAAAACATATTTGACAAAAGATCTTAAAACTAGAAAGTTAAAGTTTCAAAATGTTTTTTTTAATCTAGACCATTTTTCGATGAGTTACAGCCTTTCAAAAATCTCCAAAAAATTTGGGAAAATTTTTTGAAGTATGTAGTATTTTTTCCAAAGACAGTTACACACCTTTTCTTTTATTCACTGAAATGTAAAAAAACAGACCAAAAGTAGGTGTATGTACCCATAATACTCAAAAGTTCAATTTTTGGAACTAATTTTGTCCTCTACGTTTTAGTAATAAAATATTTAAATTAAGACATAAATTTAGACTCAACTTAAGTGCTACGTAATTGAGTTTTTTTTAAATTCCTTTACTAAAAAATGTTTTCCGTCGAAAAATAATAAGATTAAGACAAATCTGTTTCTAATTTATTCTGTTTTGTTCTATTGTGCTATTTTTTATTCATGGTGGTACGTACATTTTTATGTCGATTTTTAAGATGTTTTAACAAATAACATAAACAACAACGCAAAAGTTTATTTAATTGCAATATTTTGTATAATAAATTGCTAGTTTATAAGTTTTCAGGCCTAAATGTTTTTGTTTTTCATGTTTAGAGGCCCTTAAAGGTATGGAGAAAGTGGCCGAACACATCAACGAGATGCAGCGAATCCACGAGGAGTACGGGGCGATTTTCGACCACCTCTTCCGCCAACACCAAAAGAGTTCGAAACAGAGTATCGATCTAAGTCCGGGAGATTTATTATATTATGGAGGAGTGGAATGGCTGAACATATCGGATTTCCTGGGAAAAATCAAGAAAGGGCTTGAACTACACGCAATGTGCTTCGTGTTTAAAACGGCTGTCGTTTTTCTCTGCAAGGAACGTCTTCGCCAGAAAAAGAAACTAATGGTAAGTGGTGAAAAAATCGCTCCGCTCGTAAAACTGTTCGTTGTGTTTGAAGGGCGTTTCCAGTAAGGGTTCCTCATCCGAAGTTGAAATTATTCGCTATCAAGTGCTCATTCCTGTAACCGAAGTTCAAGTACGCGCTTCCTCCGCTAAGGATATGGATTCTCATTTCCTGTGGGAACTGATTCACTTAAGAAGTCAATTACAGAGGAGATCAGAGAAGGTCTACGTTTTGTCTAATAGGTAACATTGTCGGAACCTTTTCAATCCTGTTCCTATCGATCGAGTTTCCAGCACTGCTGACTTCAGAAACGCCTTCCTCAAAACCATCAGACAAATTATCAGGGAATCGGTTAGGAATATGTCAATACCATCGACGAAGCCGGGAGCGGGACCAGGAATCCTCCTTGTGACAGGACACAAAGGCGAGAATCTCAATAGTCAAACACTGGAACGGCCGGCAACGAAAACTGTCATAGTGCAAGGATCACACACATTGGGCAAAACGAAAAAGAAGACATCACAGAGGCATTCGGCCGGTAATATAGACTACGATAATATCAGCCAGGAAGGGGACGAACCGACGACTACAACCTTCAGGTCCCGGAGTAAGACAGTAGGAGATGCCGCAGGTACGTTTGAATTTTTCTAACGAGAAAAAATTAAGTTTGCGTGTTTCAGATCCTCCCAAACGCAGTGACCACGACCGGAACGACCCCGGAGCAAAATCCGAAGGAGAGGAAGACTCCCAAGGGTGCAAGAAGGCCACTCTCGGTCGAACTCCCAACCATCTAACTCTCAGGTATTGATTATACCCTTTTTCTCGGATTTATTGCATTCCGGTGGCCACCACCAGAACGCAATAGTCTCGAAAAAATCCGGATTAATCGTGGGTTTTAGCACGACCTCGACTTTGTCTGCCGGCAGTACCGGAAGCCAGGCCCGCTTGATCCAATCGTCGCACGCGCCGGAAACCTTCCAACCCATGCAGACCGAAGAACTAGGTAAGAGACCGGAAACCAAATCCCCGAAAAAACAAGAACGAAGGCCCAGTCCGAGTCCAAAAAATTCCAGAAAGTCCAGTCCGAGAACCCATCGGAGATCCAGAGATACTAGTCCCAAAGACGGCAAAAGTCCCAAGAAAATCAAATCGTCGCTTAAATCCCCCAGATCGTTGAGTATCGAGAACCCTACTTGTGTCGAGTGCTATCTGTCTGGCAAGTCAGACAAGGGATAGCACGACCAAATCAAGTGCTAGATTTTTCATCCTTAATTTTTATTTTTTAAAAGTTAGCACCCCTGCTTTGCATGACACGCCAAACCAGATTTCGACAAATCTGAGTTGGCGAAGTCTAGTTGTAGCTTAATGTCTGTTGGACTTCAAACGACCCTATCTTGATTCTAGTCCAGAAATCGCTTAATTTCGCCTGGATGCGACTATGACGTGTCATGGTCGTCATCCAGGGCCTGTCTGCTTGATTTTCTGGGCTACTCTGAGCTTTGAATGTTGTGCAAAATGCGTTTTGTTATAGGGTCGCCTGTGTGGAAGCCAAGAGACAGTAGTTTAGAGGCAACCTCAACCACTCTCCCGCGCAAAGGCAGAGACCACAGTTCGGCTTTAAGCGCCTCGCGTAAGTCCCTCGTCGAGACCACAACCGGGCTAGAGATACACAATGCGTATAGCCACCAGTAGAAAAAATATTTATATCACCTGTTTGTATGATGGGGGCTGAGCCCCGCCACTGTGCTGTTCATGCAAACGGACACACGAATCGAATTGTTAAACGCTGTACAAGTTATTTAAATAATTGTTAAATATTTGTGACTTTACCGACTGAGAAGTTTTTTTCGCCCCCTCACTCACTCCCGAGGTATTGGTTGGGATTTTGTTCGATAAATATATTCCAAGTTGTTGTACCAAGACTCAGTATTACAGGGGAAAATCATTCGATATACTTTTAGAACGTTTATGCATATTTGCAAGATCTTTATAGAAATAATTTTATTGCATAGGTTCGTTGTTTGATGAGAAAATCTATCAAAATGTGCTCGCCGAGAACCCGGCTTCTTCGCGGGCACACCAATTTATAATTTTAGATCTCAAAAACATATTCCTATTAATACTAATATTACGATTTGTTGAAAGAACTTTAAGATTTTATTTACTAATTTAAAGAGTTTTTAAATAAAAAACCTTAATATGTAATTTAATGCAATCAAGTGAATCAGTAGAGAGGGACTAGAACATTGTCACATTATTATTGAATATATAAAAATCTAGAAATAGTTGATCCGTACGTAGGTTTAATGAACAAATAGCTATGTATTTTTAAAAAATACATATTAGTTTAATAATTTAATATTAACTTATGTAATAGACGCGTCTGACGGCGGATTCTTTCCCAGAAACAATCCGCCGCCGGCCCTAGAAATATTTACAATAAATTAACCGATCACATTGTCAAATTCTGCTGTCAACAAATGTTTAATCGCACAAGACAACCAAAAACAATATTATTTTCCAAACTTGGTGCCCGTTTAATTTCGGTTTCCCACCACCAAGTTGCTCAAATGTAATCCTAGTCGTATGTTATTACTTTTGTATTAATTTTTATTGTGTAAGTGTTCCATCGCGACTCAGTTCCACCCTCACCCCCGTTTTTTTACTAGTGAGACAATTAGTACAAGCGAGCGGTGAAGTTTGTCAAAAAAAACGCGTCAGTGTTTTTCTGAAAAGTGCCAAAATCAAAAGAAACGAATTTAAATCATAAACGTATACTTAGCTAATTTCAAATTGACAAACTGTACTGTTCCTCCGGTCGGCATTTTTTCATTTTCACTAGACGATAAGGATTTCCTGTATGTCTGTATGTATGTAAAATCAACATAAATGTGCGTATGTATGGACGAAAAGGAAAATTTCAAATATATAACAAAAACTAAATGGAATTTTATTTAACGCCCTTCGAGGTGTTCAACAATCCCGGCATGATAATAATAATTAAACAAAAATTAGAATTGCTGCAATTACTGTAATTATTTTGTGGCACGAAAACGACATCTTTGAATTACAAAATGAGAAAAAATAATGCGCAAATTGTCGTAGAAGTATTAATAACCCGTTTGAATTGAAAAATAAAAAACATTTATAGTTATAACAACTAAAGTTAAATAAACTTAAATAAAATTCAAATAATCCACCTACCACTTAGCAACTACGTTGTGTTTTGTGCATAAACCTTCAAAAAAACTTTGAATTTATTATTTATTTTTCAAAAACAAATTACACTACTCCAAAAAATTAAAGGAAAAAAAATTTCCTAATTTTTTTGGTGATTTTTTCATCTAAAAATTGTGTTATTTAGATTAAAAAAAAACATTTACAAACCTTAAGTTTCTAGTTTTGAAATCATTTGGCACATTTTTTTTCTGTGCTACGGTTATCACACAATTCTAAGTAATAGCCCAAGAAAAAAAAATTCTAAATTTTTATGGTTTTTGATCCACGGACGTGAAGAATCTTTTTTTTTAGCTAAGGTGAAAAAAAAATTTTTTCAATCATAAGAGGATCCTTTTTCATTTCAAGTCAGGTATCTCAGCGACAAATTAACGTAAAGAGAATATGAAAAAAGCATATTAAAGGTGAACAAACATGCTATTCGGCCCATGCATTGACTTAACTAAAAAAAAATCTCCACGTCCGTGGATCAAAAACAAAAAGATAAAAATTTAGAATTTTTTTTTCTCTCGCTATTACTTGGAATTGCGTGATAACCATAGCACAGAAAAAATATTTACCAAAAGATCTCAAAACTAGAAACTTAAAGCTTCAAAATGTTTTTTTTTTAATCTAGATACGACCATTTTTCAATGAGTTACAGCCTTTCAAAAATCACCAAAAAATTGGGAAAATTTTTTGTTCCATTAATTTTTTGGAGTAGTATATTTTAAATAAAAAATGAGTTTTTGTTTTTGGTTCACGGTCGTTGGGATTTTTTTTTTAGTTAAGTCAATGCATAGACCGGATACTTAGTATGTTTGCTTACCTTTAATATGCTTTTTTGACATTCTGTTTACGTCAATTTGTCGCTGAGATATCCTTTTGTCTATGGACCAAAAACAAAAAAAATACATTTTTTTTTCACGATATTAGGCTTAGGATTGCGAAGTAACCGTAGTACAAAAACAATTTTTACCAAAAGATCTCAAAATTAGAAACTTAAGGCTTTAAAACAGTTTTTTTAATCAAAATACGACCATTTTTTAGATTTAAAAATCACCAAAAAATTTAGGAAAAATTTTTGTTCCGTTAATCTTTTGGAGTAGTGTATTAGAACAGAATTGGTAAAGAATTGGTGACAAAAATAAAATTTAATTTTTAAAATGAAGAAGTCTATGAAACAAAAGTTATTTTAATTTTTACATAAAACCTTGAAATTAATTGAGTCTGTATCAATAATTTGTTCTTATTTTTCCCGAGCGTCGATAATTCTTAAATGGCAGAAAATTGTTTTTTCCGGCAAGGTCTTTTAAAAATTTAACATTGCAAAATTTACTTTTCATTTAGGTTTTCATATAAATTTTCAGTTTTAAGAAATTTTTCTTTAATCAAAGCACATTATTCGCACTCACCGAACCGTAACTGAGCATCGTGACAAACAATTTAATTTTCATTACCGTCTTGAAAAAATGCGCAATAACAATTTAATTATAGCGTCTTGAGCGATTTTCCTCACATTTTCGCGTGACTCATTTATTTAGTAAAAATTACACAGATTTTATCTCAAAAATTCAAAAGCCAAGGACACTCTTCGGCTCCAGCGAAATTCTTCTTACCCAATAACTCCGATGCCAATTGCATAATGAATAGTTTATGTTTTAACAATAATAAAAGATAGAAGTCGACCAACATCATTAGCACACCTTGCCGAAGTGGGAGCAGCAGTGATTAGAAACCAGGGAATGGAAATGTCCGTGCCACAGTAGGCTGAAGGTTCAGCTAGTGTACAACACAGCAAAACATTTGTTTATTTTATTTTTAAACAAAAGGAATGTAAACGACCGTTTATTAGAATAGAGCCAATCAGTATTGAACTGTGATATGTGTACTAAACAAGAATTATCAAAGTAGTGCAATTGGAACAAAAAACAAGTGTTCGTATACCAAATGAGTCTTTAGTGCACAATGGTTATTAAAAGGTGAGTCAAATTTTCAACAAGAATTGCTAATTTCCGGCCCGAAAGAAGGACAAACAGCATAATTTTTCAATTTAGAGCTATTCTCACAATTGCAACAATTCCAAACTTTCGTGTAACCACTTATCACTCGGCGATTAATTAGCATTCCAGGAGAATTATTATTCCGGAGTCCCGGAACTGGCATTTTATTAAAAAACTGCGATTGGATTGTTTAACCTCGAGAGTAAAGAGAGTCAAGGTGTTACAGCAATGATACCATCAACAACATGTCATTATTTTTTTTCAAATCCTACCTATAATTATTTGGAGAATTTTGGCGACACGAAAATAAAATTAATTTCGACGTTTTATCCTCTACATTAAAAATACATTAAAGCACGCGAAATTCGCTAAATAATTTGTCACAATAAAATCGAGGTGACATTTCGCGTAACACAAATGAAATCTATTATGTAAGAAAGCCACAATAAAAGCCGTTATGAATTTAAATTAAGAGATAATTTATTCGTTTACTTGCGGCATTTAATTTGATTCTTCTAAATACACAAAGTCCCGACTTTCAACGCGAAATGAAAGGAAGTGATGCAGCATTTGAGAAAAGTAGGACTTGAAATACTCAATAAATTAAGTTTAGTTGGTCAATTATTTTTATGGTATGGTGAAAAATGGTCAAGACGTGAGAATGTTTGCTATCGATTGGGACATAATATCCTGAAATGTAACTAAATGAAAGTTTTACGTAATAAAAATATGTGGAATTGTCAGTTTGGAGATTTATTTTACATTTATATAAATCAAAAATATTTCATTAATGTTTATCAGTTACAAACAATTAAAATAAATGTAGATAAATTTCTAATTATCGCTTTAATTACTTGACTCACTATACATATTTGCAATTCATTGATAACTTTATAAGGCGTCCGAACTAAATTTCTTAGACATAAGAGTTCTGTTAAAATTTAAAATTCAAATCGAGCAAAATTGCAATGAAAATAGGTCAAATTGCTTTATTTTGGAAGAAAACTCTTATTCAAACCATTATTTTGTTGAAATATTTTGATTCAGGTTGATTTTCAGCTTAAAAATGAGCCAAATCGAAAATTTGTTCATTTCAGCCTAAATTTGGGATTAAAGAAATAATTTTTTTCTATTTTGCGTTTAGAATAAGTCTATTTCAGCACCCAAATGACGTCATTTGAGTGCTTTAATAAGTCATTGGCGTTAATTTAATTTTAGTGACGGGCTTTTTCACTATTCATTTTCAAATGTGAAAATAAGAATTATTTTTATTTTTCACAGCTGCCTAAAATTATTCCACATAAGTGTCAACCGTCTGAAAATTCTCTAGAAAAAAAAATTAAAAATTTTCGTCTTTTAATTTATAAAATGATAAAAAACGGCAAAATAGAAAAAATTGTATAAAGCACTTGTTGCAGAAGGTTCTTCAACCACTCATATGTTCTTGTATAGAACCTTCTGCAACTTGTACTTTAATAAACTATTATAAAATTAATTTAGACTAAATTCTATATTAAAATCGGGCAAAATTGGGTTGACAATAGCCAAAACTGCTTTATTTTGGAAGAGAACTCTTATTTAAGCCATTATTTTGTTGAAATACTTTGATTTAGGTTAAAATTTGAAATCAAAAAAAAATATATAGAAACCACTTTTAAACACTCATTTCTTTGATTATCGCCAAACGTTACATAAACACCCATTTCGTTCTTTTTCTTAAATTAGAAGTTTAAAAGCTATACAAATAGTACAAAAATTTAAATTTATTTCACATCACATTTTAAATTATAGTTAGTAGCCCAAAAATTCAACAATTTTTTAAGATTTTATTAGTAAGAATCAAGGCAGCTACAACTTACTTCAGAATGCTTTTTTAAATTAAATTAAGTAAATTTTAATGCTTTTGAAGAGTAAGAAAAGTACCGTCTCAAAATAGTGTTTTTTAAGATTTACCAGCCACAGCTTATAGAAGAAAGAGTAAAATTTGAGACAAATTCGATCTTAGTAATTAAATTGTCCTAATTTATTGAGGTACATACTTCAAATGAATAATAGCGTTGCATTAACCGCAAAAAAGGTTTTGAAAAATGTTTTTTATACTTTGTAAGAAAGAAACCTTGCACTTACATAATCACTAAACCACAATTTATTTTTTTCTACTGATTGTTTATTAGTAACCTCTTTCATTAACAGACAGATAGACAATTTAAAAATAGTCAAAATACAAATTTTCTAATAAAATGTCAAATCTATCAAAAGCTACAATCAATACCTACAGTATTGGATAACTATAACTCGTTTCTTAATTTCTCTTACTAACAAACTCGTTTGTTAAATAACTGTTAATACTTAAGAATCAACGAATTAATTCCGACTTTCAGAAAACAAAATCAACAATAAAATAAGTTCAGAGAAAAATTCTAATGCCTTTTTACTACACCCTATTGGAAAATTGATGAAAAATTGTTAGAAACACACCAACTGTCACACGAGTAAAAATATTTATCCAATCTATCTGATGTGCTAATTGGGTTAAGTAGCGAAATGCACAGAGGCCGAGAAAGTTATCTCTATTTACAATACATTTTTGAACGCCTCCAAAGCCTTGTCATACACACTTTCCCACTTAGGGAGCAATAAATCCCATATTTACCTAATAAATCTTCAAGTTCAGTCGGTTTTACCCACAAAACATTCCATCAAATGTAAAATACGTCTTTTACGTAACAACCACAAACACGCAATTAAAACTAATAATTTTATTTATTTGTACAAAAAATTTTTTGCAGTGATAAAACCCTCTCGCCTTTCGCCGCCCCGGCCGAAAGCCGGTCAAGCCTTCGCCAAGCCCTCCCCCAAATCCTGGCCGTTTGCGTCAAAAACGTCCTCCTTCTAGGCTTCGGCATGACACTAGGCTTTCCCACAATTCTCATTCCCAGCCTCTCGGGGAGCGACCCCAACGAGCCTATCTCTTTGGGCCAGGAAGCCATTTCGTGGATTGGCTCCATCAACCTCATCTGTGTTCCAATAGGGTGCCTCCTCTCGGGGGCTGCAACCCAGCCCATCGGGCGGCGGCGAGCAATGCAACTCGTAAACATACCTTTTCTAACAGCCTGGCTCCTCTTCTACTTCTCCACCGACGTCTGGCAGATTTTCCTCGCTTTGTGCATCACCGGAGTCACCGGAGGCTTGCTCGAAGCCCCCGTAAGTACCACGCTTTTCCGGTGTGTGTCTTCCACTAACCACCTTCACGCTCTTTCTCTGTTCCTCAGGTGCTTACATACGTTGCTGAAATAACACAACCGCACTTAAGGGGAATGCTGTCTTCGACTAGCACCATGGCGGTCATCTTGGGGGTCTTGGTTCAGTTTCTCTTAGGCACTTTCCTTAACTGGAGACTTGTAACGCTTTGTAACTGTGTTTTCCCGGTCGTGGCTTTCGTTCTTTTGATTTTTGTTCCGGAAACTCCAATTTGGTTGATTTCCAAAAACCGGTATCTCGATGCCCGGAAAAGTCTGGCATGGTTGCGAGGCTGGACAAGTCTCAACGAAATCGAACTCGAATTCCAGGATTTGTGTAAACAATTAGGCAAAGCGAGCGAAATCGGAATCGACAATCCGGAAAATTCCCTAAACCATAAATTATCAAAACTGGATCATTTGAAACTTTTCACAAGGAAAAACTTCTTTTGGCCTTATTCACTAGTTGCTTTAACGTTTTTTCTCGGACATTTTAACGGAATGAACGCTTTACAAACATACGCGATCAAAATTTTTGCCGCGGTTAAATCACCAATTGACAAATATTACGCCACAGTTATTTTAGGGGTTGTAGAATTGTTGGGATGTGTTGCATGTGTTACACTAGTCCATTTCACGGGAAAAAGGGTGATAAACGTCATTTCTTTGATAGGTTCAGGTTTGTGTTTCTTCATAGTTGCCACCTACACCTACATTTCTGATATCAAACATTTGGAAGGGCCTCAACCCCCAGATCTTAGACATAACTGGATCCCAACATTCTTTCTCATCACTGCCGCCTTTTTGTCATATGTTGGTATTCGAATTTTGCCGTGGATTTTGACGGGAGAAGTCTTCTCGAACGAGACTCGAGCCACGGCTTCCGGGCTTTCAGGTGCCATCGGCTACATTTTTGGTTTTTTGGCCAACAAGATTTTCCTCTCAATGGTCACAGTGTTCACTCTTCCGGGAACTTTCTGGTTCAATTCCACTGTTAGCATCCTTGGTGCCATTTTACTTTATTTCGTTCTCCCGGAAACGGAAGGCAAGACATTATACGACATCACTGAACACTTTCAGGGTAACACAAAACTAGACAACAAAGTCCGAAGAAACGGAATCGACAATAAAGCCTTCGAACTCGAAGAAAGTCGTGTCTAGATGACTCACAAGACTGAATAAATAACTTTGTGCCATTGTGTTTTCTTTTATTGCACCCTAGACTAGTACTAACTTTGGGCACATCTAACTCGACTTTAAATAACCCAATTTTTCTCTTCCAGACTCTCACTTACGTTGCAGAAATCACTCTACCTAGTCTTAGAGGGATTTTATCATCAACCAGTGGCGTGGCCGTAATTTGCGGAATTTTAGCCCAATTCTTACTAGGAACCTTCTTGAATTGGAGGATTGTTGCTCTAGTGAGCGTAGTTGTCCCAATTGTGTCTTTCTTTCTCCTGTTTTTCGTCCCTGAAAGCCCCTATTGGCTCATATTGAAAAATCGCCATGAAGACGCAAGAAAATGTATTGCTTGGTTGCGTGGATGGACAACAGTCGAAGAAATCGAACCCGAATTTACCGAATTGTGCAAACAAATCAGTTCAACAGTGAGTGAAAAACCCACCATTATCGACAAGTTAAAACTTTTTACAAAGAAAAACTTCTTTTGGCCCTTTTTGGTAGTGTCTTTTGCTTTCTTCATGAGCCAGTTTAGTGGTACTACTCCATTACAAATCTACGCAGTCAAAATTTTTGCAACGTTGAAAGCACCCATCGATGAGTACTACGCAACTGTCGCCATGGGTGTTGCTGAGGTTCTTGGGTGTGTATTAAGTACTTGCCTGGTACATTACACCGGGAAAAGAAAAATGAATTTTTTCTCGTTAATTAGTTGTGGCCTTTGCTTCCTCATTGTTGCAACTTATGCCTACTTGCATAATATCAACCATTTAGAGAAATTTTCGTCAATTAACCGTTCCGGTGATACGAGTTGGTTACCGATGGTTTTTCTTATAACTGCGGCTTTTTGTACCCACACTGGGATAAAATTGTTGCCGTGGATGCTCATCGGAGAGGTCTATTCGAACGAAACTAGAGCTACAGCATCTGGGTTTTCGGGTGCTGTGAGCTACGTTTTTGGCTTTATTTCAATCAAAATTTTTTTGTATTTAGTCAACTGGATCACGCTTCCTGGTACTTTCTGGTTTTATTGTGTGATGTGTTTTGTTGGTACCATTGTTCTTTACTTTATTTTGCCCGAAACTGAGGGAAAAACTCTCTTCGAAATCACCGAACACTTTGCCAGTAATTCTAAGTTAAGCAACAAAGTAACACGAATCAAAGATATCCGCAAAGGCGAAATAAATAACGCTTATGTTTCAAATGACGAAACTAGAGTCTAATTCTTCCTTTCTTCTCTCTTCTAGTCTAGTTTATTATTACCGATGTTTTTTCCAGACTTTGACGTACGTTGCTGAAATCACTCAGCCGAGTCTCAGAGGAATTTTAGCATCCACAAGCACAGTCTCTGTGATCTCAGGTATTTTAGCCCAATTCTTACTAGGAACATTTCTGGCTTGGCGAACAGTAGCTTTAGTTAGTTGCATTGTCCCTTTTTTCTCCTTCACTCTCCTCTTCTTCGTCCCGGAAAGCCCTCATTGGTTGATTTCGAAAAACCGGTTCCTGGATGCCCGCCAAAGCCTGGCCTGGCTGCGAGGCTGGACCGACTTAACCTCAATTGAGCCAGAATTCAAGGAACTCTCCCAACAAATCACAACCCGTCTTGAACTCAAATCCCCCTCCTGGAAGCTTTACTTCCGGAAGAATTTCCTCTGGCCTTACTGTCTAGTCTCCTTTACGTTCCTTCTGGGACACTTTTCGGGAATGACCACCCTCCAAACGTACGCTGTTAAAATTTTCTCCGATTTGAGAGCCCCCATTGATAAATACTACGCAACAATATTCCTGGGGGTGGCCGAAGTTTTCGGGTGCCTCCTCAGCGCGTGTTTGATCCACTACGTGGGAAAAAGAGTGATGAACTTCTTTTCGCTACTCGGCTGCGGCTCGTGTTTCCTCATCACAGCTTTCTATGCACAATCGAGCCAAACCAGCGACTCCAACTGGATTCCAATGACTCTCCTCATCGGGGCCGCTTTCTTCACCCATGCTGGTATTAGAATCCTACCATGGATGCTAGTAGGAGAAGTGTACTCGAACGATACCAGAGCCACAGCCTCAGGGTTGTCGGGAGGCTTGAGCTACATTTTTGGGTTTATTTCGAACAAGAGTTTCCTCAAAATGGTGGCCTTTATGACGCTTCCGGGGACGTTTTGGTTTTATAGCGGGTTTTGTTTCGGAGGAGCTGTTATTATGTACTTTGTATTACCGGAAACTGAAGGAAAAACTTTGTTTGAAATTCAAGAACACTTTCTCGGGAATCTCAAAATGGACAATAAAGTGGGGCGAACGAAGGACATCACAGGGATAGGAGAAGTCAATAAAGGGTTCACGGGAGATGAGGAAGACGCTAAAATTGAGAGTGAATTATAACTATGTATTTTGAAAGTGCTGTAACATTTTTATTTATGTAATAAACAATGTTATTTCGTTAAAATTTTATTTTGGTTGTATAGGCAACCAAAAATACAAATGTGTTAACATATAGTCTAAATATTTTAGTGTCTTAAAATGTAAACCTGATAAACTCGTCATGTCGTAGGATCATTATTTAATTTATTTACCTGTATCGATAATAATAAATTAAATAATTACAAGACACGCGATAAAAATTACTTATAAAACATATTTTTATGGCAAGTGTCAACAGTTGGGCCTTGAAACTTAGAATAAATTGATAAAAACATAAAATTAGGTACGTTATTTCTTATCTAGCAAAATTATTGTTTATGTGTACAATGCTTGGCGCCTCCTTAAAATAGGCCTTCCCACATGATTGCGTCAAGCACGTGAGCCCAAAAACACCCTTTTGCCCACTGCCAAAGAATGTTGTATGTTTTCTGTTGACACCGAAGAGTGACGTCGACGTCACGCGTTTAAAAATACTTTCCATCTCGATGCGTCGCGACGTCTTTGAAGAGGTCACTCAGTCGCATCCGCGGTGCGATTTTGAAGCAATTTTCCGGACTGTATCCCAAACGTGTGCGATTTTCTGTGTCTGTGGCGTCTGGAATGGATCGGGACGACGACGACGGCGTCGGATACGTCGCCGAAAGCCACTATTTGAAGAGCCCCACGGTGGCCGAACAGCAGGCCATGGCTCTCCTTCAGATACCCCCGAGGGAAGGCCGGGAGGGGAGCATCTCCTCCAGCGTCAGCGACTTGGATGTGCCTATCTACTCCTCGGAAAACCTCACCACGACCTCCAGAAGACCCATTCATTCCGTAAGTGGGAAAGTCACGTCGTAGCTTAAACCGGTTGTCGTGACAACAACAATCATTTGACACTTGGGTTATGTGTCAAAATCACAATATATAACACGCGTTGTCTTGGTAACTACAAGTTATATCTTTGACAATTCTTTGACACACTGTCAAAGCGGTGTTATTCAACCGAAGTTTCAAATATCAGCGCGGTAAACGTCACGACACACCCGCCGGCTCGACCAATGAGGGCCCGGCGTCGTGCCAAGCCTTCTTAATCGATTTTATAAATAACCTAACACATTTTGCGCAATAATCTCGGTTCGCCTTGACTTTTAGACGATTCGAGTTATGTTTAAATAGAATGAAAGGATTTCCGCGATAAATTCGTTGTAATATTGGCACATTTTGTGCAATTAACGTAAAACACGTGACTTGGTGACGTCACGTGGCTTCGAGGGCGTCCTAAGGTCGAGCTTTCCACGGATTTCCATCGTAGCTTTTCCGCGTGACGTGCGATTTTCCCGAATTGTAACAGATTTTTCTGATTTGGATTGTTGGGTATGTGTGGATAGGCATGCTTTCATTGTTTTGCATCCAGTAGGTTGCGATTTTGGTTAAGTAGATTAGAAATTGTTTTTGGGTTTGTTTTTGTTTCTGAAAATATGCTTTACTTGAGAATAAAAATAGACCAAAATTAGAAAGTTGTTGATTTTATTTACTCCAAACTCGTTTTTAATTAGTTTTTGACGTTTTACAAGTTAAAGAAAAGTTGGCAAGTATTTGACACATTCCACAGGTGTCTAAATGAATAAACAAGACTATTAAAAAACTTTTTGTTAATTTTTTCACCAAAATATCTTGCATTTTCTTTAAATTTAAAGTGTCACTGATCTTCTGAGTATCAGGCAAAGGCCGCAAAGATCATCGAACTTGAAAAATCAGAATTGCACAAGACATATTTAATTAATTGGTTTTTCCAAATAAATAACAAAAATTACGACACAATCAGTTCCGAATTGCTGTAATGCTGTAGTAACGAAAAATTGCACAATACTTATTTAGTTGCTACATCAAAAATAACAGATAACAAAAAAAATGAAGCTTATTTACTGTTACCTAGCACTTGCCTAATTGTAATTGTCACGATTTTGGTTGTCCTCCGCAATTCGGAACACATACTAAATCTCTTCATTAATTAATTAAATTATCAGTTGTCAGTTATGACTTAAATAAATGTATATTTTCAAACATTTCTCGCGGATTTAAGTTATCTTTGTTGTGGACTTTGGTTATTTTTAAATTTAATTATCCTCATAATTCTTTAAGCAAACAAGAATCTCTTAATTGTTTTTGCACTTCTCAAAGCGATTTTTTTATTTTGAATCATTTCTTGTTTTATATTTTGCTTACTAGTAAAAATTTTGGCAACAGTTTCGTTTCATTCTCTCATTTTTTCTCACTTGTTCAAATTTTAGCCCAGTTTTGTCAATGTATCGACCCCACCTCTACCGAATTTTAATATTTTTTTGTGATTTAACGCAGCTCAAACGTGATGGATTCTGAGGTGAGCCATTTTAATTGGTCGAATCGTGTCTAGACTTACAATTAAATTAATTTGTTTAATGCCGCTCTAGAAGAAGGAATTAGATAGTAAAGACTCAAACACCAACACTTCAACAACAGCTTCGGCCGTTTCAAAGATTGATTCGGTAGGTATAAATCTTGTTTACTGTTGGAGGATGCGACCACTTGACCACGTTAACATCAATTAACGGTAATTTTTCGAGTAATTAAGTCGAGAATAGGGCGTTTTTGGTCAATTTTCTAAGAATAGAAGTGTCAGTTGATTTAATTGAACGAGTAAATAGTGGCGGAGCAAAGAACTGAACTTAACCAGTTTTGAGGGTCGGTTTGTCAAGTGGTGGGTGGAATTTTGCGAAATTATCGTATCTATCAACGATATGGTGTTATTTGTTTACAATGATAAAGTTTTATTACGACAGATGTTGGATTATTAATGGTTTTATAGAGGAAATGTCATTTTTTTAGATTAAGGGAATTTTAAATGGCTTAAAGTTAAGTTAGAGGGATTCGAAGTCCAAAAGTGCAAACTGAGATTTATTTAGAAATGAAATCAATTTATCTGAAATATTCGTCGTAATTATTTAATTTTCTAATATTTATAATTAGAAATAACGGACACCAAATGCAGAGTGGGGCTGATATCTGGCTAATTTGTTTACTGTTATCAGGAACATTTGAAATACGACGCTATTGGGCCGTTATCAGCCCTAAAATTGGATCAATTAGGAAAACAACCATTTTTCAAATATTTTTATATATTTACATAAATAATTATTTATCATTTTCGCTCTTATCACAAAATGCTTAACCATTATTTTTATAAAAAATAAATTCAAAATACCACTCACTTGTAATCTGGTTTTGTGGGTCTTAATTAATTTCAACTCAACAAAAATCTAAGTAAGACACAGTTTCAAATTTACGCAATTGTCATAGATGTATAATTTTGAGTGGGAAAAATATTTACTTTATTTATTCTTATCAAAGTGTGGTACGTTACGTGTTAGTGAACTTTTATCAGACTCAAAAATTTGATCAATTATGGGAAATGGCCATTTTGAACATGTAATGAAGAAATAAAATTTCTGGTTCAGGCAAATTTGGAATTTCGAACTCATGTTTGGATGATTTTAAGTTAAGTTGTAAAATTTCCAAGGATTTAGAAAATTTTGCTGGAATTTTTGAAACTTTGCAACTCCAAATAATAAAAATTGGTCTTTATCAGTGCAAAAACTCAAAAAAAGAAACCATCACTTTGCCTCTTGTTTATTCCATATTCATCACTTTCAATGTCAGCCTCCATGACCCTCATTGTAAACAAGTCGCCTCTATAACCCATTTAAATCAATTTGAATATCAATCAGTTAGCTACATTTCCACTTTTCGGCCCCACCCATCGCCCATATGGGCTCTTCGTGCGTTTTTATTGCTTGTAATTGATCAATTTGGTGTCTCCCATCTCTGGTAATAAAGCAACATTCCCATTGTTGATCCCACCACAATTCTTCCGTTCCGGCAAACATTACGGTCTTCCACGTCCAGTTTTGCTACCTACGTTGACCAGTATGCTGTGACGTATACCTGCGTCTACCCTTTTGATTCTTCTTGCATGGGCAGTGTTGTGTGGTGGGTTCGAGTAATCTGTGTGGCGTGAGATTTCCTCTAGTAAAATGGGACAAGAGGAGAAGGTTTGTACGCATCTGTTTGTATTTTTCAACGTCATGATTTAAATGCAATTATGGTAATTTAATTGAACACATTTCTTGATTTTCTAACCAACTTGAGGAGAATTTCAATTGCATTATATGCATTTGTGTGATTTGAATTTTGTCAAGGACGAATTATCAGCATTGCAAGATGTTATTATAAAATTATTATTATTTATCAAACGTACCTATTTGATTGTTCTTGAATTAATTATTTTCTCTAGTCATCAGTGATTGTACAAGTTCAGGGATTATATATTTTTGTTCTCTGTATCTTGAGTAAATATTTAAAGGAATTTGGGTAGGAAACAAAGTTTCAAAGTTTAATACTAGAAAATATTGCGCAATTGATATTTATTAGAGAATCACCACTACTAAGGTCATTTTCGTAGAATAAGTTTAGATTATATTTTGCTATAATTTGACTATGATTTCATAATTATTTTTAATTATCAAGATTTAGGAAGGGAAATAAAGTGTAAAACAAACAAATGGAAGGGCCCAAGTTTGTCCTTTGAGTTTGAGGCTCTTTTTTCAACGTTCACAGTCTTTCTTATGCTTAGGTTTTATGACAGGAGTTCGACTTTTGATCTTTATCAAAATTATATGACATTTTTTATGCTTTCTGTTTTATTGTCTACATTTTACTTATTTCGTGACAATTAAATCGCTAGTAAACTTGGAAAGTAAATTGTATTAGCCGGTAGTGTTAATTTCGATTTCGATACTTTAGTGACTTAAAAATTTACAAAAGTAAGTAGAAAGACACTTATTTCGGTATACAAAAGTTTTTTATTTTCTGATTTTTTTTACACAATTTTTTCTAGTAAATGCTTTGATAAAAATAAAATGTAGTTTTAATAATGAATAGTCCATAATACATAATTTATGTCATAATTTATAAGTTTTCAAGGAAATGCAATAAATTAAATACAGGGTGTCCGGAAACTTGGGCATCTCCTTGAAAGGGACTAATTGGGTAGTCCCCAAGAGTACTGAAAAAATGTTTAAAATATTCTATCTGTCAAAAAATTTTGACATTTATTATTTGACATGTGATATTTTTTATGTCTATTTAATGGTACAAAAATTTTGCCAATAAAACTCACAAATGACACTTTAGGATAGAACTTTTTTGTATCCTCTTCTAATATCCTGTACTTGGAAACTTTGGAAAATTATTTTTTCAGCAAAAATAAATAACAATAATATAATATTAAAAACTTTTTTGCTCAAACTTGAACAGTTTTTTTGTTATCAACTGTTTGCTTGTCTTAGATAAAATGAATACAAATTTTCTATTTCCAAAGCCTACTTTCTTTAATTTAATTTAATTTTCAAATTGCCTAAAATCAAAAGTTAGTGAGCTTGTTGAAAGACTATTTAATGAGGAATCTAAAAATAATAAAATATACAGGGTGTTCTATTTAAAAAACTGAAATTAATGTCACTTTCGGTGCAACAGGAAGCAGCCATCCATGCCAAACAAGAAACTGTTGAACTTTGTTTCAAGAAGTATTGGCAGATCTTAAAAATAATGGCTTGGGGCGTTTTTTATAATACAGCCTGTATAATAAATTAACTCATTTTATGAGTCAAACCATCTATAAATTTGTTTCGTTAAAAAAAAATCTTATTCTGAGATATAAAAAGGTGTTTTACTTAATACTCTTTACTTCAAAACAAAAATTAATTGTGTAAAGATTATAAAAAAGGTGCAGAAAGCTGTGAAAAATATATCCAAAAAATACTATCTAATTTATCAGAAGATTAAATTAAAAAATTCTTATCCACTATATGACGAAAAACAATCTTCTAAGTATTTGATCGCTTGATAAGATAACTGTAATAACTGTAATTGGTTGAAAAAAAGGGCTTGTCATGAGAATGACTAGTTCAAAATTTTAAGCCATTATTTTAAATAAAAATTAAAACTAATTGTAATGTTACTTACGTAGGTAATTAATTAGAGTTTATAAAAACTTTCTCTGATGAAAATAAAATTAAAAATACGAAGACAATGTATAAGAAGTCAAAAAATAATAAGAAAAATTAAATAAAAATTTTATCTTTCTCCAAAGAATTTTACAATAACGAATTTAATCCTTTGAAGAAGCCAAATAAATAAAAAATAAATAAAGGGTGTTAATAAATATTTGAATTTAAATTTTTACTGAGAATAGAGATAAGTTTTAAAATAAATAAAAGAGTAAATGTATAAATACTCTATTTGTAAATACAGACGAAAGTGCAAAGTAATGAATAAAATAAAATTTTTCGCTGCCGTTTTATTTTAACACCTGATGGCGCCCATTTAAGATAAGATTTTTGTAAATTCCTGGAATTTTTATTTTCCATTATCTCACTGCACAAATTCTGAGAAAAAAAATCATGAAAATTGCACGAAGTTGCATTTAGCACGCCGATAAACCCAAAAATAATTCTCCATTCATCCACTTAATCATTTTCGTGTGATTACAAAAAGACCATATTTTCGTCTTCTAGACGTATATCCCGCCGACTTTGACCCCATAATTCTTACCAGATCGCTTATGTTTGCTCAATAAGTAAACATTGTTAACACATTCCGTTATCATCTCATGACGCGCCCACCATTTCGACCAATCGTTCCATGAAACCTCCTCACACCCTCACATCTGTTCAAACCGCGACCGCGAGTGCGAGAAAATGGGCAAAGGTGGCGAAAAATTAAACCTCCAAGTGGAGAACGGCAACGAGATTGTTGGTGACAAAGCAGAAGCACCGGATTTAAAGCACGTAAGTGAACCGGAAGTTGGTGAATAGAGGCAAGAAGCGTGAACCGGAAATGTAATTTTAATAATTCGAAAATTAGGTGACTTGTGGCATATGATTTCCCTCGACGGATTTCCGGAGAGATAAATTTTCCTCAGTGGATTTTTTCGACGATATCTTGTGACGATTGTAAATCATTTTCAGGGTTTCAACGGCAAGCTCATCTTTGCGATCATTGCGTCAGCTCTGGGGTCCTCCTTCCAGCATGGGTACAACACGGGAGTCATCAACACCCCCCAAACAGTAAGTTTATTTGTTGAAGTTTCACTATTACAGAAAACTCATATTTTATCAATGAAAAATAATAATTTTCCCAGGTTTTAGAGGAATGGATTTCACAAGTTGTGGGGAACCGTACTGGCATCCCCCCATCGGCCTCCTCGGTGACCCTCGTTTGGTCCCTCGCCGTCTCAATTTTCTGCGTGGGGGGCATGATCGGGGGCGTATGCACCGGCTACGTCGCTGACCGATTTGGTCGCAAAGGGGGCCTTCTCCTCAACAACATCCTTGTCTTCTTAGCTACTATCTGTCTCGGTTCTGCTAAAGCCGCCTCTTCGCATGAACTTCTCATTCTCGGAAGATTCCTCATTGGGATAAACTCGGGGCTAAATGCCGGTCTCGCCCCCATGTACCTTGCCGAAATCTCCCCCATTAACCTGCGAGGGGCTGTCGGGAGTGTCTACCAACTAGTCATCACGATTTCGATCCTTGTTGCACAAGCCCTGGGGCTGAAATATGTCTTGGGGACCCCCGAACATTGGCCCGTGTTGTTTGCCCTGACTGCTGTTCCAGCGCTGTTTCAAGTCGTGACGCTTCCCTTGTGCCCCGAGTCCCCCAAGTACTTGTTGGCGTCCAAGGGGAATGAAATGGAGGCTCAGAAAGCCCTGGCTTGGCTCAGAGGCAGTTTGGCCGTCCAGGAGGAGATGGAACAAATGAAAGCGGAGAATGACGCGGCCAAGTTATTGCCAAAGGTCACAGTGAGGGAGCTGTTGACCAATAGGGCACTCCGAATTCCGCTAATAATTTGTTTATGTGTGATGATAGCGCAACAATTGAGTGGAATCAACGCTGTTATTTTCTTCTCGACTTCGATTTTTAAGGATTCGGGACTTAAGGATGACAGTGCGACTTTTGCAACGATGGGAATGGGCGCGATTAATGTCCTCATGACGATTGTATCCTTGGTCCTTGTCGAGAAAGCAGGACGAAAAACGCTACTTCTCATCGGATTTGGCGGTATGGCCATTGATACTCTTCTCCTAACCATAGCGATGAAACTGACGGTGAGTTTGTCAAAAATTTTGCCCAGAAATGTGACCCTTGACTTTTCAGACCGTCGAGCCAAATTTGAGCTACTTATGCATCGTCCTTGTTTTTATTTACATAATTATGTTCGCCTCCGGCCCTGGTTCAATCCCTTGGTTTTTGGTTGCGGAGCTTTTCAATCAATCGGCGAGGCCTACAGCCGCCTCTTTAGCCGTTTGTACCAACTGGACGGCTAACTTTTTGGTCGGTTTGGCCTTCTTACCAATTACGGTAAGTGCAAAAATATTGTATGTGACTCGTGATAATTTTTTTCATCTAGAACGAAATTGGCCCGTACGTTTTCATAATCTTCGTCATTCTAAACTGCTTATTCTTCCTTTTCATCTACAAGAAGGTTCCAGAGACGAAAAATAAAACCATCGAAGAGATTTCGGCTCTGTTTAGACAACAGTCGTACCAGTAATTTGGATATTTACTTGTAAATATTGACTGAGGTAAAAATATAGTCTTAAGTTAGGAGAATTATTTTTGAATACATTCGTAGTTATTTATTGTGGCAGATCTTCGAAATGAATAGTATCTTTGTGTGGTTAGGTTTTAAGGGGATCTGTGTGAGGCTCTCTTTTAGGATTCTAGTTTCCCGAATAATTTATTTATTTATTTAGGTTGTGGTAATGCTATGAATGTCTGCTACTAATTACGCAATTGTACTATTCGATACGAACTAAAAATGAAACCAAAAAAAAAACATAAGTGTTCGATGTGAATCAGGTTATCACTTTTTGTACAATTCCTTTAAGCAATTTACCGACCTGAGTTTATTTTAATAATGATATTGCAAATAATGTGTGTGCTATGTGTATGTGTGTAGGTGTAATATTTGTTTATAAAATAAGTTTAAAAAAATAAATTTTAAGTTTTTCAAACTCTTTGTTAATAAATTCATCCCTAAAGTTCTCTAACTGCTAAACGCCTGGTAAATCCCAGATATACAGGGTGATGAAAAAAAGGCGCCCACGATTGAAACAGGCGCATCCTCTTTTATTGAAACATTGTGACCATCATTCCAAAAATAGTCTAAATAGATTCTTTTTAAAATTTAAACAGTTTGTCTAACAGCACAAAGCGGCAATATTGCACAATTTTCTTTTACTAAAAAACTATTTCACTCAGGTGTTTTTCGTATCTAGGAAACCTTTTTGACTTTAATCGTTCAAATTTCACAGAACAAACAACATTGAAAATTGATTTTTTTGTTGCTACCGTTTCCAATAATTGAATATTACTTGGACATTTTCTGTATCCTAGGATATTTGCAATGTTGCAACATTGATAAATTTTCTTTGGAGCCAAGAAATGGTATCCAAACATCTTCAATAAAGTTTATTTCAATAGACATTTTTTTTAAGAACACCGTCAACAGTATCAAAATCTAGACTTTAACAATGAAATTATTTCAAAACTGTTAATTATATAGATTTCTCTTTTCTAAAAAGGAAAGTCTATATCTAACTGATAAGAGCACAAATCCAATTTTGGTTTTCGAATTCGTCTTTAATAAAAGATCACTTATAACGTGTGGGTTAAACGGGCGCCTTTTTTTCATCATACTGTACAGATCAACTAGTTTTTTTAAAAACTAAAATTTTTTTCATCGCCTCAAATTTTTTCGTCCTTCTATCGCATGTCGCGTTACAGCCGGCCGCGGAGTAGGGGGCCAATATGGCGGCGCCCATGCCTCGCATCAGCTGACCGTGTAGCATTTATATTCTTATTCATTCGTGCAAGTGCTCCGCGTTATTTGTGTGTTATGATCAGTGTATTGATGCGAAAAAAAGTTTCACTTGCATCGTGGTTTCTTTAAACCATAGCAGTTTTTTATATTGGCTAATCTCAAAAGTCTGAAAGCCATGTTCAAGTAAAAAATGTCGCTAAGTTAAAAACAATAAATTTTTATGATGTTTATTTTGAAAACTACATTTTTTAGTCTTTCCATTGACTCACAATTTCTTCCACCGTCTTGTTCTTGGTTTCTGGCACCATTTTGAGGATGAAAATGAAAAATATAACATTCAAGACGACAAAAATCAAAAACACGTACGGTCCAATAGCTCCCTAAAACACGGTTTATTTCAAGTTTTGATAAATATTTTCTTACCGCGATCGAAGGAAACGTTAAAGTGACAATAAAGTTGGCAATCCAATTAGTTGGAACTGCGAGGGAAACAGCTGTAGGTCTCGCCTCTTGATTGAAAATTTCCGTGACCAGAAACCATGGTATAGAACCAGCACCCGCAGCAAAAAGTATGATATAAATACCAATCAAAACGATACACACCCATGGAATCGCAGGATGTGATTTCTGAAAGTTTTGATGACTTTTTGAAAGTGCTATTGAGTACTCACCGAGAAATGCAAAGCCATTGATAGCAAAAGAGTGTCAATTGCCATTCCTCCAAAGCCGACCAAGAGAAGAGTCTTCCTTCCAGCGATATCGACCAACATCATGGAAATCACAGTCATGATAAGATTGACTAAACCAATTCCGATTGTGGCATACTGGGCGTTTTGTTCGGACAAACCGCCACTTATGAAGGTTTCAGTTGAGTAGAAAATAACCTGAGAAGGTTTGAGTATTTTTGCAGTTGTATCGAACTTACAGCGTTGATTCCACTGAATTGTTGAGCTACCATAACGAGCATAGCGATCATCAAAGGAATTCTCAAGGACCTCTCTCGGAACATTTGTTTGAGGGTTACTTTTGGCATGGCTTTATTCGCCTCGTCTTCGTGCTTGAGTTGGGAAAACTCTTCATTGACATCCTCCGATTTTCGGAGAAATTTCAACGAGTTTTCCGCTCGCTCATTGTTCTGTTTAACACTCAACAAATATTTGGGAGACTCGGTGCAAAAGAAGAGTGTAATGACCTGGAAACAACCTCGGTGCAAAAATTTCGATGTTTGTTTATAGCCCAGTCAAATTAGACAAATCGGTGGAAAAAAATCCTACAGAGTTGGATTTTTTTAAACGCTTTCTTTATACTTGAGTAGACATACAGGGTGAATATAAAGTATGGAACCAAGCGGTTTTATTTTTAATCATTTACCTCCGGAAAATAATAATTAATATAAATTAAAGTAATATAAAAAATGTGATCGTAATTTCAGAACGAAATTTCGTTTTGTTTTTGAGTTATGCGATTTTTTTTTGTCAAAATTGCAATTTATGTGAAAAAAATTTTTTTTTTAAATTAAAAATAAAGCAGATAGTTGTAATCCTTAGAGTACAGCTTTCATGAGAAAAATATATAGTAGGTTGCCATTTAAAAAAATTAATTTTTTTGTAGAACTCAAAAATAAAAAGAAATTTCGAAAAAATTTATTCTTCTTAAATCATCACATTTTTATAGTACTTTAGCACTCATCAATTAGTTTTTTCAAAAAATAAATAGTTTAAGCAAAAAACGTTTGCTTCCATACTTTTTATTCACCTGGTATATCAAAAGTCCCCGAAGGTGAGGGGCGAGCTCGAGGAGGGGGAGGGGGAAAAGGTGTCTTTTTTTGTTTTTTTGCTTATATCTCGGAAATTATCACTCCTATAGGTTTTTATCTTCTTAGCAAAATTAAAGTTTACAAAATTTCCTGCAAAAATGTTTTTTTGCATTTTTGTTGTAGGACTAACCGTAAGCGAGTTATAGGGCAGAAAAGAAACATTATTTAAAAAAAAATGTGCTTTATCTGCATTTAAAACAGAATTAGTCTTGTAATTAAAAAAAACTGACAGTAAATTGAATTTACCAATACTTCATTAAAGGAAGAGGGAGTCACGAGGGTCTATAAATACAAACTCATCGTTTATATAATTTATGCAGAATTTTCTGTAGAAGTCTCTTTCTGCATCAAAATTTCCTACAAAAATGGTCCTATTCATTTTGTAGGCTTTAATTTTGATAAGCAGGCAAAAACTGTTAAGAGATACGCAAAAAAACAAAAAAAGACACTTTTAGCCCCCTCCCCCTCCTCGAGTTCGCCCCCCATCTTCGGGGACTTTTGATATACCAGGTGAATAAAAAGTATGGAACCAAGCGTTTTTTTCATAAACTAAGCACTTTACGAAAAAAATAATTAGTGTAGCGTAAAGTACAATTAAAATGTGACCATTTATCTAAAATAACATTTTTCGAAATTTTTTTTAGTTTTCGAGTTCTGGAATTTTTATTTTTTTTTTAAATGGCAATCCACCTTGGTAATTTTTTTAATTAAAGATTATGATCTAAAAATGACCTCTTGTTAAATAAACGACCCCCTCGTTCATGTTCGGAAAATCTTCGTGATGGGCTCGGAACGCAACTTTAACAATTTATTTAAAAAAAGTACTGACTAAAAAACAATTTTGTTTAATTGAGAGATCATTTTTAGATCATAATCTTTAATTAAAAAAAATACCATGGTGGGTTACCATTTCAAAAATTTTTTTTTTCCAGAACTCGAAAACTAAAAGACATTTCCAAAAATGTTATTCTTGATAAATGGTCACATTTTAATTGTACTTTACGCTACACTAACTATTTTTTTCGTAAAGTGCTTAGTTTACGAAAAAAACGCTTGGTTCCATACTTTTTATTCACCTGGTATGTCTACCCAAAAATAAAGAAACCGTTTAAAAAAAATTCCAAATCTCTAGGATTTTTTTCCACCGATCGCCCTATTTTTATCTATTTGACTGGGCTATTATACCTGGAAAATCCCGAAAGCAATGGGAAGCAAGAAAAGGATGTCCCAATGTTTGTTTCCTAGCATCATTTCAAGTCCCACAATTTGGGAAATAAGAATGGAAATTACAATAAGTAATTGATAAACACTCCCAAGGGCTCCTCGAAGATCCACGGGCGAAATCTCTGTGAGGTACATGGGACATAGACCGGCATTGAAACCACAATTTACCCCGATGATCAACCTCCCCAATATCATCATCTCGTACAAGTTTGCCAGTTTTGCAAAACCCATCAAGACTGACGCTATAAAAACCAGAACGTTGTTGTAGAGCAACGCGGATTTGGGGCCGAATTTAGTCGATACCAGTCCACTCAAAACCCCTCCGATGGTGCCCCCCACGTTCATAATGGACGTCATAACACCCCACAGCACGTTGATTTTTGACTCAGATACAGAACCCAGTCGGTCACCCCATACCGACTCTATCCATTCTTTCAAAATCTTGAAAAGGTTTCTCATTAAACGGTCGAAAATTTTCGAAACTTACAGCTTGGGGGACGTTGATCACTCCGGTGTGGTACCCATGCTGGAACCCAGAGCCCACTGCTGCAGCGACGATTGCAAGAACTAGATTACGATTGAGACCACCCATTCATCGGAAAAATTGTGACAGTTTGATTTTTTCACAACCATTCACAACAAACTCGATTGAGTAGATGGCAAAATTAAAATGTCAGTTTGTACCAGATTTGTTTTGGCAATTTTGGTCACTAGTCTAGGTTCGGGGTTCCAGCATGGTTATCACATTGGAGTGCTCAACGTTCCGGCAAAAGTGAGCCAAACACTTGGCAATGTTCTGTAAAAATTCGCCTCCAGGTTCTCCAGAAATGGATAAGTCATATCAAAATCCATGAAGAAGAGGCGGAAGAGCCAAAACGGAAAGAATTGTCCTTGCTTTGGTCCACAGCAGTGGCAACTCACTCAATTGGAGGCATACTCGGGTCTTTCATGATTGGCATCTTCGTTGATAGTTTAGGTCGAAAACAGAGTCTCCAGTTCAACAATTTCATTGCTTTGGTCGCTGCTCCAACCATGTTTTTTTCGAAAAAGGCCAAGTCGTATAAAATGTTAATCATGGGTCGATTTATAGCCGGAATCAACTCCGGCCTAAACATGGGTCTATGCCAGATATACCTAAGTGAAATTTCCCCAGACAAAATTCGGGGAGCCGTTGGGAGTCTCTACCAATTTGCTATCAGTTGTTCCATTTTAGTGTCACAAATTGCCGGAGTTTTCCTTGGAAGTGAAGACAACTGGCCGTATATTTTCTTACTCCCTGTTATCCCAGCTTTGTTTCAATTTTTTTTACTCTTTTTTTGCCCAGAATCGCCAAAATTTCTAATCACTCAATTAAGAGATAGAAAGGCTCTCAGAGCACTAATGTTGTTACGAAGCGAGCAAGACGCCATAGATGAATTCGAGATGTTGAAAGAAGAGGATAGTCTAGCGAAACAATTACGTGGTTTCTCCCTGAAACAGATTTTACGAAATCAAGTCATGTCCAATGTTCTGTCTTGTTGCCTTGTTTTAAATGTAGCCCAGCAAATGTGTGGCAAAAATGCCGTAAGTTGTGCGAGTTGTGAATTTTAGTAGTTTAATTTGAACTTTATTGAAGCTTACTTATTTTTCTGTTGAAATAATGGAAAACATGGGCTTGGCCTCAAGTGCGGTTTATAGCACTATCGGAATGAACATTTTATCTTCAATTGCCACACTAGGGGCTATTTTGACCGTCGATAATTTTGGCCGTCGCCCCCTCATGAAAATCAGTTTAATCGGAACGATTTTAACAACATTTTTTTTGTTCATATCCCTTTATTTGGCAGTAAGTTATTGATTTTGTTGACTAGAATGTGATTTTTTTACATTTTAGGAAAACGTTCTGCACGATTTGAAATATCTTTCTGTTGGTATTGTTTGTTTGTTTCATATTTTTTTTTCAATTGGCATTGGCCCAATCGCTGTGTTTATCACAGCCGAACTGTTCACTAATACAAACCGCACCATCGCAGTGATTTTAGCAACGGCGACCAACTGGTCATCGAATTTTATCATAGGACAAGCATTTCTAGCCCTCGATGTACAAAATAAATCCTCGTTTAGTGTAACACTCAAAAAATCGTTTCTAGAACGAAATCGACTTTTACACGTGCTTGGTTTTCCTAGTCTTGGACATTTTTTTCTTCTTTTACATCCGCCTCCGCTTGCCCGAAACCGCAAAACTCAGTTCGATTCAAATATTCAAAATGTACGACATTGAAGAAATAAACTTCTCATAAAATTTTTGTTTTACTGTCACTTGTCAATGTGTCGGAAAATCTACTTTGCGATCCTCGTCGTTAGTGTGGCTTCGGGTTTCCAGCACGGCTACCACTTCGCCATTGTTAATAACCCTTCAGAAGTGATGCAGGAATGGATTAAAGAACTGAAAATAAAACAAGAACGAATAAATCCAAGTCACGCCGGCGTGGATCTGATTTGGGCCGTCGTGGTGGCAATTTTCTCCGTCGGGGGGACAGTGGGGGCGCTCATGATCGGCATTTTTGCGGACAATTTCGGCCGGAAGGGGAGTCTCAAGTGGAACGCTCTTCTGGTCCTGGTGGCGGCGGCGATAACACTTTACTCGAAGAGGGCAGCGTCGTATAAAGTGCTTCTTTTCGGGCGGTTTCTGGCGGGGGTTACCACGGGATTGACCGGGGGGTTGTGCCAAATGTACTCGGTGGAAATTTCCCCCGATGAGATCCGGGGGGCCCTTTCTGGGGTCTACCAAGTCGCGATTAGTTTCTCGGCGTTTGTTGCGACAATTGCAGGAATTTTACTTTCAGAAAAGGACACTTGGCATTATATGTTTGTGATACCCGTATTTCCGGCCATTTTTCAACTTATTGCTTTATCGTTTTGCCCGGAATCGCCCAAATTCCTCTTGATCACACAAGGCAAAGACGCGGCGGCGGAAAAAGCGCTCAAATGGCTGCGAGAAAAAGACGATGTTGAGGAGGAGTTAGATTTGCTGAAAGAGGAAGATAATCTTGTCAAGGAATTACGAGGGACCTCTTTGACACGTATCCTCACAAATCCTCTCATGACCAATGCTTTGATCTGTTGTTTAATCCTGAATATAGCCCAACAAATGTGTGGAATTAAAACGGTAAGTTTGTTGTTTTTCTTCAAGCTTCACCATTTCTAAATTGAAGATAATTCAATATTCGACCTTGATTTTTGAAGAAATGAAATTAGGACGAAGAGTATCCTTTTATATCACTACAGGAATGAATTTACCTGGTGTAATTTCGTCTATAATTTTCTGTTTTATTATCGATAAGTATGGGCGACGTAAAATGGCACTAATTAGCTTGATAGGCTTGACTGTAATAACAGCTCTTATTTTTATTTCTCTATTCTTAGCAAGAGTAAGGATTTTGAGTAGTTTAAACCAAAATCAAGATTTTTAATTCAACAGAGACAAATTGTACCAGACATGAAGTACGTTACTATCTTATCGTACTTTGTATTCAACAGTTTTTATTGCATTGGTATTGGCCCTCTGGCATGGTTTATCCCAGCTGAGATGTTCTACCATACACCTCGAACCATAGCAGTTTGTTTATCAGTTGCAGCCAATTCCATATCTAGTTTTATAATAGGACAAGCGTTTTACGTTCTAAAGGTAAAAGAGTAATTCCATGCCAAAACGATCACTTTTAAAACCCATTGTTTCTGATTTTCCTAAATTTGAGATATGTTATACAACGTGTAAAAATAAGTGAAACGTATTTCACCGTTTTTTATTTTTTCAATGTATGTTGAAAAAACAGGGATGTAAAGAATTTTTATATAAAGAACAAATTCACATATTGAAACGATTTTTTTTAATAATAGATATAAGTAGCTACACTACGGACATAATAATACATGTATTTTAAAAATTTGTTATTAACAAATAACTTAAAAAAATATTGTTTAAACAAAAAAATAAACAATTAAATAAATAAAATAATCTTTAAAATTCTCAAAAAATATATGTAAAAACACTCAAATTTTTATTATGTTTTCACATAAGTTTCAAGACGGACGTTTGAAAAATGACTGAAAAAAAAATATTTTGAGAGCGTTGCATAGTGCAAATTAAATAGAAAAATTACCAATTACCGTCACTAATAAACTGTCAAGAAAACACGTAATTTCCAATAACTTGTTAACATTTATTTTTCAAAAAATATCAATAATATTTTGAGTAAATATTTCACAAATATGTATTTCACATATTACGTTTTGCTACATGGTGTGACAAAATTCCCGGACCAACGTGACATGGCATGTAAGGTAACATGAAAAAAATGTTAAAAAAATTCAATCTGTCAAAATAAAATTACATTTATTTTTTTAAATTTGACATTTTTTATGTCTATCTAATGATATTCATGATCTTGTATATGTTTTTTTTTTTTTTAATTATTTAAAAAAGGTACAATAATTTTGCCAATAAAAGCCACAATTAACATTAGACTGAGTTACAATTTAGGATACAGCTTCCTTCTTTCCTCTTCTAATAGCCTGTAGCAAAAAAACATGGAATAGTATATTAAAGTACAAGTTGCAGAAGGTATCTATCTATCTATTCAAGCACAAATTTGAAATTCCGAAACGAGCCGCGTAGCGGCGAGTTGAGGAACAAATGAGTGCTTGAAGAACCTTCTGCAACAAGTGCTTTATACTATTTTTTTTATTTCGCCGCTTTGTATCATTTTATAAATCAAAAAACGAAAATTAAATTTTTTTTCTAGAGAATTTTGCGACGGTTGGCGACATTTATGTGTGGAATAATTTTAGGCGGCTGTAAAAAATAAAAATTATTCTTATTTTCACATTTGAAAATGAATTGTGAAGAAAGTCCGTCACTAAAATTAAATTACAGCGAACGACTTAGTCGCTGGAATAGACTTATTCTAACACCGAAATAGAAAAAATTATTTCTCCAACAGAAAAAAATATAGTAAAAGTGCAAAATTTAAACTCTCATAACTTCGAAATTTTTATAGATAGATTTTTTTTACATTTTTTTCATCTTACCTTACATGGAATGTCATGTTGGTCCGGGACTTTTGGCTCACCCTGTATATCTATCTAATCGACAAGTTGAAAGACTACGCTTTTTTAAATGATCGATTTAGTCGAGCGAAGCTCATAAAAGGTAGATATGCGAAATCTCCATACTTTTATTCTAATATCAGAAAATAGAATAAAAAAATATAAAGAGTACTCTTCCTCAACAGAGGAATTTGTATTCATTATTGATATTTTTTGAAAAATAAATGTTATGTTATTGGAAATTATGTGTTTTCTATACAACAGTTTATTAGTGACGGTAATTGGTAATTTTTCTATTTCATTTCCAAGGAAACGCTACTTTCAGGCGATCTTAGGGGATCATGCACTATATAGCTCTCTCAAAAAAAATTCTTTTTGGCCATTTTTAAAACGTCGATCTTGAAACTTATGTGAGGACTAGTAAAAATATGAAAGTTTTTACATAAATTTTTTCAGAATATTAAAAACCTGCGTAATCATTTATTTTTTTGTTTAAACAATATATTTTTAAATTATTTGTTAATAACAAATTTTTAGAATATATGTATTATTACGTCCGAAGTGTAGCTACTTATATCTATTATTAAAAAAAAATAATTTCAATATCTTGATTTATTCTATAGATAAAAATTCTTTTTGTTACGAGGTACTTATTTTTGTACATCCCTGTTTTTTCAACATACATTGAAAAAATAAAAACGGTGAAATACGTGTCACTTATTTTTACACGTTCTATAACATATCTCAAATTTACAAAAATCAGAAACAATGAGTTTTAAAAGTGATCGTTTTGCATGGAATTACTCAAGACAAAACCCCTAATCAAAGCAAAATTCGGGAATTATTTGCAGAATGAAATCGGTGTCTACACAACTCTCATATTTATCGTTTTGGATGTTTTTTCGCTTCTTTACATCCATCAACGCCTACCTGAAACAAACAAACTTAGTGCAATAGATGTCATCAACATGTATAACATTCAGCAATAAATTATTCCCAAAAATCATTTATTGTGACACCTGTCAATGTCTCCTAAATTCTTTTTAGCTGTTTTCATCACGAGTGTTGGATCGGGCTTCCAGCACGGGTACCACACTGGTGTTGTCAATATTCCTGCAGAGGTCATAAGGGAATGGATCAGTCTTCTCAAAACCCTCCATGAGGACTCTACAGAATTAGATGTGATTTGGTCGACAACAGTGGCAATTTTTTCGCTTGGGGGGATAATTGGATCGCTAATGATTGGATTTTTTGGGGATACTTGTGGCCGAAAAAGAAGCCTATTTTGGAATAATTTCATCATTCTGGCGGCAATTCCAGTTATGGCTTTTTCTAAGAAAACCGAATCGTTTGTAATGTTCCTCAGTGGAAGGTTTTTCTCCGGGATTAATGCCAGTCTAAATGCTGGTTTATGCCAAATGTATTTAACCGAAATCTCCCCAGATAAAATCAGAGGAGCGGTTGGGAGTCTTTATCATTTTGTGTACGTTTGTTCTATTGTGATGTCACAAATCGCCGGTTTTTTGCTTGGAAGTGATGAAAACTGGCCGTATATTTTCGTAATCCCGGCTTTCCCAGCACTCCTTCAGCTTTTTTTACTTCCATTTTGCCCCGAATCGCCAAAATTTCTCTTAATCACACAGGGAAAAGACAGTGAAGCTACAAAATCACTCCAGAAGCTTCGGGGTCGTGAGGATATCACTCACGAGTTACGGTTATTGGAAGAAGAGGATAGTTTAGTCAAACAAATGCGTGGTTCCTCTCTGAAGATGATTTTTCAAAATCCGGCTATGGCTAATGCCTTGCTTTGTTGCATAGTCCTAAATATGGCACAACAAATGTGTGGCATTAATATGGTAAAAATTGTCACACTTTGGGTTTTTTTTTAAATTTTTTTGAAGATAGTGTATTATTCGACTCACATTTTTGACGAGATGAAAGTAGGTGCGTTAGAATCATTATTCCTGATTGTTGGAATGAGCACATTTTCGGTTATTATAACCCTTGGTTCGGTTTTAACCGTTGATTCTTTAGGTCGGCGTACTTTGATTGAGATAAGCCTGTTGGGACTTATTGTCACAACTATACTTATGATTTTTTCATTTCAGTTTTTTGTAATTAAACAAACCAAAATCTAGGTCACACTGGTTTTTCAACTTCTTTTGTAGGAATATGGACTATGCAGTATGAAATATTTCTACATTTGCTCCGTTTATTTGTTTAATGGTTTTCATTCTGTTGGTCTTGGAACAATTCCGAGATTTATCACCGCAGAAATGTTTCCTCACACTTCGAGAACTATAGCAATATGTGTAACTCTTGCTGTGAGTTGGTCGGCTAATTTTTTGATCGGAGAGGGAGCCCTAATCCTGAGGGTAAGTTATAAACAATTGAAAATAATTCTAATTGATTTTGTAGAGAGAAATCCGATCGTACATTTGTATCATCTATATTTTCTTGGACTTGGTGTTTTTCCTCATTTTGCGACAGCGCTTACCCGAAACTTCAAAACTTAGTGCTAAAGAAATAATAAGTATGTACGAGTACAATAGGGAACAATAAACCACTCGAAAACCAACTTGACTAAATTATTTTTGCTCGCAAAAAAATCCTTTTTTTAAAGGTACAAAAAAGGTTTTTCCAAAATAATTCCGCAGTGGTTGATTCTACGGCAAAAATGTTCAGATGAAAGTTAAAGAAAACAAAATTTCTCACATTTTTTGTATCAACATTTTTTTGTAAGTCTAATGTGTAACGAGTTACAGCGGCGAAAATATGAACATTTTTTCCAAAAAATAGTGAAACTCTCCATTTTGGACGGTAAATTTTGTAAGGTACAAATTACACTTGTTTTTAATGTTTTTTTCCGCACCACAATAATTATTCTATTTTAAATTACACTGATTTTTCTTGTTACATATAGGGTTATTCATAAATAAGGCTCGGATTATATGCAAAATGCATATTTGTTATTAAAAGCTATATCAACAAAATTATAAGTTTTCTATGCATATCTGATGTTTTTTGATTAAAATAGGACAAAATTGTTAAAGAGAAAAATTGTTTAAACTTTTGAGGTTACCATACTATTAATATTTTTTTCTTAAATAAAACGGTGTTTTATTTATTGTTTTACAAAGATATGTTCATGCATTTTATAAATGTACAAAAATATTTATTAAAAATGTTACAATTTATGTTAAAAACTTTATAAACGTTATCTGTTATCAAAACTTCCACCGGCCAAGAGGTGGTACGTTTAAACAATTAATTAAAATAAAAAATATATTGGCAGTGCTTCTTTACAACCTTTCAACATTCATCAATTTATTTAAAAAAAACGAGTAGTTTATTAAAAAAAAATCTTTAATACTTGTAAGTCAAACATTTTTTTAACAAAATGTGTTAAGTTTACAAAAAAACTTGCAATAATTCTTGTAACAAGCTCGTTGTCTAGAAAAAAAATTGTGGTAGATTTCCATTTAAAGATATTAATTTTTTTGGAATAGCAATTTTATAGCCATTGTTCACCTATATTTTTTTGCCAAAAAAATTTATAGTTTCACCAGAAAATAATAAGCGTTTCCAGACTTCTGGACCACTCTGTATATTTAGTCAAATAGTTCCGAAGTTATACAAAAAAAAAACAAATTTTCATACCCACGTTCCGAGGGCTGTAAAATTCTTATCAGTAGAGATAGAACACGAGTTATTATTTAAATTAACACCTTTTTATAGGTCTATACAGGGTGCGCCAGAACACGCGCCCCAGAGAAAAATGCCATATAAGGTAAGATACCAGGAACATGGAAAAAATGTTAAAAAAATTTTATCTATAAAAATTTCGGAGTTATGAGGGTTTAAAGTTTGCACTTTGACTCTATTTATTTCTGTTGGAAAAATAATTTTCCAAGTTTTTTTGCTATAAGCTATTAAAAGAGGAAACAAGGAAGCTGTATCCTAAATTGTAACTCTGTTCAATGTTATTTGTGGCTTTTATTGGCAAAATTTTTGTCCCTTTACTAAATAATTGTAAAAAAACATATACAAGATCATCAGTATCATTAAATAGACATAAAAAAATGTCAAATGTCAAAAAATAAATGTCAAAATTTTTTGACAGATAGAATTTTTTAAACATTTTTTTCATGTTTTTTGTATCTTACCTTACTTGAAAATTTTCTCTGGGGCGCGAGTTCTGGCGCAACTGTATGTAACAAGAAAAATCAGTGTAATTTGAAATACATATCGCTGTATAAAAACATTAAAAACAAGTGTAATTTGTTGTAATTTGGGAGGTTTGCTATTTTTTGGGAAAAATGTTCATCTTTCCGCCGTAGTGTACTCGTTACACATTAGACTTACAAAAAAATTGTTTATATAGAAAATGTGAGGAATTTTGTCTTCTTTAACTTTTATCTGAACAATTTTGTCGTAGAATCAACCGCTGCGGAGTTATTTTGTAAAAAACTATTTTTTGTACCTTTCATCCAAGATGGCGACTCGAGCGGTCCTCCCCCAAGGTCGAAAACTTGGATTTTTTGTCAAGGCTTAGATCTTAACAACATATTAAAAAATTACTACTACCCCACCTTTTGTAGGGCAAAAGTCTTTTTTGGACTATCCTGGTTTAAAACTTCTTTTTGCAAGAACACTTTGGCTTCTGTTGCTTTTTCCAACAATTTCCTAAGCTCCCTAGAAACACCCCAACTGTCCAAACCCTCCCAATCAATAAATTATTTGTCACATTTGACATGGTGCGTGTAAAACACCACCTCGAAAGAATTTTCTCAGTCTCTTGCTCGAAATTCATTTTTGCGGTTATTATCGCCAGTCTTTCAGGCTTCCAGCATGGCTACCACACTGGCATTGTCAACATTCCTGCTGAAGTGAGTTTTCCCAGGAACTGTTTCACAATCCCACTTGCAGGTCTTGCAGGAATGGATCCGGGATATCGTCATTAACCGAACGGGAGAACCCGCAAGCGACAATTACATCATGGTGTTGTGGTCAACAATCGTCGCAATATTCTCACTTGGGGGCATAGTCGGGGGCGCTTTGACAAACCTCTTCGCTGAAAAATTCGGCCGGAGGAATAGTCTGTTATGGAGCAACGTTTTAGCTCTTTTGGGGATCGTCTTCCTAATCTATTCCAAAGTTTCCGATTGTTACGAATTGCTCATTGTTGGGAGATTTATCGCCGGAGTGAATGCCGGCTTAAATTCCGGACTTTGCCAAATCTATTTGATCGAAATCGCTCCGGATAAAATCCGGGGCTTTGTCGGGGGGTTCTACCAACTGGTCATTGCAACCTCCATCTTGATTTCGCAAGTGATTGGAATGAAATTGGGAGATGAGGAGCAATGGCCTTTTATGTTTCTGATCGGTTTTATACCAGTTTGTCTTCAGGTAAGTCGCGAAAAATCTAACCACGAATCAACCTAGGTTTTAGTTGTGTCTCTTACCGCTTTGCCCCGAGTCTCCTAAATATCTTTTGATCACAAAAGGCGACAAAGAAGGGGCCGAAGCCGCCCTAGTTTGGTTCAGAGGCACTAATAACGTTTACAAAGAAATGTACAAACTCAAAGAAGAGGACAATTTACACAAACATGTGAACGACGTGAATTTGAGTAAATTGCTCTGTGATATCTCTTTAAGAAGCCGTTTAGCCGTCTCTTTAATCCTAAATATTGGACAACAATTATGTGGAATTAACGCTGTATGTAGTTTAAAAAAAACAATTTTGTCCATGCTTAAAAAATCATTTCAAGCTGATTTACTTCTCTAATGGGATATTCAGCGATATGGGAATGTCAGAACGAGTGGCCACCTATACGACCATTGCCATGGGTGTGGTGAATGTTGTGGTAACCTTGCTTGGTATTCTCTTCGTGGACTGCATCGGTCGCCGAATTGTCCTCCTAATTGGTTTCCTGGGAATGGGTTTAAGCACTTTACTTTTGGCCATAGTTCTAAATTTAGGAGTAAGTCTCAACGACTTTTACCCAAAAATTCTACTTTTTTATTAGAAAATTGCAAGTTTTATGGATTATATCGCAACAGTTTTGGTTTTCGCTTTCGTAATCCTATTCGCGATGGGTGTTGGTACAATACCATGGTTTTTGACTGGTGAGATTTTCAACCATACCCCTCGTTCCTTCGCGGTTACTATAACCGTCAGCAGTAATTGGTTGTTTAATTTCGTGGTGGCCCAAACCTTTTTGCCCTTACAGGTAATGACCCCAAATTGATAAAAATCGTACCAAAAAAATTTTCAGAGCGTTATTGGAAACTACGCGTTTCTTGTCTTCGTCGTCTTCGACTGTCTCTTCTACTTCTTTACTGTTCTTCACCTCCCGGAAACAGCTCGTCGTTCCGCTAAAGAAATTTTTGAAATTTATTACGAATAAACTATTAACCTAAATTGTCATTTGTTTCAATCAAAAGTGACAGCGAAATGAGTCTCGCTAAATTTCTTTTTTGTGTTGGAACTGTTGCAGGTTCGGGTTTTATTTACGGCTTCCATACTGGTTTCATCAATATTCTCGCAGCGGTAAAACAATCCCCGAACCAAAAACAAGTAAAAGGGTTCTTTTAGACTCTGATGCGATGGTACGACGATGTTTCAGATGAGCGGCTCGACACAAAACAAATTACTGAACCTTTAGATCTGGGTTTTATTCACATTTGGGTCACGATTTCCTTTTTGATTGGTGGTGTGATTGGGGGAGCCCTTGTATATCCCTTTGCTACTTACCTAGGCCGCAAAGCATCTCTATTCTGCAGTAATTTAATAGTGATATTTGCGCTTATCATCGTGAGTTTTGTCAGTCCTTCAAGCGTTTACGAGCTGTTGATTTTTGGAAGAATTCTTCTGGGTATTGCGGCTGGAATTAACAGTGGAATAGGACCAATATATTTGGTCGAGATTTCGCCTTCATGCTTCCGAGGTTTTGTAGGAAGTTCTTATTACTTGATCGCGGCTTTATCAACATTCATGGCTTATGTATTTACCTATCCTACGATTTTGGGGCAAATCGACTCGTGGTCTTATGTTTTTATCGTGTCTGGCTTACCGACGATAATTCAGGTAAGCAAGTGGTGTTTTAGAACTTGAAAAATGCTTGTCTTAAGTCAATATTGCTTATATTTTGTCCTGAAAGCCCCAAATATCTTCTCTTCGATAAAGAGGATGAGGATAGGGCCGAGGATGCCGTAGCGCAGCTTCAGGGAGAAGAAGTGGATGAAGAAATGGATGACTTGAGGGAAGAGGGGGCCCTTTTGGACGAAATTGGACCAGTGCCATTGGAACGATTGTTCAAGGATGAGACCTTTAGGAACCCTTTAATCATCTCGACTGTCGTTAAGTTAGGAGAACAAATGACAGGGATTAGCTGTGTACGTGGTCAAAATTATTGAAAAACATTTTAAATCGTGTTTTTAGTTGTTGTACTTTTCATGTATAATTTTCGAATACCTGGGTTTCGATGATTTCAAAGCCAACGCACTGTCTCTAGGTTTATCTTTTGTGAATTGGGCTTGTGCCCTAATATGCACATTTACGGTGGATAAAGTAGGCAGGAAGCCTCTATTGATGCTTAGTTACTTCGGTATGGTGCTAACAGTGTTTTGTTTTACTCTCACGATGATTCTAGTGGTGAGTAATTAAGAAAAAACATAATTCTTCGAATTCACTTTTAGTCAATTTCAGTTCGACCTAACGAAGCCATTGACACAATCTCCGTCATTTTGATTTATTTCTATGTGATGTTTTTTGCATTAGGGGCTGGTTCAATTTCGTGGTTCTTTACCGCGGAAATTTCGAACCATTTCGCCCGTCCCATGACGGTTTGTATGACGGTAACCCTGTCCTGGATGGTTCAACTTATTTTAGTTGGGTCTTTTATGCCTCTTTGGGTACTTCCCACTCTTACAAATTTGTGACTACTTATTAAAAACTTTTTTGTAGAATGCGGTCCATACTTATACGTTTTTATTTTACATTCTGTTCGATATTGGGACACTTGTTTTTATTATTCTGACGTTCAGAGAAACCGCCAAGATGAATAGTGTCGATATCACAGAAATGTTTTATGACTAAAATTTTTGCCGATGTCACTTTTGATAATAAAATTTATAAGTATCTTAAGAATGTTTTATTGCAATAAATTAGAACGGGAATCCCCGTTCTGTTTGTTGTATTGTTGGTTGCCTACCAAGAAATTGATAAAACAATAATTAAATCATAAAATATTTAATTGAAATACATTTAATCTTTGAGCGAGTTATTTATTAAACTTATGGGCTATTTTTGACCCTTTCTGAGATTACTTCTGTAAAAATGCATGACGTCAGATGTTTTCAGGCCAGTTCACTCTCACGTCACCTGTCATTTTACCAATTTTTCGGAAAAACTCAAAAAAATCACTTGTTGTTTAGCACCGCTCCACGCCTTTCGTTCCATCCTCTCGACTTTGATAGATGACGCGCCCTGGACGATAAACACTGATAAGAAACACAAATTGAGTGCGTTTCGAGTACTCCTAACCTCACTTTCGAAAATGTACAACTAGTCGAAAATGTCGAATCGCAAGGCAAACAGTGCTACTTCGCGACTCAAACAGGATTATTTGAGGCTGAAGCGCGACCCCGTACCATACATCACCGCCGAACCTTTACCCTCGAATATCCTAGAATGGTAAGTGCTGTAGCACCTAAAATGTTTGTTTTCGAGCCAATTTTAGGCACTATGTGGTGTGTGGGCCAGAAAATACGCCCTACGAAGGGGGGTTCTACCACGGGAAGTTGGTTTTTCCGCGAGAGTTTCCCTTTAAGCCCCCTTCTATTTATATGATAACGCCAAATGGGAGATTTCGGACCAACAAGAAGCTGTGTTTGAGTATATCGGATTTTCATCCAGATACGTGGAACCCGGCGTGGAGCGTTTCGACTATACTCACAGGGCTTCTCAGTTTTATGGTATTAAAACTTTTCCTCAATGTATTTTTTGATAATTTTTTAAATTGGGTTTAGCTTGAAAAGAGCCCCACTTTGGGGAGCATAGAAACGTCAGAATACGACAAGCGGCAGTTTGCTTATCACTCGCTTGAATTTAATCTCAAAGACAAGGAGTTTTGTGATTTATTTCCAGACACAGTTACCAAAATCCAGGTTTGTATGTGACTATGGGGGGCATTTTGATGTTTTTGTTTTTATTTAATAGGATGTGCTGACGCAACGGAGTAACATGAATAATAACGTGGCAGAGAACCAGAAACCCTCTCGGTCAGTAGCAGAACCCAGCAATTTCCAATCATGTATTACTAATTTGATAGTATTTATTGGTGTTGCTGCATTTGCGATTACGGTAAAATACGTAGTAATAACAACGGCGTCTGAAGCTGAATAGGGTTAAAAAAACGGCAAAAGTCACATTTTAAGTTTACTTTTCTTTGGTTTTAGTTTTCGCGATTGTGAAGAACGGCGCAGGATATTTAATCTTTGTAGGAGATTTAAGAGATTTTTTTGTAGAGCACACGTTTAGGGTTCTTTGTAGTTTCAGCTGAACTTTTTTACTTAAAACACTTTCAACAATTTATAAAAATAAATCTCTCAATGTAAATAACTTATGTAATATACTATAATCCTAGTATTATTGTTATTAATATTTGTATCATATTGGTTGTAATAATAAATATATTTTTTCCCATTTCTAACAACATTTTGTGACTCATCAATACTTCATATGAGAAAGTCACTGCTGCAACCAGCAATACAGCTATTATGATATTAAAGTCAATCAAAGCATATGGCAATACTAATATCAGTGCTACCGATTTTATATGGATCAAAAAACAATGATAGATAGAAGGAACATTGTTGTGGCCATATATTGGACCCTCTTATGTGTAGATGCAACTCGTACTAAATTATGCAACCAACGATACACCTTTGCCTATTTTATTTCAAGACTATTGTATCTAATTGTTTCAATTAAATGTTACATATTATCTTATCTCTGTTAACACAAATTTGCTTGTAGTGTCATTTCATCTCTCCAACATGTTAGACTGTTCTGAAATTAATGTAATTATAAGAAAAGCCAAAAAAGAGGATATGATCCAAGTTTACAAGCTAATAAAGGTAATTAGGTTAAACTAGTAAAAATGCAGTATCACAATTTCCCAGGCCCTTGCAGAATTTGAAAAATTAGAAGACCAAGTGAAAATTGATGAATCAACTTTGATAAAAGACGGTTTTGAGACCGGCAATCCAGCTTTCACGTGTCTAGTGGCCGAAGTCTCAGATGGACACATAGTAGGATATGCCTTGTTTTACATGTCTTACTCAACATGGTTAGGAAAATCTGTTTTCCTCGAAGATTTGTATGTTCAACCTGCATACAGGAAAATAGGAATAGGGAAACAGTTATTTATGGCAGTGGCTAAAACCGCATATGAATTATCTAGCAAAAGATTGGATTTTCATGTCCTCTCTTGGAACCCTGCTGTAGACTTTTACAAAAGTTTGGGTGCCGAAAGTTTGACAGTTTCAGAGAAATGGGAGCTTTTTAGACTGAATGAAGAAGCTTTGAACAAAATGTTTTCTTAAAAACTTAATTTTAACAATGAATACAGTCAAACAACTCACTAAAGTGATAAGAAATTACGATACCGATAATGAATCTGGATATTGCATCTTGTGGTGGACATTTAGTAGATGCTCTTCTAGCTTCATTTGACCATTGTACACACTATCACAAATCTGACACCTAAAAATAAAATTCTTGAAATGTTCATTATTTTTTTACAAATTACTGGTATTTTTTCTTCTTGGAAACCCCCAAATGCAGTTTTTCGTGAACGGCTAAGTTGTATTTTTCGGCAAACTTTTTTCCACAAGTCCCACAAGAAAACTTCTTTTCGCCGGTGTGTACCCTCATGTGTCTTTTAAGATGAGACGCTGACATCAACAAATAACCACAGACGTCACATTTGTATGATTTTTGGCCAGTATGACTGATTTTATGCATATTGAAAGAAGTGTGGTGCACGAATCTTTTACCACATAGGTCACACTGAAACGGCAATTCCCCTAAAAAACCCAATCATTTACTAACTAATAAATAGCGTGTCCACACCTGTGTGAATGGGTGTGTGTCTCATTAAAGCCCCCTTCTGTGTGAAAGACTTGTTGCAGTAGACACATGTAAAGGGATTAATCCCTTTGTGCATTCCCACGTGAATTGTTAAGGCTTGTTGGCGTTTATAGGCCTGACCACATATTTCGCAAATAAAAGGACGTTCTTTACTATGGGCTGACATGTGATTTTTCAGTTCTGTAGGTGTTTTCCAGGTTTTTGAACACTCAGTGCATTTATAAGGTCTTGGATCGGACCCATCCTTCTTTTTCTTCACACTCTCACTTTTATTTTGTGCCTCTTTGGTTAACAAAGTCATATCCAGGGAAGCCCCTATTTCGGAAACAGGATTAAGTTCCTCAAAATTAAAACTTGCTTCCAAATCGTGCGATTTTAGGTGGTCCTTGAAACTCGAGCTTGAGATTTTTTTACCACACATCGTGCATTCTTCAGTTTTATTATTTTCTTCTTGTTCACTTGTGTAATTTTTGTTTGTGCAATGTTTACGCAAGTATTGTTTGAACTTAATTTCTATACTCTTTGCCCTAACTTTAATACTGTCCAGTTCGTTTAATAAACGATAACACATTTCACAAATGAAATAATTTGTTATACAAAACTCCTCCTCGATACATTCTTGAAGCAGCATTAGCAGAGGGGTTTTTGAATCGTTTGAGAGCGATTTTCGCAGATCGAAATGGAGAATTTCAACCGCAGAATCACAAAGCGTGCACAGCAATTGAGCCATTTCACAAACTAAACTTTTTTTCACCAATTTCAAATTGAATAATTTGTTTTCAGGTTATGTTTTTGTTTATGTCAACTGTCAGATTGCCACCCACCAAAAAAAACCTATAAAATACTTAAATTAGTTTTTTCAATATTGCCCATTTCAGGGAATGATAATCAAAACGTATTTTGACCAATTTAATTGTTACATGAATTGTTTGAATGATATTTAATTAATTTTTGCATAACTTTAATGGTTGGTTGCCTGAATCCACTAGATTAAATGTCAGTCAGTGAAGTTAAATCAACCAATCAGAGCAATCCACATGTTTTGAGAAGGTCGTTTCGTGTTTCTCGCTGTGTGAGCATAAACGTTAAAAAATCCATTAATTAATTATTCTTTCATATAATATGTGAAGTGTTTATCCAAAAATGAACATGAACTCTGTGCCCATTTTACTTTTACTAACCTTCATTTCCTTAACTTCAGTGTTGGCAGGCCGAGACTTTTACAAAATACTAGGAGTTTCAAAAAGCGCCAGTTTGCACGAAATCAAGAAAGCATATCGGCGACTAGCCAAAGAATTGCACCCTGACAAGAACCAGGAAGACCCCGAAGCTTCCCAGAAATTCCAAGACCTAGGAGCCGCCTACGAAGTCCTCTCAGATGAGGAAAAGCGGAAAAAGTACGACAGATGCGGCGAGGATTGTCTCCAAAAAGACGGGATGATGGACAGTGGGATGGACCCCTTCGCCAGCTTTTTCGGCGATTTCGGGTTCCACTTCGGTGGCGGAGAACAAAAACATGAGACTCCGAGAGGAGCTGACGTGGTCATGGACATTACTGTGACCCTGGAAGACTTATACACGGGCACTTTTATTGAAATTACGAGAAATAAGCCGGTGATGAGAGCGGCTAAAGGCACAAGGAAGTGCAATTGCCGGCAAGAGATGATTACACGAAATTTGGGGCCCGGCAGGTTCCAAATGATGCAACAGACGGTGTGCGACGAGTGTCCCAATGTTAAACTAGTCAATGAGGAGCGCATTTTAGAGATGGAAGTGGAACCGGGGATGGTTGATGGGCAAGAAACCAAATTTACAGCAGAAGGGGAGCCCCATCTTGATGGGGACCCTGGCGATTTGATACTTAAGATAAAGACGCAACCGCATCCTGTTTTTGAGCGTAGAGGGGATGATCTCTACACTAATATCACAATTAGTTTACAAGTAATTATTGTTTTTGGATATATAGAGAGAAAATAATTTTGGTTTGTTTAGGATGCCCTTGTGGGGTTCACTATGGAACTCCAGCATTTGGATGGTCACATGGTTTCCATCAGCAGGGACAAAATCACTTGGCCTAATGCCAGGATAAGGAAGAAAGGAGAAGGCATGCCAAATTATGATAATAATAATTTGCATGGGAATTTATTCATTACTTTTGATGTAGAATTTCCTAAACAAGAATTATCAGATGACGACAAAGAAGGTATTTGTATTAAAATTTGTCAATTACAAACACTTACCACAATTTTATTTCAGCTATTAAGAAAATTTTGAATCAGAGCTCAAGAAACAAGGTTTATAACGGACTAAGAGGGTTTTAGTTAATTTATAAAAGTTTTGTATATAAAAGACTATATATAGATGAAGTGTGCTTGAGTGTTTTGTGAAATAATTTATTACCTTTATTCTTATTCTGTTTAAGGTGTAACCTTAAAACCTGCCCGTTCATAGACTTTTTCTACAATTTTACGTTTCCTGTTCATTTATGAAGTGTATAGGTCAATTTGTAATATAAAATATTGTATTGTATTTACCATTTGTTGTGCTTTTATTACTTTATAAATATTGTTAGTCATGACCTGCATATAAAGTGACTATTCACACAATAATAGAGTAATGTTGTTGGTCAATTTTTGTTTTGAATGGTGGAAGAATCTGTATACAGATATGAATACCAAGTGGGTGTAAAATAACTATGTTATCAGGTTGCAAGGAAATGTTATTTTAGTGACTGTTACGATTGAAGTTCAGTTTTTTACTGAGACTACGTTGTAAGTAATGTTAACACACCTGCTTGCTACTGTGTCAACAATTCAAAGTGAAGTAAATTCAAGAAACTTAAGAATTACAAAAGAACGTGTTTGGAATAAAAATAAAAGTATGTAATTGGAAGTTTTATAGTTATTTGAAATGCCATATAATCTAATCAAATTTTGAATTTTAGTAATTTCAACAAAAGTAATTAAGTCAATACTGAGTTAATTTTAATGGCAATAATTTTTGATTCCTTTTTTCCTTTAAAAAAGGTAATTTAGAATGCAATATAAATAGCATAATTTTTATATAAAAATTTATTGATTTAACTAAAGATGAAGCTTATCGAACGTATTTTCCAAGATAACGAGCCTTATATAAACTAAAAATATATTCTGGCTGTAAAATTTGTTTTAAGCAACTTTTTATCAGTTGTGTCGATATAAAACTAAGCCAATTAATAAATTTGCAATTACATTCGCTAAATTTTTGTTTTTTACTAAGATTGATTTTTACCTAAATTCACAAATTTTTGTATGTTTTATTTTAATGTTTTTATAATCAAACTTTTTCAAAACATTTTAAAATGAAGGAAAGAGGAAAAAAATCGAAACGTGTGCTTAGTAGAATTCAAGACTGATTAACTTTATTATTCATGCAGATAATAAAAAAATGCAATAAATGCATTATGGTCAATATCGGCTACAATCACTAACTATATGGGTTATTAAATTTTGCTCCTACATTGAAAAATATTTTTTCTTAATTAAAACAAGTAACTAATCTCTGAAAAAAAATGTTTTTATTTTGTTTAAGATATCTATACTTTACTAGTAACGTAGGAATTGTGTTACTTCTTGCTTATTTACATTGTATGCATTTCATAATTGAAATAGCAGCATAGATATGCTTGCTTTGTTACGATTTTATGTTAATTAAATAGTGCATAAGACTTTTGTTTGATAGCAGGTCTAACATTTTCTGTACAAAATCAAGACTAGTAACAGTGGTTGATATAATACATCATTGCATCATTATACTTCAAAGAAAATTATAAGCAAGTATAATCACACTTAAATTATTTGATAAAACAAAGTTTGTGAAATAATTCAAATAAAAAGCTCAAAATTTGCAATTTTCCTAGAAGAAGTCGAAAAATTGATAAAATATTAAAAAATAGAAATGTGAAATCACGTAGATGAAAAATACTTTTGCTCCTAATGTGGTTATTTTGTTGTTTATGACTAAAAATAATTCAATAAATATACTTTTACAGTGTTTTGCAATAGGTATTGTTTAAAGATAATCCTCCAGTATTTGCAAAGATTATATAGGGACCCACAACAATAATAAGAAATTTTTTTGTTTTTGTTATTTTTGTGTGACTTATTCTAATAACATTTTTATAAACATAGCAAATGTCCTTGGAAAGATAAATGCTATCCTAATCAACAAATCTGCGAGATATGAGGTACCTAGAGATTTCAAATCATAAAATTAGTTATCATTACATATGTGGAAAAGTTATACATATACTGATGATCCACACGTTGCTTCCTTCATGATGGTGTCTGCAGTGAAATCTTCTGAAAAGGGATTGATACTTAACACCCTGTAAGGATCAAACAATACATTTTTGCGTTTAAAACCGGCGCCAGACGTCGTCATCCCGACGCTTTATTGAACCATCCCCCGTGACTGTCAAAATTCACCTGTTCGTCCAAAACATGTTAATTCGCACTTTTGTAGTTAGTTTAAGCTGTTTTGCATTTACAACCGTGTTGTTTGATTACTTCACATGCAGTTAACTGATCTTTTTTTGGTAAAGTATTAAAACACAGTTTTTCATAGTGATTATCATAATAATAAGGATTGGCAAAGATTCATAATTTTCGAGATATTTTTACTGTCTTTTATTTTTAGCAAATGTTATGTAAAATCACAAATTTCAAATAAATATTTGTAGTTTTTATGTCGAAAATTAAATCAAATTTAATCGTTTTTATTTGGAAATTTTTTTCGGTATTTAGAGACTATATGAAACTCAATTGATATCAAAAAACAAATACAAAGCCCCTCTTTATTAACGCTCAATGTATACGCAGTAGGTAACTTATTAGAGTAAAACGTCGTATTATTATTATTATTATTACTGAATATTTTTAACATAATATTAAATTCTGGGTTATTGAAACTTATTAAAAAATATATTTTTCTTCATTAAATATGTTTCCAGATACCGGGCATCAACCTGTTCTATTACCTCTTAAAATTTCTGCACAATTTTAATTGTCTAAATTGACTAATTTTGTTCATTTCAAATTATTACATTAATTAATAATTATTAATCCAAAAAGAATTTAAACGTGAAAAATTTGATTGCAAATGGAACTCCATATTTTGTAAAATAGTAGTAAACAAATTTACAATTATTAACACCCAAATTTATCAATTTTTTACTTTGGTGCTAAAATTAAACATAAAATAAATGAACATGCTTATTTTATGACACTACTATTTTAGAACAAAATTTACTGATTGCTGTGAAATGCGAAAATATTTTTATTGCGCTGAAGATAATAAACAATAACGACATTTAAATCATTTTTTATTTAAAATATACTACTCCAAAAAATTAAAGGAATAAAAAATTTTTCCAATTTTTTTTGGTGATCTTTGAAAGGCTGCAACTCATCGACAAAAGATTAAAAAAAACAATTTTGAAGCTTTAAGTTTCTAGTTTTGACATCTTTTGACAAATATTTTTTTGTGCTACGGTTATCACGCAATTCTAAGTGATAGCATAGCGCAAGAAAAAAAATTCTAAAATTTTATGGTTTTTGGTCCACGGACGTGAAGAATCTTTTTTTTTAGTTAAGGTGAAAAAAAAATATTTTTCAAAAAATCATAAGAGGATCTTATAAGGCATTTATCCCCACGTCCGTGGATCAAAAACAAGATAAAAATTTAGAATTTTTTTCCTCTCGCTATTACTTAGAATTGCGTGATAACCACAGCACAGAAAATATATTTACCAAAAGATCTCAAAACTAGAAACTTAAAGCTTCAAAATGTTTTTTTTTAATCTAGATACGACCATTTTTCAATGAGTTACAGCCTTTCAAAAATTACCAAAAAATTTTTTGTTCCTTTAATTTTTGGAGTAGTGTAGTTATTTGTGCAACAAGTTTTGAAAGTCATACTTTCTTTTACGAATTTGCACGCAAATGTGTGAAAAAAAGGACTTTCAAAACGAGTTGTACACAAAATTTTTTTGCATAATGATAACCCCAAGAACCCCAAAAACCAAAATGATATCATTTTGATAAATCAAATCGTAATGTATCCCAACGAACTCTATAGAAACTATAGAAATAACTATAGAAATCGTTTAAAAAAGTATAACTTTCTAAACGATTAATCGTGATGAAAATTCAACTTTCATAATCACTATGCAAAAAAAGTATATGAAATTTTTATTATTCACTATACACACAATTCTTGTTATGTTTTACAGATTTATGTTTTTTTGTAAATAAATAATAGCTAGCAGACATTTTACAATATTACTTAAAGGGCTACAGAACAAATAAAAAAACGAACAATTTTAAAATGAAGAATAGCAAATACAAGTTTGACATTATGTGGAAGCTTAGAATCTTAACAATGTTAAGTTTGTATTTATTATCTTCAAAAAAATGTGCATTTCAATTCTCCTTGAGACAATACCTATAATTTAAATTTTCTAAATTATAAATTACAAATTTTTTGCTACTAAAAAAAATTATTTTGATGATCATATTTTGTACAAAAATGAATTTTTTTGTAGTATTCAGTTTAAATTTACATTTTTTTATTGTTACGAGAGAGTATTAAAGAATGCGATTACGCTCAAAATTCCTGTCATTGTTGTAATAAAATGTCAGAATTGAACCAACCCATTTTCAGGTCAGCATCGAATGGCATGGAAACCAAGGAACGCCGATGGAGAGTGCCATCGTTGTTCTGGCTCCCTCTCATCATTTTCGCCGTTTTACTCTTCGTGATGGACGTCTTCCAATCCCAATACGCCCTGATCCCCACCCGAGTCCAAATCTCCGAAGATTTCACAACAGAACTCAAGGGCTTTTTGATCAAAACCCCCGGTTGTCGAATACCCTTCATGGACCCTTTCGACCCCACTGTCACGAAATTCATCCATAAAGAAAAGAAGCCCGTTTGTAACGACGGCATTCCGCCCTTGATCGACTCCAATCTGACATCAATCTACTTAATTAACTCTTCAGTGGCCAACTACACCGACCAGGATATCACTGCGATCAAATGTTGCTACCAGCCGTTCTATAGACAAGAACCGGGGGGCACCGACGGTGACAACAAAATCAAATTTGAGAAAAAATGCATTCCGTTTAATGTCAGTGCGAAAATTAGCCATGAATTTATCAAAGTTGTGTGCAAAGTTGACACGGTTTCCATCTACACTGATTTCTTCTCATTTGTGCCAATCAAAACCGTAAAAAGAAATCATTTGGAGAGGAGCGAGTTAAATGTCCTGGTTGTTGGGATAGATGCAATTTCGCGGTTGAATTTTCACAGACAAATGCCCACAACTGTGGATTATTTGTTGAGAAACATGTCGGCAGTGGAACTCCTAGGCTACAACAAAGTTGGCGACAATACTTTCCCTAATTTAATCCCGGTTTTGACCGGCTTGTCTGAAACCACCCTGGAGGAGGTGTGTTGGAACGACGATAATAACAAGCGATTCGACTCTTGTCCTTTCATTTGGAAGGATTTTAAAGCAAAGGGATTTGTCACATCCTTCGGGGAAGACTCCTCCTGGATGGGGATTTTCAATTATCTGAGGAAAGGCTTCAGGAAACAGCCCACGGATTACATGTGGGGTGCTTTCAACCGAATTTCCGAAAACCAGATTGGGAACTCGCACAATATGAACGTGGAAGAGTGTGTGGGGGGTAGAGAAGTGTACAAAGTATTCCTGGATTACATAACAAATTTTGTTGTAACAATGGATAACGCAAAACTTCCATATTTCGCGTTCTATTGGGGTGCAAGTCTCTCGCACGATTACCTCAACAAACCGAGTTTGGGTGACACGAATTATTTGAATTTTTTCAAAAATCTCAAAGAGAATGGTCGCTTGAACAACACGGCTTTGGTCGTGATGAGTGACCACGGGATTCGGTGGGGCGACATCAGACAGACGTATCAAGGGCAGATGGAAGAACGACTCCCTTTTGTTTTCATGGTACTGCCAGAATGGTACAAAAGACAATACCAAGAAGCCTATAGCAATCTAGTGAAGAATACTAGACGCTTGACCACTCCGTACGACCTCCACGAGACTTTGAAGGACTTTCTGAATCGTTTTAACTTAACCCACGATTTTCTCCAAAACAGAAACCGGAATATTTCACGCGGTTATAGTTTGTTCAATGAGATTAGTCCGAAAAGGACGTGTGAAAGTGCCGAAATTGCGAGTCATTGGTGCACGTGTCAGCAGAGCGCTGAAATTGAAAAAAATAACTCGCTGGTGGTCGAAGCTGCGACTTTTGCGGTCGAATACATGAATCTGCAACTCGAAGGGTACGCCCAGTGTGCGAATTTGACACTGGAGAGTATCACCGATGCGAGATTAATGACCCATGGGGAGCACATCACGAATGGGGATGAGGTGAAAGACTACATGATTATTTTTGAAACCGTTCCGGGAAACGGTGTGTTCGAAGTTACTCTAAGGAACACCGCCAAGCATTTTGAAGTCATGGGCACAATTAGTCGACTAAATTTATACGGGAAACAAAGTGCTTGTATTACAGATTTCCATTTGAAGTTGTACTGTTACTGTAAAAATTTGTTAGTTGACTGACCGCTTATTTCTGTTCACACAAAGTTACCTATTATATTTCAACAATAACCTGTGATTTTTTGTGTACTTGCCGCACTAGATAAGGAAAAAACGTTAAATGTTGTGCGTGTTTAGCTCTTGTTGAGTTTTATATGGCATACGCAGTATTTGTGTATGCTTAAATGTAGATACTTGGATCAGTGTCTATAGTTCTTAAGAAATGACATGTGATATAGAATTATAAATTGTTTTTATCGCCATTTGTGTACAGGTAAATTTATTATTTTCACTAGAATTGTTATTACTTCTTGTAGTCATTTTTATAAAAAATATTTTCAATAAAAATTTGTTTGCACTCTGGACTTATTTGCCCGGCGCCTCCACCATAATTATTGGTAATAATAATTCAAACAAAGATTTACAACGTGTTCTTAAATTTAAAGCTTCATTTTATTAATTGAGAAAAAATAGTATAAGCATGTGTGCATATTTATGTATTGAATTGTACAGTTGCGGAGTTAAAATTTCGGGCAGTATAGTCATTTTCATAATGTTTTTTACATTAATAACCTCATTTTTTACTCTTGTCATATTTATGTCATTTTGATTAAAAAATAGCGTCACTGAAAGAAAAGTTTAATTGTCAAATGTCAGTCATGATGACAGTAAAAGGTAGTTTACAGTGAACGTTTGAAGTGACAGAAAAATACTGCCCGAAATTTTAATTTCGTAACTGTATGTACAGTGGCGGTCATTGAAAAGTAATTCACGGGATTTTGACACATCCTCTTAAAATTTTAAAAATTGCATAATGTAATTTTTTCCTTGTCGTGATTGTCAGTGTCACTGAAAACGTCACTTTTGACAAATTGTCGAATATACAGAAATCTATTATTATTACAAGATTAAGGGACAATGTCCCTATACGAGTCATCGCAGAAGAAATAAATGTGAACAAAATGACTGTCCTTAAACCAAAGAAGAAGATTCTAGTGACATTTTAAACATGACAGTGATTGTCAATTTCAAGGGAAAATTTACAACGCCAAAATTTTTTTATTTGTCAAGTGTATTACTTTTTAATGGCCGCGACTGTACATACTGTGTGATTCAAAGATGTGAGATCAACTCTCGAATAGTGGATATAAAAAAAAGACTTTCAGCTTAGCAAAAAAATGAATTCAAATTTTTATTTCAAGCTTTTAAGCTTTTTTTGAAAAAATAGAACTGTCAATTTTCATACAGTGGCGGACACGGAATTTTGGACATCAAATTTATGTCATTTCAATGTCAATGTAACCCATACTTTATTGTCATTATGATTGACGTTTGAAACTAAAATTTGAAAGTTTTAGTTGAAACAATAATGCCAGCAATAAATAGGTGTTGTTCAATAAATTATTTTGATTTGTTGTCATTTTTTCTCGCTATCAGAATAAAATTTACAAAAACGGAAAGTGAGATTAGTTGCCTAAGGCTCATTTTACATTTTTATGTCAGTCGAATGACGTGTCCGCCACGTTTTTTTACACCAAAATAAGACACAAAGTGGTGATTTTTTTAATAGGTATCTTTTCAGTCTTACAAGATCTGCGTTTCCTCTAACTAAATTCAATATTACATAATTGGAACGTCCAAAAATTTTATCCAAAATCTAATCTTTGAAAAGTCGCTATATCTCGTGAAAAAAACATTTTTTGTCATGAGAATTTTAACTCAGTTGGATGTCCTTTATCACCACCTAAAATGCTTCAAGTTGTTGAGTTTTATGAAATAATATAAAAAGTTTATGTAGAATGTTTTGTCGTTTGAAAGTATCTGAGATAATAATAAATCTTGTTTTCACTGAAAAAGCTTAATTTTGAATTAAATTGAATTGTTGAATTATTTCAAACGACATTATCACCAAATTATAACATAAAAAACCCTAGACTATTAACGCACTCTGAGAAATTGTTAAGACATCCAAACGCCATAAAAATGCAAAATACAAACAGTTCATTTTGTGGGGGGCAATAAAAATAAGACTGTATCAACTTAATCCTTTATTTTTTAAGACTAAAACAATCTAACACATTAATTCCAATTACTGTTCTTTGAAAACAATTGTGGGTTCCCCAAATTCGTGCAAATCCTTATCAAAGATGTTTTCGGGCACCTCCTCTCCTCCCCAGTAAGTAGGAAACGGTACTGGTTCGGTGGGTCGTTTAGGAGAAATTTTTGTATCGTAAATAAACACAATTGAGTTGGTTGCTCCTGGAATATTCTGTCCAGAAACGTACAAAACATTGTACTTTGTATTAATTCTCCAAATTTTGAGTCCTCTAAGTGTGCGATACCTATTGCCCATATGACCTGGCATTTTAGTACCTGGCCATACGCGTGCTTTCTCTCCACCACCGCCAATATTGCCCCCACGACGATGCGTTTTTGTCACACCATGTGATGCCGGCATTCCCTTGAAACCATGACGTTTCATCACACCTTGGAAACCACGATCGATTCTAAAAACCCGACATTAAACGAGAAAATTCGTCAAGAATTAACTCACGTGAGCCCCCGGACGTCTACAAAATTGCCAACGCGAAAGTGGAGAGCGCTTATCATAGTCCCTGGAGGCAAAGCAGCATCAGGACTGACAAAAAACCGGGCCAAGGTTTTTTTCGGAATAACCCCAGAGTCTTTAAAAATTCCACAATATTCCCGTGTGAACTCTGAAGGGTCCCCTTGTTCAGCCCCGAGCAAGAGACATCCCTTTTTGTTTACAATTCGACCAACACGCTGTTTCATCGGATTATAACTTTCAGGTGCGTAATATTTGATGACTTGGTTATCCAAAACTTGTAATAATGTGGTTGAGATTTTTTTACCGTTTTTTAACCACATGGGGTAAATGCCGATTTTGCGGGCTATCACGCCGGTTCGTTGCAAACCTGGCCGCCAAACTACATCTAAATCTTTGGGGGGTTCACTTGGGACGTTGTTGCATTGGTCTTGAACCACTTCCTTCAAAAATTCTTGATTGTCTGCAGTAATGGGATCAGTGAAAGACTGAAAAACACAGTTGGGGCAATAAAGTAAACACGCGAAATGTACTCACGACTCGATGTTTTTGAGTAAACCAAGTGGGGTTCCGCAGTCTTGGCTTAGGGTTCAATTTATGTCGTTCCCTCACAGACACATACGAAATTCTGAAACACGAATAATTTATTACTCGTCCCTCGCAAATGGTCGAACTTACGTCAAAGAAAACAGCTTTTCCTCTAATAACTTAATAGTACTCTTAGTGGATAACGCAAGAGCCATTTTACTGATTTTACTTATTCACTAAAAAGCATTTTTGAGGTTAGAAACGCATGAGAAGTTTGAGGTTACGTGCCACTTTAACCAATCAGATACTAGCTTTCACTGCGCAAGTCCACAATTTGACAATTTTGACGGTTTGAAATTTAAAAAGCTCGTGTTTGTGTGTTTATTTCTAATGAATATAAAAAATAAGGCAGAAAATGGCTTTACCATTACCTTCAACGCCCAAAACTCCATTTACAACACCAAAGAAAGTGCGTGCTATTCGCACTCCTGTTGCCGAAAATTCGGAAGCCTTCGTCGCCCCCACAACCCCCCGAAACCTCATGACTCCCAAAGCAAATAAAGCTGCAAATACCCCGGAATGCTTCAGTGCAGTGACACTCGAGACGCCCAATTCGGGCTTAAAGCGAAGAAGCAGTAAAGAGAAGTTCGACAGAGTGAGTAATTTAACAGTTGCTGTGCGAATTCGGCCGATGAATTCCCGGGAATTGGCGTGCGTGGGGGCTGCAAATGTTGTTAAAGTACGAAACCAGGAGCTGATCATTCGGTCCAACCCGTTGGGCAACTCTGCAATGAGTCTTGACCATGTCTTCCAATACGACCACGTTTTTTGGTCGTGTGATGAAAGCAGTTCGTTGTATTCGAGTCAGGAGGACGTTTTCTCCACTGTGGGACAGCCCCTCTTGAATAGTGCCTTCAGGGGGTACAACGCGTGTCTTTTCGCGTATGGCCAGACCGGGTCTGGCAAAAGCTTCAGCATGATGGGGCCCACTACTTGTGATATTGTCGATATTGACTCGGAATTCTCCGGAATTACGCCACGTTTCTGCCGGGAGTTATTCGAGAGAAGCCAACTCCTGGCCCCAAAATCGTCGGTTTCAATCGAAGTTAGTTATTTTGAAATTTACAATGAGAAAATTCACGATTTACTTGCCATCTCAAATTCGGCGAACAAAATGCCGTTGAAAGTGAGGGAACACCCGGAATGGGGGCCCTACGTTGTCGATTTGAGTGTCCACAACGTCAAGTCGTACAAAGAGTTGCGAAATTGGTTGCTTTTGGGGAACAAAAACAGGGCAACTGCTGCGACCACAATGAATGAAAAGTCGTCACGATCTCACAGTATTTTTTCGATTGAATTGTGCCTAACTGAAGGACTCGGTGAAAACGACACTAGTCGAAGAAGCAAAGTTAGTTTAATTGACTTAGCAGGGAGCGAAAGGCTTGTAGGGTCACAAAACAGTGATGAAAAAATTCGACAAGGTGTAAGCATTAACAAGTCACTGTTGACACTTGGAAAAGTCATCTCGGCGCTAGCCGATCAAAAGAAAAACCAATTCGTGCCATACAGAGATTCAGTCTTGACTTGGTTATTGAAGGCAAGTCTTCAATCAAAAATATTCTCAATTAAATTTTTATTTTTTCAGGAAAGTCTCGGTGGTAATTCATTGACTTGCATGTTAGCGACGATAACCCCGGCGAATACGCATTTGGATGAAACTTTAGCCACTTTACGATACGCGTGTCAAGCACGCACCATCGTAAATCGTGCCAGAATCAATGAAAATCCCCACGATCGTCTAATTCGCGAATTAAAGTCTGAAGTGCAAAGACTGAAGGCTCTGAAGCAGGACTACGAACGTCACTCTCTACTCAATTCGTCTTTCACTCAAGTCAATGTTAGCAACAGTGACGAATTGGACGAATTGAGAAGCAAGTTGCAACAAGCTGAAGAAAAATTGCTCACCGCTGAAGACAGTTGGAAGCAAAGATTCATGGAGAGTACGAAATTGCAACTGAAAGAGTTGGCAGAGTCTGAAAAACGTCGCGAAGAGTTGGAGTCGAAAGTGAGAATAATGAATACAGTTGATACAAACTTGGATATCTCTCTATACAAGACTAATTTTTTGGAAAAATTGGAAAATGTTCTTACAGAGGAGGAGTCTGTAGATGAGCGCCAAAATCTTTACAGTATTGTCGATTATTGTTATGAGAATAATTTGCGGTGTAGTTTGACTGCGTCTGGGGTAACAATTTTTGACGCTGGCAACAGAAAGCAAACTGTTGTTTTATTAAAGGATGTTAACAAAGTGAAGAATTTTGGAAATATCGGCGATTTTTTACAAAATTTAACGTGGACGGAGGTTAAGGACTCGAAAAAATTGTCAAAGAGTGAAGTTAGGTCTTCATTAAATCAAATTTATCAAATTTTAAATAGTTTACAACCGTCCGATAATGATAATAATTTAAATTTGTTGTTTGCTAAAGTCAATAAGTCACTGCAGGCTTTTGAAGCGGCTTTGTTACATAATTTAACTAGAAGTAATAGTCAAAAAACTGTTAGTTTTAATTTGTAGTTTATTTATTCTTAGTTTCTGTTTTGTAATTGTTGCATGTATATTTATTATTTTGACGTAAAAATAAATATTTTTTGATGAAGCGAGGCACAGGTTGAAAGAGTGACTAAAGGCAAATATTTCATTTGATAATAAACGTATTCACCTACTTTATTATAAATTATTATTCACACATTATTTGCGTCTCGCACAATTGAAAAATGAAATGATTTTTATCACAGACAAATACAAAAAAAAGTGATCAAATCAATAATCCGGCTCATCATTGCGCTTCTGATAATTTTCTCCAAACTTACTCATGTATTTCCGAATATATTCCTTCGCTTTTGCTTTAACATTTTCAGTGCAGACTAAATCTTCAATCTTCTCAATATGTTTCATTTCTTTCAACATAACAAAATGAGTCAACTGAAACACAAAATTAAAATTTCACACCAAAACTAGTATCACACTCACTTTTCTAGCTAAATGTTTAAAATCATCAGTATTCGTAATTCTCCCTTCTTTACAATCCGGTTTTCTGTACGCATTAAGAACACTGACGACAACAGTCGCCATATTAGACCGGAAAAGCTCTTTAATTTTCTTGGCAGTTTCGCTGTTAGAATCAGTCATTTCTTTCATTTTTAATTTTATAGTACTTTTGGAGCGCTTCTCTTTCACGTGTTTTTTCGTCTGTTGGACGATCATTTCCTTCTCCCGTTTCAACTTTTCTTTATTTAGTTTGTAGCGTTTCAAATCTTCTTTGAATTGTAATCGATCCTCTTCAGTCCTCGGCTGTTTCAAAATTAAAATAAATTAAACAAAAAAATTTTTTACTTACACTAATAATAATTTCCTGGACCAGTCCAGCTCGCCTTTTCTTACCACCAGACTGCACTTTTTCGTCTTTCGATTCTTTTTCATTGCTTTCTTCAATCTGAGCTGTCTCTTCGTCATTTTCCTCACAAACTTGACTAGTTTCAAGTTTGGGTTCGTCTTCTTTTTCTTCTTGCACGGGACTAGCTTCTTCATCTTCGTTTTTAATAGGGGTAGGTAATGTCATTTTTACTTGTTTTTCCATCTGCTTTCTCACTTGCATCAACAATTTCGAATCGTCTACATCATCGTCACTATCTGACTCATCTGAGGTTGTATCTGAACTCAAACTACTCGTATCTGAGCTTGAAGTCGTCTCACTCGCTGCAAAATACAATTAGTGCGGTGTTAATTAAAAGTTTAACAAATTTACTGTCATCTAAGTCTTCCTGTGGTTGCGAAAATGGGGGTGGTTCCCATTGACTTGTCCTGATTTTGATGTGATAATAATAAGGGCGTCCATACTTGTCTTTGGCACATTTCCATTTCGGTGGCAATTTCACTGGGGGTGGAATGGGTCCCATGAATTTCACCTGCGAGTAATCCTCCTCTTTCGTCACTTCTTCCTGGTATGGAAGACTGGGTAACGTGTGTAGGGGGTTTACACTGCTTGGGATCATTCCAGGGGCGTGCAAATAGGGATAATTGGGATTGCTCAGTCCTGACACAACGGGTGGATTTTGAGGGTTGAAAATAACATTGGGGTTTTGGATGGGGTAATTCTGCCATTGCCCGATTTGGGGATTCCATATGCACTGGTACCCCCTGTTTGGGTCAAACGGGGCTGTTAGACGGGGATCGGTCCCGAGGAGTATACAGTGTTGCTCATGTTGCCTCCACATCTCTCTCTGCTTTCGCCGTCTTTCCTCCTCTCTCTGTTCCACTTGCAACGCAAACATTTTCCGTCTCTCGTATTTACCTAATTTGGGGAAGTTGGCTATCGTCCTGTCTTCCAATTTGATATTTTTGCGTACTGTATTATCGACTTTATCAATGGATCTGTATCGTTTTAAAATCCGATAGCGACTTTCGCTTTTCTTTTCAGCGTCTTGTTCTAAACCCAAACCGGCTATGTAACCCCGATTTGCTTCCCTTTCGTGCTCTTTCATTTGTTCGATTCGTTCCTTTTTCGGTATTTTGAAAACTTCCTTCAAGTTGGACCACTCTTCTAGCAGTTTTAACGCCAAAGCTGTGATCTCTTCCTGGTAGTTAGGCTCATCAGGTTTCACTTCCGGTTTCACAATTTTAGTTTCAGTTGGTAATGGAGACGAGGTGATGTCTTCTTCTTGGAAAATGCTCGAAATTTCATCGGCTAATTCTTTCCCATGTGTATTTGTAAAACCCACATTTTCTGAGGTTCCTTGAAACTCCATTCCTCGTGATTTTCGTATTTCCACGTCCTCCTCCATTGTGACATCCTTCACTTCTTCTTCTTTTACAAGATTGTTTTCTTCTTTTTCTTTTACTAGATTTTCTTCTTTTTTCTGGTCATCTGTCGGTGTTTGACTTGGGTCCTGATCGGTTTGAGGTGACGAGCTATCAGAATCCATCGGTAAGTCGTTTCCTTTCCCAGAGGACCATTTTTCAACAGTTGGTAACACTTTACTATCTTGCAGCATCGTTTTATTGGGGATTGGTAACGTTGCTAATGTTTGTAACATTTCCAATCTGAGCGATTCGTATTTTTTATCAGTCTTTGCCAAATCTTGAGCATCGGTCATGTAGCCATGCATGAGTCTCAACCCGTGATAATCCAAGAAGAGTCTTCTGCAGGGCAATTCGCCCCTTCTCAAGACTCTCAATAATTTTGCCCGTTGAGCAGGTTCTTTGGCTCTTACCATCAATCTGCTCAATTTTAAAGTATGAGCTTGGTTCTTCAATCCTGTGGTCACCAACATCTCAATTTCGTCATCCAGTTGCTGAAAATTAACAAAATTGAGATAAAAATCGTCATGTGAGACCAACCAACATCTAAATCCTCGAACAGTTCTTTTCGCGGTTTTTTCCGTGGTGATCGCTTTTTCTTCTCTTTCACTGGAGGTTTTGGAACTTTTTCAACACTCTTGGGCTCTTTTACTTCACTGTCTATTTTCTCAGTTTCGGGTTTATCTTCCTCGACTTTGTCTTTTATTTCTTCAGCTTCTTCCTCTTCTTCGTCTTCCTCGTCCTCGTCATCTTCATCTTCCGGTTCTTCTCCCAACCAGCCGCGACAAAGGGAAGACTCGCAGTAACATTTCTGCGCCTCTTTCCTATTTTTTAATAATTTATTTTAAATTATTTCAAAAGGAAATTGATTACCCATAACGTTGAAATCTATAATCAAAGGTGATTTCTTCACCCGCTAAGATAGTACGAGTGCTGAAAAATCCGATTCTTAACTCTCCGTTCACAGTCCATTTTTGCGTTTCAGCGTTTGGGTCACAGGAGTGGTTAATGAAACGGGAAATATTTCCTTAAAAAAATGTCAGTGAATTGAATAGAAAATAGTATATTAAAGAACAAGTTTTATAAGGGTTGATTTGCCATTATAAAACGAGTTTTTTATGCTATTTTTTATAATTTGCGCCCCCTTTTTCTTATTTTAATTTAAAAAAATGTATTATAGACGCAAATTAGAAAAAAAATTATATGTACCCTTCATTGTTGCATCTATTATAGCATCAGCTCGCAATGACATGAAGTAGTAATGTTTGTTTTTATCATTTGAGTAGTCGTCAGCCCGGTTATCAAATTCTTCAGGATCCAACACTTCGCCAACATATTCCAAAATAAATTCACCACTGAAAAAAAAAATGTAGGAATAAGAAAATCAGTTAAAAAACTTACTAAGGGATATTTGCTGCAGCCCTCAACCCGAGTCCCTTCTTCTCAGTTTTAAAAACTTCAACTGGGGCAAATTGCGACTTCTGAAACTTTTTATTGGTACATCTGTCTCCAACCGGACATAAACCCCCACTAAAAAGGCGATTTAGGTAAAATAATACAAAATAGTCGGTTTTTACCATTCTATCATTAACAACCGATTTAAACAATCCTCCCCACAGCCCAATTCGCCTCTTTCCATCTCCTCCGGCGTGAGGAAACAATCACAAGTCATTTTTTTCGCTTCTTTACAGGACATGCGATCAGTCAAATACAGATTTTCCTTCAAATGCACAAACTGTTTTAATCGCGTGGTTACTTCTTCGTCATGAGTTGGTTTTGGTTTATTTTCCAAATTGTTGGCTTCTGCGATTTTCTCACTGTCTCCGCAAGTTTCCATTACAACAGCAGCTGGTGTAAGAACGTTCATTTCTAGTTCACTTGATCTCCTCCATCTCGATTTGACTTTAACTGGTTTGTTGTCAGTTTCAGTAACTGGAAGTGGAGTAGCAGATTCTGAAGACTTGTCTGACTGGAGAGTTGGTGATTCTTTATTTTCTTCAAGAGACACTTTGGCTGATTTGACTAAACCGTGGCCTTTTGAGCGCTGTTTTAAAACATTAATTGATTTGATTCTGCTAGAACGCCTCACTTCCTCATTGGGTTCTTTCTTCGGTTTTGGTTTGGCTTTCTTTTTAGGAGGGTTCTTCTTAGGTTCTCGGGGTTTAGGGACCTTCTTATTCGGTTTTGGGGCCTCAATAAGTGGTTTTATGGGTTCTTCAACTTTGTCAACTTCCTGTGGAACAACTTTATCAGTTTCAGGTGTCTCCTCTGTGGTTTCCATTAGTTGAAACGACTCTTCTTTCTTTTCTTCGGGTTTATCTTCGATCTTTGTTTCTTCATGTTTATCATCAATCTTTGTTTCTTCAATATTTGTCGTCTCAGGGGCCGATTCTTCAAGTTTTGCCTCATCAAGCTTCATTTCTTCAACGTTTTCCTCTGTTTTTGTTTCTTCCGGTTTTTCCTGCACTTCGTTATTTGTCTCTGGAGTCTCATGTGTCTCAGTTTCATCGTCAATAATTATAACTTCTGCGTTTTCCACAGCAGGGACAAATTCTTCAGTGATGTACTCATACTCTCCACATCCGTCAATCTCTATCACTTCTTCCACCACACTTTCTTCACTGCTATTTTCATTTTCAATTCCTGATTTTGTCTCGCAAGACTCCTCCACATTGAGGCTTTCAAGCTGTTCCCTGATTTCACAAGTGTCAGTTTCTTCAGGTTCAGTCGTTTCCATGAAATTTGCATCCATTTTGAGGAAAACTTGCTCAATGGGTTCTGTTGGTAAATCCTCTTCGGTGTTTTTATCCATTTCAAGTGGCTCAGAGTCTGTTGACCTAACCTCAATTTTATTTTTTTTCGTTGCAGCTTTCTTGGCTTTAGGGACGGCTTTTCCTTTTTTAACTGCGGCCTTTGTGGTCAATTTCGGTAGTTTTGCCACTTTGGCAACATTTGCTTTGCTGTTTTCGGGATTTGCATCGGTCTTTTTCCCAGACCTAGTTGACATTTTACTTGCTACGAAAGTGACTCGGTTTTGCCCCCCACGCTTCTTCTTCGGTGGCATCATGAATCAACTTTGCGTTATTAAAACCGATTCTACTGCCCTGTACATAAATTTCCTAGTTATTCCCATGCATAAGTAACTAAAAAGGCGTTTTTGAAATATCATTAATTTCTATTAAAGCACACAAATTACCACACTCACAAACTCTCTATTGGTTAATTAGCTTATTAACTCTTTCATTTTCAATTAGAAATGCTGACTTGCTCCTAAACACACACAAACATTATTTATCAACAACACAACCACTGAACATTTAGGGATGTTTGCACGTTTGGAGCTGCTACCACCAACATAACGTAAACACAAAACTTTTGAGTACTACTGCCAGGAAGTATCACTGCTGCCTTTAAATTAAAAAAAAATTAAATATTTCCCATTTTCTTATTTATTTTTTTAAATAATGTCCACTAAAAAACCCAATAAATGATTCGGTTTTTGTATAATGAAAAGCTTTTTTTATTGTCCGCTTACAAATGAAATACAGGGTGTTTCACATAATTTTACGTGGCCTACGCCTGTAAGATGCAATCAATAATACATATTCCGATACGAACTTGATTACAAATTTTGAAAAATTGAATAATCTTCTCTAGTTTGTTCACCCTTTCAAAAATTACAATGTTTTTAGTTAATGATTAAGATAGATAAACTAGAATCATGTTCATGCCATCTCTAGCTAGAAAAATAGCTAATTGTTTCTGAAAAACTGCAGTTTATGACTATTAATGTAATAGTGATTAGTTTGACAACTACTGTCATGGGTTTCCAAAAATTAAATATGTAATTAAAAGTGTATTTTTTGTATCCAGTGTTCTGTGACTTTTGTATATTTTGATGCGTACAGTTGGAGACAAAATACTTGAGTGACATTATTTAATGTCATTATTATATCATGTCATTATTTAATGTCAACAATTTTGTAAAGCATGTTTTAGGACTGTTAACCTTATTTTTACCTACTGTCAATGATAGTTGACAAGTTGTACATATTTTTGATAGAAATATATAATAGCTGTCATTAATTTGAAATTGGCATTCATTTTAACGTTAAAGCTTGAATTACATTAAAGTGTCGACCAAAGTATTTTGTCACCAACTGTACATTAGGCGCAAGCCTCGTAAAGTTATGTGAAACATCCTGTATACAGTAGAAGTCTCGTTGTAGTTCACTTTATAGGGTCCAAAATTTGTATTAATTTATTTTGAACCATCTTTGGAATTAATTAAGTGTCTCATCATTTCTAGTTCCAAAAATTTTAAAATTCTTAGGCAGATCATAAGTAGTTTTAAACTATTACGTGTATTTCTTAACACAGAATTTAAAGTCGGTAATAAATGGGTAGGTATTTTTACAATTTTACAATTACAATTTTTATATCGAGATCAAAATAATTTGTAATCGAGTCATCCTTGAATCCGAAAACGTATGTCTGTAAAACGTCAAATAAAATGACAAGCCGAAAGGTAAAATGACATTATCAAAAAGATGATTTCAATAATTAAATTTAATTTTTCTTAAAAAAGAACGGTCCTATTGTTATATCAGTACGTCTGCGACTAATTCCTGCCCTTTTTTCCGTTTTACCTTTCAACTTATTATGAACAAGGCCGGTCCTACGAAAAAACCTGGTTTTACCTTTCAACTTATTTGACATTTCATGTGCAGTGTTCAAAAATAGACATACGTTTTCAAATTCAAAGACAAATTATCTTGTTTTCTCGATAGAACCTTAAAAATGATGTTCTAAAAACTAACTAAAAATTCCCTCAAACTACACATTCTTACGATTCAAAGCTAAGAAATGATGAAAAGACTCATGACTCAAAAATTTATTAACAACTACAAAATTTGCAACACAATCAATCAAAATAGTCCTCAATATCAATGTTTGGGTTCAAAATGTCGTCCCCATAGGGCCCCAAATCCAACTGATTCAAAATTAAATTCTCGCACATTTCCTCCAAATCGGTATCGCCGATAAGAACAGCCCCTTGCAATTTATTGTCTTCGAGAACGAACTTAATGTATTCCTTCTCCTTGGTCATTCGTAGCAAAATTTCATAATTCCGCCCCAACTTCTGGCCGTTATAAAGCCCCAATAAGATTACTTTATACCCGAAAAGTTTCGTCGAATGTGCAAACATCTCAAAGCAAAAGTCTTGCAATAAAGCCTCGTTTTTGGAATGGGCTGACATGCATTTGGCCGCGTAGCAGCCCATTTGTCTCGCTTGCGTCCACAGCTTCATCTGGAACCAGTGTTTAGCTGGGGGCCAACTGGCGGTGCAAATGTCCCCCGCGGCGTAGACGTCTTTGAGGGAAGTCTGCATGAATTCGTTGACTTGGAGACCCCCATCTTCAGACCTTGCAAATTCGTGTGAAGTCGTAAAGTTTCGACGTGGGAGCACCCCGGTTGCGGAAACGACAAGGTCGCAAGGGATTCTCAAACTGTTGGTTAAAGTGACTTGAATTGGGAAATCGGAGTTTTCCAAAACTTCCACACTTGTGACCTCTGCTTCATAGTGAATCTTCATGTCGGTGTTTGCGGGGGCTTTGCCCCCGGTTATGGACAGGTTTTTGTACCAATCGGGCCCCAAAGCGGCCCCAGACCTGGTGAAGTTGTCCTCGCTGTATCTCATTCTTCTATACACTGGTTCCTGGGGTGATTTTCCTTGGGTTAAAGCGGGTTGGAAAAATTCAGCAGCGCCAGGGTCGACGAAAGTGGCAGAAATGTGTTTATCGCGGACCACCCAATGCACGTCCACATTCCTAATTTTGAAAACTACCTCTGATGCTATGCCCCCGTTTCCGACTACAACAACTTTTTTCGCTGTTTTCAGTCTCTCGACGAAATTTTCAACGGAATCGGTGTCTCTAATCCCAATGATTTGAGGAAATGAGGAAGCTTGCGGGATTAGTTTTGGCTCAGCCCCCATACACAAGCATAAAAACCCGTATTTAATTTTGCTAGAAGACGTGATTACGAAGTGTTCAGTGTCATTGATTTCAGTTAGTTTATCATGGACAACAGTCACATTTAAATATTTATTTGTTAAATAACTTGAATCGGTTTCAGAAATATCAAAATCGGTCAAAGTTCGCGTAATTGCGTGCAAATTTGTAACAGTTTTAATAAGAGATGATTCACTAATTAAAATGATTGTTTTCTCAGGTTCCAAAAACGCTAAAGTTTCTGCACAACTAACGCCAGCAATCCCTCCTCCCACTACAACAAAAGTAGCCTCCATTATTGCCTCAATTCTGGGTAAAACTCAGAGTAATCGTAATGTCTCGGGGGCACATCAAAGGTGATTAGCCCGCTGTCAACAGCCCTTCTTATAGCCACTAGCAATTCCTGATGTTTTCTCTGGCACAACCCTGTTTTGGAATAACTCAAAATACTACCCGTGTGTTGACAAACGAACTGTTTCAGCAATTCAACGTTATTTTCATGTAAAACCAAGTATTCGTCTCGGCAGATTGGACAGGGGTTTCCGCATGAAATTTGCCCCCCGCGAACGCACGTTTTTCGCGTCTTCCGTGGAGGAATGGACCCTTTGTGGTTTCGGCGGTACAGCACCCACACAGGCTGGTCCCCGTATGTTTGTCTGTAAGCAGCGCTTTTTAGATACCTGATACTTGTTTCAACGGGGATGGGTTTTGTGCGGTCTTTGGTTATTTCACGAACTTCCAGTTTTGGTTCTGCAGATGAGACGGCTTCAAATGCATTGAACGCTGCCGATATGGTGAAAGTGCGCTTCCATAAAGGGTTTTCAGCGAAATTTTTCACTAGTAATGAGGAGAACATTGCGGAATCTGAGGTTAGGGCCGGATTCAAATGTCATATTTGTCAACTTGGGACTGCAGGAGTCAAAGTTATAACTGTGCTCATATTTATTTAATTATGTTTCTTTTTTTTCTTAAAACGCAAATTTGTGCAAAACGAATACAGTTTAGTCCCAAATAAATATATAAAAAATTGGTAAAAAAACACCAATTGTTTTATTTTATTACAAAGTTTTTATAATTTAATGCTTTGCTACTTGCATTAGACTTAATAAATATAAACTCAAATAAATGTTGCATTTTGTGGGCAAAATCTTTTTTTTTTAATAATAAATTAGAGTTTTATTGATTCATTTTTAAGTTCACATCCGGCAATGCTGCCAAAATTATCGTAGCGACCTCATAAAAATTAACTAAGATGGTTTAGGGTTTTTACGTTTCTTTCGTTTTAGGTTATTATTTGACCCGATTTTTTTCACATTTTGCCTCTGTTGAATATTTTTTTGGTTTGCTAAAAAAGTGTTTTTAATTTTAAATACTAATTTCAGTATTTTTGAGGCGAGAAACTTGCAAAAAATTGGATAAAAAGTGTAATTTGAATCAAGTGGGCATGCGCGATGTGTTTCACTTCCGCCATTTTATTTATTCCCGTCTCCAACAATCTCAAAATCGATTCATTTCCGCTCAATTCATGGTGGAAAACGTATAGCTTGCATCTTTTAGTGCAAAAATTTTGCGATTTTCTTTGAGAATTTGTCGTAATTCATACCTAATTATAGAGAAATAATAGCGTAAATCATTTTAAATAATCAGATAAGTTGTTTTAAACTAATTCTCATTGTAAAGAAAACGGGTTCGTTCGACGTATGGTAGCCGTAATGGAAGACAGGGCGTTGTCTCCACCAGGATAGATTTTAAGTTAAATTTCTGGTTTATTTATCGAACAATTGTGTCATGCTACGATTGTTTAAGAAGAATTCAGCTGAATTGACTCGATTATAGTGTTTTTATTTGTAGTGCGACAAGTTTTAGGATTTTTGAAAATGGTAAGATGTTAAAGACAATTTGTAATTAATAAAATCTGTTTAATTTAAATTGCGTTTTCATAGTATATGCATTTCTATGTGTATCGTAATTAAAATTCGGCATTAATTTTTTTATCCAATTTTGGTTATTTAGCAGCCATGTTGATGACGTCATCGTTTTCTTGTCTTTGACAATTTTGACAGATGTTTGACATTTCACTAGTTAAAAAAAATATTTTTATTGCAGCCGCGCATCGATCCCTTCCAGCTGTTGAAATGCTTATCAGTCTTGTTGGGTCCTGAAGGGGGCATCCTTTCGCGAGACGAAGTACCACGCCTTGTCAAGTAAGTTAGTTTCTAATTGCATCACATTGCGAAATTGGCATTTTGTTCTTCTAGCTTAATGACTAAGTTTTCGAAAAAATTAGTCAGCAAATGTGTATATATTTTGATACTAAAAAGCACGGAACAATCATTAGTCAATTTGTTTATGGCTGAAGGTGGTTGGAATTTGATACACAATTGGTTACAAGATGCGATACATATCTCAAATTGGGATCTTGTCAAGGAGATCTTGAGCCTACTATTAATTACTCCTGTTGATGTTGAAAGATTGAAGTTGAACAATATCCCAAAATTGGTTAAAAGTTTATCCAAACTTGATGAAGTTAAAGGTAAGACTAGTTGAATTTTTGAGGGTATAATTTTTTAATTTTGGGTTAATTGTTAGGAGTTCAAGAGTTGTCCACTCAACTTGTACACGATTGGTTAGTTATAGTTAAAGGCAATAATAAATCTGAAGATGCTGCGGTAACCCAAGCTGTAGAAGCAATAAAGACTGAAAATGACGCGTCTGGCACGCCTGTTAACTCTGATAACATTGACACTGTAGATAGTTCACAAATAAAAACATCAGATGATCCACCAGATGAAGCAATAGCAACAAATACATTTTATAAAGTTACTGTCCGAGATGGTAAACAGGTAATCAGTAGAACAGCTTCTGTTGACGGCACGAATGAGTCTCCAACAGAAGTAGCTTCTGCTGAACCACCCCCAGAACCGGCTGAAATTAAGAAAGAAATAAAAGAAGAGAAATCTGATGATAAAAAATCAAGCGATAAAAGTAAATCAAAAAGTCGGTCTAGTTCTTCAAAACATAGCTCATCAAGTCGATCAAAAAGCAGTAGTAGTAGCAAAAGCAGCAGTAGTAAAGATAGGCATAAATCTAGCAGTTCTAAAAGTAGTAGTAGGGATAAAGACAGAGATAGGGATAGAGATAAAACGAAAAAAGATCACAAAGCTAATGGAGCTAAAGTCACTACTAGTAAAGATAAAACTGAATCTAAAGAGAAACAAGCGGAGAAAGATAAAGACACTCTTGCCAAGATCAAACCGCAAAGTATTGATAAATTAGGCCGAATTCCCAAAAAGACTGACGACAAAACGAAAGAAAATAAAGAAGTTAAAAAACCCACTATGTCTATTGAGGTCAGGAAAAATGCCGAAGAGCGTCCTAAAACAGTGAAAGTCTTCAATTCAAAGCGGCGTTCAACCGGTTTAGAGGAAGAAGCGAAACCGCCCCCACCTAGACCCACAAAGAAGCCGCCAGTTGTACTACCCAGCATTCCTCAGAAGAGGGCGTCGCCTGTTAAGGAGTTACCAACACCCCCAGAGAAGAAATTTAAAATGGAAATACCGGAACGACCAGGGGCCATTAAACTAATACCCCCAAAACCAAAACGTAAGTTCTACAAGTACTTTTATTTACGTGTTTCTCTTGTTTGCAGGTGTCAAACGGGAGGAATGTACCACAAGCAGCTGTTTTTCTTCTTTGCTGAGTGTCCTTACAGGGAATGGCAGAGCTCCTCATAAATCCCCCAAACTGTTCTTCAATATTATTATTATATTCATTTTTAATTACAGTTTCCGTGTTAAAAATGCACGAAAAATTACGTAAGAGGGTTGTGATTTTTGCGTGCATTTTTGCGTTTTGTTAAGCATTTGTATTAAATACATACCTAATTACCAACTTAGTGATCAGTGTCAGAGATGAAGAATCAAACAAGTGCGTCCGTGTTTTATTTTTCTACTGTAAAATAAGTATATTTATTTTTTTCAATAGGTACGCCGTGTGGTAAGTTCCAATTTGTAAATTCTGTAACATTTTAAAGCAATAAATAAAAAGACCTATCACATATTAAGGTATACAGGCAGGCCCTTTCCTTCCTACGCAACGCTAAATTATCTAAAAAATATTACAAAACCGTGTGCTTGTTCACACAGTTATAATAACCCATATCATTCAGTAAAAAAATACAAATACTGATAAAAGTGAATAGAAGTGCTACCAAAGGGCTTCCACACCAAGGCTACGATACACACGGGGCAAGCATTTGCTCGATTGAAATAAAACGAACAAATTATTTGGTAATTATAAATGATAGGTCGACCGCATGCTAAAAAAAGACCTGTTAAATACACAAATAAGTAAATAATTCAATGACGTAATCTGTTTAGATTGTAATAAGAGCGTATCAAACATCAGAGAGCGCATTTTACTAATTTTGGATTAGATTTTTTGCAGTTCGTCGGGAATCTGCTGGACATCTTCGAAGTTTACGTCTTCCTCAATTCCGCGTGACAGATTCTACCACAGAGGGTCCAGAGTTGTTACGTGCGTAAGTATGGGAAGTCTGTAAACTTCGAGATGAAAGTGCAGTCGACTCGTCAGTTATTTTTATAAAACAATAAAGCTAATTAACACGCAAAAATATCTATCAACATTTGACGGTGTTGGAAAGCCTAAAAAAGGTAGCAAAACCGGTGATTACACTGCGCTTGCGTTGTGTAAACATAGTTACCAAAGGTTTTCAGTGATTCCCAGAAACTCGCACTGTAGCAAAATGAGCTGGATTTAAACTAAAGAACACATAATTCACCACTGAATAACTCGATAAAACCTTCCGCTCTATCATGTTACTGTTTGCTATGTTTTTTATTCAGATAAAACATTCAAGTAACATAATCTTATTAGGTGTGGAATTTTGCCCGGAATTATGCAATTTGTAAAAAACAATTCGTTTCATTTTCTACCCGCTTGGATTAAAAAGGGGTGCAACAATATAATAGCACCTTGACATTCATTAAATATAATAGCAACAATTGTGTAATAGGAGTAATCATTGATTTTCTGAGCGACATTTTCCATGTATACATATTTTTTTTCCTTGATTATTTTAACTTGAAGGACGTTTGGTGAATTTACGAGGACTTTGTCAAAATGTTTTGATTTTATGTTAACAAAATGTTTGAATAAAAATGCATACAACAAAGGATTTTTAATTTTTGATTTGTTTCCAGCGCCTGTGTTGCAAGAAAGCGACATTTTCATGGACGCTCTTGCAGCTTCAGCGACGTCGAAAAAAGAGCCCAAGAAGCGAAAACGACGCCCGAGTGTCACAAAAGACACTCCAAGTTCCCCAACAACGCAAGAGCCCCAAACCCCAACATCTCCCGTCACCTCACCCATCGGTTTGAAAAATATTGCGGCGCCGAACTTTTATCAAGATACGTTACAAACGGAACAAAGTGAAGAAAAAGATGAAAATAAAGAAGAAATTGAACGATCAGGGACTCCGATCGAAGAGGAAGAGCGCCCGAGGACGGAGGGGGGCCTTAAAGGCGTTTTGGTCTACACCAAGAAGAAAGGTCCGAAAAAGTCGGTCAAATTCAACGATAATAATTTAACACAAGTCCGCTTTTTCGAATTGGACGAAACGGAGAGAGTGAATGTGACTAAGAATTTCATGGATATGGCCAAGATGGAGATGACGAGTGAGCGAGAGGCGTTGCAAATGTCACGGAAACTGCCTAACGAGGACATAATGGAGCCCCAAACGATGTGGAGGCTGCCTTACATAATCGATTTACCTGATCCTCTAGCAGCCCCCGGGTGCAAAAGCCTGGAGAAGGACATACAATTCGCTCGCGAAAAGAGTGTCCTTCAAGCCCTCTACTTCGACAAGAGGAAAATTCCGGATAGTCCGGAAGAACCAGTCCCGGAAACGCACCAAATGAGCGACCCCATCAACATTCCACTTGAAGACGCAGATAGCCAAGAAATGGACTTGCGGAACACCCCCTGGCCGGAGCCGAAGGGGTCGCCGCCACCAATGCAGGACAATCTGCCCCCTCAGATATTCTCCAACATGGCGGTGCCTTTCCAAAGCTTCCAGCCCCCAGCATTTCAAGGAATGCCGCCGAGGTTTGGGCCCCAGAACGGGCCGGGTGTTTTTGGGGGTCCTCCTAATATGATGCCGAATGGGAATATGATGGGGCCTCCGCCGGATATGATGCATCAGGGGCCCCTCAACCCTAATGCTTTCGGGCCGGAGAATTTCAATCCGATGATGAATGACAATAATTTCCAAATGCCGTTTAACCCCCCGAATATGGGGATGTTTCCGCCGAATAATTTTAATATGAATAGAGGAAGAGGAGGATTCAGGAGAGGGGGTAACAATGGACCATGGATCAGGATGAATGGTCCCGGAAACTGGAATCGGGGAGGGGGCAGGGGACGTTTGTGTAAAAATGTGAAAAATCATGGATATTGTAGAAATATGGATAAGTGTCCATTTATACATCCTAAATGAGCGACTTTTGAGGGTTTTAATTCGATTTAAGTGTTCTTGTGATATAGATAAGAGTGTAATTATAAACATTTTGTGATTTTTTTAAGTGTAGCCGACTTTTTTGAAGTACAAATTACTTAAACGTAGTTGTGACATATTTGATGAGGATGTTGTCATCCATTTTAATTTATTCAATTGTGATTTAGCGCTAGAATGAATGAGATAATCTGTACAGTACTATATCACCAGTGTAAATAATAATTATTAGGTATATTTTAAATATGTAAAGAGTAAGATTTTGTAAAATACATTTTGATGTTAATTTTTTTCAAACAAAGTTAATATAATGTTAATATTAATACAAATGGATATTTGTTAGTGACATTAATTTTATACCTACATTGCTTTTAAGAGCGATTATTTTCATTTTTTCAAATAAATTTTATAGGCACAGAATTTAACAGTTATGCACGTTTTTCATTATAACAATCTCGACCCATTTAACGCATTAAATTGAGGCCAAAAATAATTATCGAAAATTACGAATTAAAAACTCAAATTTTAGTGTTATGATAAAATATATTGTTCTAAATCTTCATCAGTATGTGGAGAGGATTATTTTTATACATTTATATAAAATAATACAGTGCGATCAAAAAGTCTGTCAATCAAGCAAGCGTAGAAATTTAAAACATGTTTTATGAATAAACACTAATTATTTTAGTTTGTTTTGAGACGTTTCATAGAATAATTCAATTTAATTAGCTCAATGTTTTAATTTTTAGAAAATATTTTTTTGACATCTAGATAACATACGAACTGCCATGCAACATACGTCCTCAACTAGGACACCTACTTGATAGAAAGACTTTTTGATCGCACTGTATAAATAACAGTAAAAATAGTATTATCACACTGCACACTAATGAAAACGAGTTCAAACAAGTGAAAACTTGAAATTAATCTATAAATTATTTACATTAACGCGTGTAAAATTCTTAATCAAAGTGACCAACGCGGAGCTTTTTGCTGAATAATTTGTAAGTTTATGCTTAAGTAGTACATGATCGTTAGACACTAATTATTTGCTACAGAATTTTTTGAAATTTTTTCAATAAGAAACCTGTAACCAGCAATGGCCAAAGATGAGTTATTTTAAACAAAAATTCAGCTTTTAGGTATTTTATAATTTTTAATCAAACAGTGATGAATATGTCTAAATTAGTTATTTTATTTAATTATTTTTTGATTTTATTATATGTATACAATTAAGTACCATGCGGACAAAAAAATAGGACAACAAGGTCATTCTGTTGACCTAAAATGTAAAACGGCCCTTAGATCGTGACCTCATTTTTAATTTAATGTCAACGATGTTCAAGTAATGTTGCTTGTATTTTGGCGCTTTGAAAAACCAAATTTGATGTTAAAGCCTGCTTCACAGTGAACTTTTTGAAAATATCGAAAATCGTCTCCTTTTTTTTACGGCTTGTTAATACGAAACTGAAAATCCTATTCAACAAACATTTTTGTGTGACGTTTTCAGTAAAAGATAATGCTTGTATTTACACTGATAAAACTGATTTACAAGCTTGTTTGGTGTTTTTTTACTAAAAAAATATGCTTACTGTAAAAACAAATCTGCACAATTAGTTTGATTTAATTAAATCACATGATAAGTTTTTTCAACATACATATTCCATCCATTAGAAATTGCGTGATTGGGGATGACCCTTGAGTAGATCATTCATACACGTGAAAGTTTTTCAGTGAACTTTGCCCCAATCCCCATTATTTGTCAATATTTGTACCATATCTGGGGCGAGGTACACCAAAAGTAAAACGGACTGATTTTTTGTTATCTCATGGTATGATTGCCAGACTGCGTGTGATTTATTGCGCAAAAGAGTCGTAGTTTGCGCAAACTCATGTTTTCCAAGCAGTCGCAGAGTCAGCTGTCGCAAGGTAAAGTCTGAATGTGTGTGCGTTTTGTCGTAAAACGAGTCGAATGAGTAGATTTCGTGCAAAAGTTGAGTCAAACTCGAGCTAAAAATGCTTCATTCCATATTGATCTTGTCGAGGTGACAGTAGCTGTGATCAATCATGCGTTTTCTCGTCATTTTTGATAATAAATCTTATTACTAAACGGAGTAAAATTTTGGTGATTTGTGTGTGACCATATAGATACCATGCAGCGTTGGTTCTTCCTCGAGGACCCCAACAACGCCATCCTCCGCGTTGGCAAAGGGGATGATTTGCAACTCCACACTAGTAAGAGCACATCCAAGTTCCCCCCCAGAAAATGGCTGTTTCGAGTGCGGGCCCCCGACTTGAAAAAAGACGAAGTCATGTGCGTCTCGGGGAGTGTCTCGGAGCTGGGCTCCTGGCAATCGGAAAAATGCCTCCCTCTGGAACACGAAGACGACTCTGACATCTGGTCTCTCCCTGTCATGATCCCCGATAAGGTTAACATCCAGTATCGGTTTTGCGTTTGCGTGGTCATCGAAGCGGGGCTCCAGGTGATAGTGCGGAGTTGGGAGGCCCAAATCGCCCCCAGAGTGATCCACGCGACCGAAAAGTCGCCTCTGGCAACGGATGAGCCTTTGAGCTATGGAGACTACGGTAATGTTTGCAGAATTGACAGGGGGTGGCTTAATAAGGAAACGGTGATTCAATTGAAGTTCTGCAATAACCCCTTGACTCTCTGGAGGCCGAAATACAATAATCGGTCGGTTTATATCAAAGTGACTCCTGTGGGACTGCTGCGTCACAACACCAACATCCCTAAGACAATGTCGGAGGCTTTGGAAGAGTCCCTCAGTGCGGATACTCAAGACGCGTTCGAGAACCCCAAACATGCCCTAAGCGAAGTTGCCTCTCTTAATGCCGAAGACTCATCTTTCCACCCCCAACCCCAATTCGGGGAGGAGTATAAAGAAAACGACATGCTCATTTTCCAATGTTCCGTTTTGTTCCCCGCCAACGTGGCTTTTCTCATTGATTTGTACATATACAGTTCGAGACACGACGATGGAGAGCCCCCTCATCATGCCGGATTTAGTTACTTACTCCCCACTGTATTGCAGTCTTCGGAAGGAAGTGTTGTCCTCCCGGTGACGAGCACCAAACACCGGCCTTTGGGCCAAGTCCGGATTGACTATATAGTCGTAAGGCCGATGCCTAATTTCAAATGTGATTTGAGTGTTTCGTATGCGAGACATTGGAAGAAGACGAGGGCTGGGTTGGATGTGGGTCATCGAGGGTCTGGCTCCAGTTTCAAAACGCAGAATTGTGCAGAAGTTAGGGAAAATACCGTCGCCAGTTTGAAGAATGCCATTGATCATGGGGCGGATTTTGTTGAATTTGATGTTCAGTTGAGTAAAGATCTTATTCCTATTGTTTATCACGATTTCCATGTGTGTATTTCGATGAAGAAGAAGAAACAGTTGGATGAGACTGATATGCTGGAGTTACCGGTCAAGGAATTGACTCTGGATCAGTTGCAGTTGTTGAAGGTGAGAAACGGTTTTGAAGTTTTAACAGAAATTGTTGTTATATCTTACTCAACCCGTGTAAAAATTAATCAACCATCTCTCTCGCACAAAATAGCAATTGTTTTTGGAGCAATTTTGTTGGACACTATACAAAAAAATACCAAAATTTAGACAATAAACGATGATGAAAAATGAAAATTCAATTCAACCTTTACTGCACCGGATGGGTTATTTTCGTTAATTTATATTATTTTGGCCAAAAGGCCATAAAAATGAAAATTAACCTAGAGTGCGTTGAATTTCAATCTGACACTTTTGACAGTTGTTGACATTTCGCGTCAATGTGGTTCACACTCTTTAAGAAAATCAAACGAAAACGATAGAAAAACGATGTAAAACCCAGTTAATTTGCACACTGGTCAACTTGAAATAGTTAGGTAGTGATTTGTGAAGTGTTTTTAAGATTATAAAAGCCCAATGTAAAAGAAATTTGGCCAACGAATGTGTAATTTAATTTAATTTTTTAATTTGAGGTTATGACATGAATTTATTATTTCTATCGACATAATAAAAACTAGATTGAACTAACAAAAAATAACAAAAATTGTGAAAATTCAAAAATTGAATTGAACTATAATTAACATAATGATCTACTATTCATTATAACTAGGAAGAGGAATATGCTTAGGATTCTATAAGCTACATGCAAAACCCTCATTACTTTCATTTCATAGAAATTTTTATTTAACTTTTTTACAAGTAGATATTTTATCATTGTTTTTTATTTTGCTGAAGTGATATGTGTTTTATTAGTACTCGTAAGTATGTTGATTTGCTAAAAAGCATTAAATGGGAATTTGATAGCCACTTAATTTGATGGATTTTCTAATCAACTAGGTATGTTGTTCAAACTACAAATAATTACGTCTGTAAACAATAATTAAAATCATCAGAAAATGCGATTACATATTTAATAATAATAAAATAATAGACATAAACTTTTTATTAACTTATATTTTTTTTTGTTTTTAAAACAAAAAATTGAAAAATGAAAAAAATACAATGTCTTTGGAATTTGGATGTTGCGATGGAAGGGATTTAACAAAACAAAAAATACGATATCATCAATTTTATTTCCTGTTGTTTGGTGTTATATTACAGCATATCTAATGAAATTTAAATCCCTTGACATTAGCTTCTTATCGGTTTGTGAAAACATAATTTAGTTCATTATAATCATGTTATTTTTCATGTTAATTTCGTTTTTCGGCTTGACTGTTTAAGTCTGATTTTATAGTTTTTGAATATGAACATGATTTTTTGTGATTATAATTACTCTCCAAATAATTATTAATTAATTATTATTATTTATTTCTGCTCTTGGTGTTTTTCCGGGAAGCGGCGTTTTTCTTTGTTCATACTCGTAATATTTACATTAATAAATCATTATTAAAATTATGCAATTACAAATCAAATCTTGTTCGCAATTATTTAATCGATTATTATTATTACAATGACTTGACCTTCAAATGAAAGCACGTGCAGTAGTTTAAATTTTTTACCAGAAAGTAGATAGGTTTTGGTATCATCACCACCTGTTGTTCGTCTAACTATGAATTATACATATTTCAGTGGGAAGGTACTAATAATTTTTATTTAGTATTTATTTGTACATTATAAGTTTACGACGTTTAAATTAAATTAAAAACTACTAAGTATTATTTTGCTCAAATAAAGTTTCTCATACTAATGAGTTATGAACAAGAGCTTTGTTTACGAAATTTTAGTGATTTTACAAATAAAAATAGAACCAATTACGACTTATTAAATGATTATTGATAAAATAAATATTTTGTGAATTATGTAAGTTAATTTACAGATAATATTTAGTATATATTTTCTACTGTGGCACAGAGAAGTCATCTAAAAATTAAATATAGCGCATATTATAATATTTATTATTATTATTGATGAAAGTTCTGGACTTCTGGAAAAACTGCATTTGATTTAAATACATTTTAGTTTCCCACACATCTAAAATAATATTATATTTAAACAAATATTATTCGGGCACGTGTTGTATATTTTTATAAATTTTTTTTATAAATTTTTATAAAAAATGCAATTTATTTATGTTTAACGTACTGATAATTGCGGTAGACAGAATTTTATCTTTACTAAACTGTAACTGTAAATATGTCTACCATGTGTTCGTGACGTTAACAACACATTATGTAATACCTCACATTAACATTATCATTTTGATCAGAACCTTGAGAACGTGATAATATTTTGCAAAACTACATAATGTAGTTTGAAAATTTTATTCGAATATTTTTAGGAAAAAAATGCTTAATACATAATTGATTTGATCTCTAATAAAATATATTTTTATATTGACAAACTTAAATTTTTGAACTTTCTATTTTTTTTTGTGATTCGAAAGTCGTAACAATTTTGTGTCCCTTTTTTGTCCTCTTTATATCAAAGAGAACGAGTTAATTTTGAGGTCGTTGTATTTGGCTTGTGGAACTTGGACTTGAAAGTGAACACGCGATTTTACCAATGCCAGGTTACATAAATTTAGCTTGGCTCAGTGTTAAGAACTGTTCTTTGCGTCACAGAAACTAATAATATTGGTAAAACAAGTGCAGAGTTTGGGACATTATTATTATTGATAAAAAAATGGAATTTTTGCTTTGACCTTTGAAACGATATTAAAATTTTCGAAGAAATAAATAAAGATTTAAACATATTTTTAGATATACGTATAGTTTTAGGATTTTTTTTAATTAAAAATAGAAAAAAGGCTAATTTGTATGTTTTCTTCTTTAATGTTGTGTGTTTATAATTGCGAAGAATGCGAAGTATAATCTAAGAAATAACAAAATGTTCAATTAATCCTTAAATTTGAAGTATTATTTGAAGGAGTAATTTTTCTCTACTTTACAAGGATTATTGCGAAAAAATTTCGACTTCCTTTGACGATAATAATTTATTCATATTTGTAATCTGTATTTAAAATGACGTGGCTGATTTAATGCATTCTTATCGAAATAATCGTTGCTTGGTAGAGTTCCAGAACATATAATTTTGTATTTTACTTTCATTATCGATCAAAGGTATATTATTTCACTATAGAAACATTTGTGAATAATTTATTGAACCAGGCTGCAAATAACGATTTGTCGTTAATTGAATTAACATTGTATTTAATTGTTTTAAAAGAGAGTAAGACATTCGTGTACCAAAATTTCTCACTAATTTACATTAGTTTGAAATCAGACCTTGAAAATAGGCCAATTTGCATTTTCGTATTGTTTAACATAGTCGTCATCTAATAGTTATCTAATACACTTAAATAATATTAAAATAAATTAAGTTAACACTATGATAATTTGGTAATTTGCGTTCGTGGAGGTTGGGAAGAATTTAATTTTTTTCTTAGTTTTTTTAATGTACAAACTTTAATGTTTAATTATTAATTTAGTGCTTCCACGTAGGTGTACCACCTGAGCGAGGGCAAGACGAAGAATCCTCGTTTCTTCGACGACGACCTCGAAGACCACCAACCCTTTCCGACTCTTCAGCACGTCTTGGAAGTGCTGAATCCACACGTAGGTTTCAACATCGAAATAAAATGGACTATGCAACTCTACGACGGCTCATTCGAATTATACCATCCCACCGACATCAACCTCTACCTGGACACCATCCTCGAAGTGGTTCTTCGCTACGGCGGCGAAAGAAGGATCGTTTTTTCCTGTTTCAATCCTGATATTTGTTCCATGATCAGATTGAAACAGAATAAATATCCTGTTATGTTCTTAACCATAGGCGAAAGTAAAGTTTACGCTCAATATAGAGATCCGAGATGTTGGTCCATTCCGGCAGCCATCCAGTATGCCAATATGATCGAACTTCTTGGAATTAGTGCACATACGGAAGATCTCCTAAGGGACTCATCATTGGTAAGTTGGGTTTTGATAATAATGTATATCTTAAAGCATAATTTGCACGAGTTTTATGAGACACAGTGTAATACTGCTTCTAAACTAGAGCAAAATTTTGAGGCATATCAAACCAAATTCAAATTTTTCCACAAGAACTGAGTATTGTTTTTTGTGTTTAAAGTATTTTAATTTTGTTGTTTGTTTTATCTATTGTTAGGCGATTTGTTTGTAGGTAACTACATAATCTCTATTGTTTCGGCTTAATGGTTTTATTTTGCAAATAATTGTGTAAGTCTTTGTTTAAGTTAAAACTCGAAGTCCATTTTTTATCAAACTTCTTGTAGATTATAGCGATAAAAGAAATTGTTTTATTTCGCACTTAATTAGATTTTCTAAGTGGCAGATTGATTATGAATGATACATCAGTTGAGTTGTTTTTTATCACTTAGTTATCTAAATTGGTTTATTAAATGCTAGTAATAACATGGTGTGTACCACTGTTTGTACAGATGAAAATTGGATATTTTTCCTTAGTTTTTAATTTTATTTAAAATTTAATATTAAACGACAAATTTGTTATTAATTTTCTAAGATTATTACACTTGTTTTTCTTAGTATTTTCCAAATTTGTATACATTTTTTTGTATTAGTTTTAAGGAACATCTTTTCGAGGATTTCTTGTTTTAACTTTAATGTAATTTTTGGATTGTATTCATTATAAAACAGGCTATTTGGAAGTGGTATTCTGTTGTCTAACATTTTGTTAGGTTGTTATTTATACCGGGATATGTCTACTAAAAAAAATCTAAAAAATAACTGAATTTTATTTTTAGCAAATGTTACTCGCATACCTGTGGAAAGCTACTTAGCAGTTTTGCCAACAACATAAATAAAAGTGTACTTGGCAACTGCTCTTGACCTATACAAACTTAGAACACCTAATAAGGAATTGAAAATTTTTGCAGTTTTTTTTCAGTTTTTAGTAGACACGTCTTTTATTTTTTTATTGAAATGTTTGAAAACTGTTCATACATTATACTGGGCGTTTGTAAAACTACAAATACTGCATGCTAGTTTGTTCTTTGAAGAATAATCTAGGACAGGTTTAATGTTTTCTAATAAAAAGTAGGTAATACAAATTATAGAATCAATTGTAGTTGATAAAAAAGTCAAAAACAATAATTTTTGCAACAAAACAAAAGTTTTTGAATTTTTAAGTTACTTATGGAGACATTTTTTGGTGTTTCACCATAGAAATCATAAAAAAAATAATTATGCATACTTCTATTTCAGGAAATATTGCATATTTGTGCATATTTTAGGAAATATTGCATATTTGTGCATATTTTCTTCAAATCACTAATACCCGATTAAAAATTTCAGTTCAAGTTAAAAATTGGACAGTTTATGAAAAATGATCCGATTACAAAATATTTTAAAGAGAAAACCGGTAATTCGTAAGCCAAACTCAAAAAATTAGTACCCTGCTGAATGTTTTCTTTTTAAATTGTATTGAACCAAGCGGTTTTTTTTAAATCATTTGTTTCCAAAAAATAATAATTAATATAAATTACAGTAATATAAAAAATGATTTTATTTTAAGAACAAAATTTTGTTTTGATTTTGAGTTATTTGATTTTTGCTATCTAAATTATATGTAAAAAATAATTTAATACAAAGTAGATAGTTGTAATCTCTCAGATCATAACCTTCATGAAAAGAATGTTTTTTTGGTGGGTTCCCATTTAAAAAAAAATAATATTTTTGTAAAACTCAAAAACAAAGTAACAAAAATTTCGAAAAATTTTATTTTTGATAAAACATCACATTTTTATAGAACTTTATAATTCATCAATTAGTTTTTTCAAAAAATAAATACGTTTGCTTTTTATTGTTCAAAATTTTGCATATCGATGCATATTTTGGCATATATTGGAGCATATTTCTTAATATTTTGTGTATATTTTTGTGAAAAAACGTGCATATATATTCACATAATTTCCGATTTTTTCGTGCATATAATCTGAGCCTTAATTATAATTATTTATTACAAATATGTTTTTATAATAAAGCAGACTTGTCCTACTTTGTTCTGGAAGATTTACAATGGAGCAGGATTCCTGAAAAGCTAAAAAGAAATAGACTGTGAAAATAATACTTGAAAGTGAGAATTCGGAATTTGCGAACGTAAATTTAACTATAATAATCTGTAAAGATAAAACAACTAATGTGAACATTAAACTGTGAATAATTGGAGGAATATGTTTTTTAGATATGCCAATAAACGGTTAATGAAGAACTTGATGCTATTTATATAAAATACAAGGGAATTGTTCAAGACATAACAAGAATCATCGCATAAACAAATTAAGGAGTTTATTTTGTAAGTATCAGGAAAGATTTCTTGGAAACTGTGCAAAAAACTGCGAAAACATCGAAAAAACTGGACAGAGAATGTAGTAAAAAAGTAGTTTACAAAAAAGTGAAAACAGGTCTCATAAACTTGCTAAAAGGGTTGAACAGTATTTTTGTACACTAGGAGGCCGATCAGTTTTTGATTAGTATTTCTTTACAGGTCCAGATGGTGAAGAGGGCGGGTTTGATAATGTTTTGTTGGGGGGATGAGAACGCCGATCCGACGACCCTCAAGATGTTAAAAGAGTTGGGGCTGCATGGCGTCATCTACGACAAAATCTATCAGCTGTCGAGCAAAGAAGTGAAAGAAAGCATTTTCTTGGTTGAAGCACGCGAATCCCAGAAGGATCTAATCAGGCTAGCAGCAGCCGCCGTCGAGTCTCCCACTGTCTCCATAATCAAGGAGCAAGTGTTGGATATAGAAAAAGCCAGACACGAATATGAAGAAAAGAACGTCTCAACTGCAACTTCGCTAGAGAGTTTAGATAGTCGTATGTCTGATTATGAGAAAAATGGGACAGGTTAGGATTTCCGCTTATTTTATTATTCAGTTTATTAGCAAATTTACAAGTATTACCTCAGTTGGGGATGTTTTAAAACAACTAAATTATTGTAGGCAGTATTTATTAAATATGCTACTCTAAGGTTGTGATCATTTTCTTTGTTTACACTAGATTGTAATCAGTTTTTGTGTTTTAAAGCAGGGTTTACAAATACGGTTATTTTTTTAATATGAGCAAGGCTTTTCTCAGCTTTTATTTATTATCACCTCTTTATTATTTCTAAAAGCGAATTATTTTTTTTGCAATACGTGTTTCAATATTGTGATATAATTCTTCCATGATTCACTAAATTTAATCGTAAATATTCCAAACATCGTAATTAATGTCGATTTTGAGCAATGGAAATTAAAGTGGTCATTTTAAATTATATTTCAAGGAATATAACGGAAAATGAAATGGTTCCAAACTGAAAAAAACACGATTATAAATACATTGAGTGTCAAGGAATATAACTGAAAATGAAATGGTTCCAAACTGAAAAAAACAACAAATTGAAAATCTGTAAATAATTAACGCAGGCACTTATTTTAGAAAATTTTTTCATTCACACAGTATGAATTAGAATATAATTATATAGATTAATAGTTTGTGAATCAGCAGTTTATTTTTCATACTAGATTTGTGTATTGTCTCTAAAATTAGTTAGATTAGAATTTTTATAATGTTTCTAATGAAATATTTTTGTGAAATATATCTTTAGACTTTTTAAATTTGCTTGCTTTGTTCGAAAATGACCAAAAACAAATTAAACCATTTCATTCTTTTTCCCTTCTTTGAAATCGAATGATATTTTTACAAATTTGGGCTTTTTTGTACATATTCAACAGAATATCTGCATCGGTTTTGTTCGAAATAAAACTTGTCTTTACTTAGGGACTTCACAAATTCACATATTCGTAACATTTTTAGCCTATTTATAGGAAAGGGCTGTTAGGTGGTTTAGTTTAGGAGCTTTTTAATATTTTAGTGCCAGTTTATGATGCAGGGTGCACAAATTTTTGCAGTTGAGACACAAAGACAAAAAAATGAATGCTTAAATTCTCACAATTTTAAATTGTGTGCCTGCCTAAGGCAAAGCATAGGCTTTGTGAAAAGTCCTGCATTTGTTTGTGCTAAATACACGAAATGTTGAAATTTTTATGACATTTTTGCAATAAAGTTCTAACCACTGTTGTTTTAGTATTTATTTGAGTTTGTAAAATGTGATTTGATTTTTTCTTATTTGTAAATTTTTGTTCCTATGTAATTAACAGGAGACGTAAAGTGATATTTAAGTGCGACCAAGAAGACGTGATGAAGAGTGCCCAATCTCTCAAAATGAATGAAGTTTTGAGCTCAGGAAATAATATACCAAAGTTCTGATACTTGAAGTGATAAATAAATAAATTAAATATTATTTATATTCATAAAGCAAAACGAATAAACTTTTTGCATAATGAAGGAGTTTCTTTTACCCTTCTCATCCCCTGCAACCACTACCATTACCTATTATTTAAAAAAAAAAAATTTTTTTGTCTTTAACGCTGTAGAAGCCTAATGTTTTGAAGAAAGCTAAGTATAAACATGTAATAATTTTCTTCTTACTTTCTTTGACGTTTAAACATGCCAATTCACAAGTGTTTCAAATTTTGCTTGGCCCATTTACTCTCATTAAAATAATTAGTGGAAAAAGATTTCACTAATAATTAAAAATCTTCAGTTTTCTACCAATAACACTGTTATAGCGTGTGTCTACCTAGTTATTAATTGTAATCCATATACCTACTTATTTATCTTCACTTAAAAATACTAATTTGTTATAGTTGCAATATTTTTTAGTTGAGTTTAAGTTGAGATAAGATTTGTATTGATTTTGTGATTATTTTTGTGTCTATTTTGTGATTACGCTTCTCAGGGCAGACTTCCCAATGAAAATCTTCACGGAAGTACTTGTCATATCAGAAAAATAGAACAATGTGAAATATGAGACACAGATCATGCAAGATGCAAGAAACATGAGTTTCGCGTCGTTGGTTCGACATGCACATCTTCCTATAAAATCTGCAACAAAGTGCAAAAACAAATCATTGTAGTGTAGATTGTTAGCAAAACGTCAAACATGTATTACTATGTGACATGGGTGCTATTTCTAAGTGCAGTTGTGCAAAGTTCACAAAATTTCGAAGACAATCTTGTCAAAAGAATGGTAAAGGAGTGTTTGGTCTCACGCAATGCAATCCTATGTTTCGCCAATAAAGCTGCAAAAGCTCTGGAGAGGTCCATGGACTGGAATGTGCATTTTTTTGACGGTGTCACATTTGAGAGAAACAAGGAAAAAGCTCCAGAGAGTGAAGCCAGAGCTCGCACTTACGGCTTCGGCCGATTGTTCAAAGCATTGAACGATTTTTTGAATACACACACGTTGACTTTGGATTTGACCAAAGGGGAAACAGCAGTGGAGGCTCGCGGTGGCGGAGGAGGAGGTGAAGGTGGTGGAGGAGGAGATGAAGGTGGCGGATTTGGAGGATACAAAAACGCCATAAAAAAGGAAAAAAAATACATGCAGTATGCGTTTATGGTACTTCTTGGTATTTTTGGCTTGACTGGACCTTTAATGATGAAAACGTTGGCAATAATGGCGGCGAAGGCACTGCTTGCTAGTAAGACTGCACTTATTATTGTGGGTTCAGTGGCTCTCAAAAAGATTTTTGAAAAGGATCAGGAGAAGACTTCTGTTAAGGTTCATACTGTTAGTGCTCATGATGGCCACGACAGAATCTACATTCCCACTCAGTCAGCACCTTATTGGTCATATCAACCCGATTCTAAACACACGTGACACAAAAATGATTTACTTTATAATTTATTTATTTATTGTTAAGTTAAATAAAAGTTCTTCGATGAAGTTTGTTTTTTATTTTAGTCTACGACACATTGTAATATTTCGTTATTCGTTTAAATAAAAATAGAAATTTGCTCTTAGAAAACTAATTTTTTATGTATTTTTTTCGTTTTATTTTTTTCTACGTAGTTTCCACATGCAGAAATTTTCTTGCATTTTATTCATACGTATAGCACACATAATTCATTAAGTAAAAAATGCGTAACCGTAATTAATTATAAAGTGGTCATTACACTTTTAATGCTAATGTCTTTGATACGGTTTAAAAATTGCGTAATAGCCTATTCTACACGCAATATGAATAATAGAAATCTCGTCTTCAGCTTGTTGAAAATATAATTGGCGAGTCTAGGGTCAAAGTGACACCTGTATTTGACCGTTAGTGTTCCCGAAGGATTCAAAATGTCGCTCACAACACGACGTGGATAACATGTCCTTTAACTTTTAAATAAGGCTCTTTTATTTTTTATTAACACCGATAAGCTATAAAAAGGTATTTTATATGACGTGAGGGTTAAATTTTCCGTATTATGCGGCGTGAATCTTGTATGAACTTCCCCATTTAGCTTTTGAGAAACAAAAAATTGATTAAAATTTAACATGTCTAGTGAAAGATTTAGATTTTGAATGATATTAAAGAATTAAAGTCAAGCAAACAAATAAATAATTCTCTTAACATTACATTCTTTTAATTCAGATAGTTTTTGATAAAGTTATAAGCCGCAAAAATATTGTGCAGCGTTTACAGAAAAGCATACACCACTCCAAAAATTAAAGAAACAAAAAATTTTCTTAAATTTGTATCTCATCGAAAAATGGTCGTGTCTAGATTTAAAAAAAAAAACATTTTGAAGCTTTAAGTTTCTATTTTTGAGGTTTTCTGGCAAAAATTTAGATTTTTTTTCTCGCGCTATTATGCGTGATAACCGTAGCACAGAAAAAATGGCTACTAAAAATTTCAAAATAGAAACTTAAAGCTTTAAAATAGTTTTTTTTTAAATATAGACATGACCATTTTTCGGTGTCCGGTCAATTGTTCGAACAGCATATTGATCGAACGTCAATTTTTCGAAAACTGATTGTTCGAAAAGTCATTTGTGTAGGCAAGTTACATTTAGAAAAAAAAAACATTGTTAGAAAAATTTCTTTGTAGGCGCAATACAGAAGAAAGTAGGAATGATTAAAACAACAATATTTATTTGTTGGGTGTTGAAATCGTTGAAATAAAATTTATATTATATTTCTAATACTAGTCAATGGTTAAATTAATTATTAAGTTACATAAAAAAAAACATAAATTTATACAAAAATAAGAACTTTCATCTCAGCTCCGATCTTCTGTAGCTCAGTTATTATTTAAGTGGGAATTTTGATATTTTGTAGACTTTATTTATATTCTAGAGCGCATTTCAGGAAAATATTATTGTTTATACTGGGTGGCCCAAAACTAAGTTAAATACAAACTTATGTTTTTTTTTAATGAAACACCATATATTTCTTGGCATTTTTGAATGTAACTTTTAATTTCAGTGTTTTGAAACTAAACTTCTATTAGTCGACTTTACTTAGTTTTTGAAGTAAGTTTTTTTTTTCACAAAAACATTCTCTTTTTAAAAATTTATTATACGAAAAGTTAAGACAGCTGGAAAAAAAAATACCATTGTAAAGAGGAAAGTATGAACTTTGAGACTATAATATTTTTTTAATGTATTGCAGTCGAAATATTAAAAAAATAATATAAAAAATTCAAATGGAACACCCTTTTTTTATTTTTGCATCTCAGACTGATAAATTGTCGATCTAAAAAAATAAACTTTTGATGTCTAGAATTGATAAATTAAAAGATATTTAATTTTAAATATTAATTTTTCTCAACAAAGACTATGTATGCATTTTCTTTAATTTTTGATAATTATGAAACAATTGACAAGTATTAAAAATATGGAAGACGTAAGAGCTGATCCTCCTCCCGGTTTCTTCTGGATTGCGCCTACGAAGAAATTTTTCTAATACGCTCTTTTAAAACAAACTTGTTTTTGTTAAATGTTGTTTGCCTACATAATGATTTTTCAAACAATCAGTTTTCGAAAAATTCGCGTACGATCAATATGCTGTACGAACAATTTGCTTTCGAACAATTGTCCGTAACTCCCATTTTTGTATGAAAATTTTTTGTTTCTTTAATTTTTTTGGAGTAGTGTATTTAACAAATTTTTTGCTTTTGCTTTTTTTAATTTTCATGGAAATAACATATACTGGGTGTTGCATCGCAATCTTTCCAGGGCAGAAGCCTCTTTTTGAGGTGATTGGTTTGGGAAAATATTTTTTGTTTTTGTGGAGATGTGTTTTGGTGCTCTCCCATTAGGTTGATAGATGTGTTTGTCTGAGGGCGTATAATGGGCGAAATTAGATTATAGAAGGGACAGTGGTCATCGTCGATAATTCTCCAGAATGGCACCTATGAGGAATCCACTAGGCCGTATATTCGAATCAGACTAATTGATCCTGAGTAAGCCGGTCAGGCATCAGAAATGAGCGCAATGAAAACCCACAGATGGCAGAGCACTGGCGGATTGTGTAATTCCGATGGAACGTAATTCTGTTGGAAAATTGGTGGCCGCATACGCACGTGCAAACTCCGAAGGGATTGAACAAAACCGCGCAACTGGAAATTATATTAAAGTGTTCTATCTACGTGTTATATCTAACTGCGAATCATCTCCCACCGGCTTACTGCACAAAACAAAGTTACATTTCGTCGGCACAAATTAAATTTTAACAGAACGTAATTGAACGCTGAATGGCGCTTTATACGTTCTCTGCATTCCACTTATTTTCGGCTTAATACAGACACCGCAAATGAATAGGCCCGTCATGTTCCACCAACAACAAATTCATACCGACCCGAAATACACAAAAGACACACATTCTCGACGGCTTTTTCACGTGATGCAATCTTCAACTTTTCAAACTTCCAAAGAGGTAAAAAAGTCACCAAACAACTTACTGGCCAACATTTTTTTACCACTACTAAAATTTGACTAATGCAAGAAGAACTTCACAAAAAGAAATCAATTCATATTGCTTTTTTACACTCATAAAAGAAAATTTGATGGAAATATATTTTATTTATAACTTGTTTACTCATAATAGTATATTAAAGAACAAGTTTTATAAGGGTTGATTTGGCGCACGAATCCCAAGTTAGAAAACGAGCCGTAGGCGAGTTTTCTATGGGATGAGTGCGCCAATGCCATTATAGAACGAGTATTTTATGTTATTTTTTCTAAATTCTAAATATATATTTTTGTCGCCTAGAGAATTTTGTGTTAGTTGGTATCGTTTGGTAACACTCGGCGCCCACCTGTTTTTTTGAGTCATTTCTGCCGTCTGTCATTCAAAATAAAATTTACAAATTATTAGTATTACAACATAATAATAATAAATAAAATATGAGAAACAGAATTTAGTTTGCACTCCGCCCGAAATTCGCGAAATTGCCGAAGCTACAACGTAAAATTTGTTACCTGACAAGTCAGAAGCGGCATCCAAAAACTAAATATCCCTAAATTCATTAAAGCACAGTGAAAATTAGAAAAAAGAGTTTTATGCAGAATCTCTTGTTTATAAAAATATTGAAAACTGACTAGTGGCCAGACTAGTGGGTTTTGTATAATTATCACATTTGGAAATGGTGTTTTCAGAAATCGGGTTTTTGAAACGACCAGTTTTTTAAATTTTGTTGAAGAAGAAGATAAATTTCGGCTTGATTAGAACAAAGAACAAGAAGTATTCTTTTCGTGTCTTACTGGGCAATAAATATATTGTATTTTTCTTTTTAATGTATTTAGTGTAACAAAGGAGACAGTAAAATACAATTTTTGTGTTCTTGCATTTATTAATTGGATAAAAAACTCATGTGTTACATGTATACATATATACAGGGTGATTTTATTATTTGTGCAGAAATTTTAAGAGGTGATAGTAGAGGGCAAAAGATGCAAAAATACTTGTCTTCTCTGAATGTTTATAGTTCTTTAGTCGCTGAATAAATTTAGCGCGCAGTCTTAAAGTTTACCAATAAAAATTGTGGGCAAATATGATTTCTAAGATTATTTCATTCTAAGATTATTATTTTTTTTTTTTAAATAAGTTATAATTAGCAAAATCAGCCACAGAAAAAAGTGTCTTTATATTAAAAAAATGATTTTTTTTGTGGAAGACTAGGATACTACCGAATTTCATTACCACAAATGTCACCGCTAGGTACTATCAATGTAAACTATGAAGTAAAGTACTCAAAAGAAGCAAACTGTTTATATTACATTTTTTGACGAATTTTCGACGCTAAAATGGAGAATTATTGAATAAAAAGTATGGAATCAAACGTTTTTTGCTTAAACTATTTATTTTTTAGGAAAACTAATTGATGAATGATAAAGTATTATAAAAATGTGATGTTTTATCAAGAATAAAAATTTTCGAATTTTGCTTTTAGTTCTACATTTTTTTTAAATGGCATACTATGAATAAAAAGTATGGAACCAAACATTTTTTGCTTAAACTATTTCTTATATATGATAAAGTTATGATGTTATGAAGGTTATGATCTATGTATTACAACTAAAGTTTGTTTTTTTTAAATGGAAATGCCAAACAGTCTTAACGTTAGCACCACTAGTAAATTCATGTATGGTAATTTAAAAAAAAGGAAGTTGGCAGTTCTGTTTTTTTGAATTAATTTGAAAACAATGTCATTAAATGTAAACACAAAAAATCGTGTAAGAAAATTTAGAGACGAAACACCGAAAAAAGAACAAATTCAGTTTTTAGAAATTTGGAAACGAATAGTTCGCAAGCAGGAAGTCAGAAAAAGGGCCCGTTAAAATGTAGACGCAATTTGTAATGCAGGTTTGCTAAACATTCTCAATTTTTATCAAAAAATTGCCAAGAATACAAAATAAACACGAATGAGAAAGAACCTCGGAAAGAACGCAATTAAATTAGTGTCTTGTGCATCGTTTTTGAGGAACAAGTTGAAAAAGTAACAATTTTGAAACTAAAGCTGAAGAAGAATTTATAAAATGCATCAACTTTAAGCTTATTTCAATACATTACACAAAATTTATTGTCAATCATCATAATACCTACTTGTATCTTTTGCTAAATAACTTTTTTCTGTATATACCAAAGTTTTTGTAGCAAGAACCTCATTTTTACTTACTTGTTGTTTCTATTAAAATTATTAGCACTCAATTCTGTCTTTAGACCTTAAGTAATTATGTCACAGTATTCAATTATAGCGCTTTCAAAGAGCAAACATGCACACAAAATTCATAAAAGTCAAAATTTTGACAACATCTCAATTTGAAAACATGACCATAATTTTTTAACAAAATTTCTAGGGATAAAAACAAACAAAATTTGTGGCTATGGAGACAAGCTGCTAGCATTTTTTTCACCAAAATTTTGACTTGTTAATTTAAAGAAAAAACAGACTATCTACTGTAAATTTTTCAATTTTTTTTTTATATAAATTGCAATTTTGAAAAAAAAATCGCACAATTCAAAAACAAAACAAAATTGTATTTATTAAAAAAGGTAAGTGGTTACATTTAGCCTACACAAATAAGTCGACATTGTTAAAAACATCTAATGAGAGAGCAGTAAGTAGTAGGTGGTCCAAACTTGACTTTTGTTGGACTTTCTAAAAACTAATTATAAACTTGTTGTTGAATTTTATTAGATAAAAGAATAGTTTATTACAAGAAATACTTAAAAATCTATTCAAGAGGCAACCTTTGTTAAGTCAAGAATTTCTGATAACTTTGTAGACCTTAATGATCTTATAAAAAAGTGTAATAATAAGTTTACTGAACTTGAAAACCTTGTGCCTTTTATTGACTGATGATTTCATATTTGAAAAACCTGATCTATTTTTTTACTTTTGGTGTTGAATAAACTATCGAAAATTATTAATAAACTTAGACACGTTGACTTTGTTGAAAAGTGCTTGGAAGCAAATTCTGTGAAGTTTAGTTTTTTGACCTTTTGGCCGATTTGTAACCTAGATAGTACGGTGTGTCCGTTGTCACTCAAATAGCGACGGCGTGATCTGGCACGTGGTGGAGCAGCGACGCCGCTCGTCGCCAGCCTATTGATTACAGTGTGCATGCTAATGCCGCGAGAACAGTACGCCTCTGGTGTAGGGTGCAGCACCCCGAGCGTCGGCGACGTCCTCATCGCCCTTCTTATGGTAAGTTTCACATCTCGTATTGTTCTGCTGTATTCCCGACGCCCGCTGACGCTGTTATGAACGCCGTCCAATGACGATATACAATATGATATGAGACTCACGTGTGTATTGATCGTTGCGCCGACGCCACCGACGCTCTCGACGACGCTGCCCGACCAACCGCCGCCCGATATTATTTCATATTTGACTCGATTGGCGACCTAGGGGGCTCTACTGACCAATCCAAGCCGACTTATGATATTTCATAAGTTCCAGATATGATTGGTGGGCACCGCCCCTACGTCATAATTCAGCGTCGCGACGCCATCGCTTCTACGTACGGTCTGACGTCAACATCTAAGCATTTAATTACATGAGTTACTCAATAATCATTAATTATAAATAAATAGCATTATCTACTTCAGTTTTTATTTTCTATATCTGATCGTACTTAAATTAGGATGTTTGTAGTGGGGAATTTTCATTTTAAGTTAAACGAACTCATTTTCCCTTTCGGTGCTATATGTGGATGTTTGTAATAAACGTAAGTAAACTTGTCGAAACCACTTAACATCTCCTTCGCCTGGCACCTTAAGGTCCCAAAGGAGATGACAAAGCTAGAGAAAAATGGACTGCTTTAGATACGATGTCCAGTCAAAGGAATTGTTCGAGATGGACTGGATCTACGATGTTGATATTGCATTTCTCATTCTTTATAATGCAACAGGAGAATGTCCTGCTGGAATCGAATTGTTACAAAGGACCGTACTGGGGATATCTGAACTTAGTTGAAGTTTATTGGAATGTTTATCTAATGCTTTTGGAATAATTAACGTTGACTGCCTTTTGATTTTTTTTAATGAAAATTTTGTTTGTTCCAAGAATAAATCAAATAAATAGGTTTTTTTTATTATTAACATTTTCACATATAATTAGAGTTTGCAAAAAAACTTTAATTTACAAAATTTTGATAAATCATGCTTAAACTTTTTTTCTAACATTTTTAATACTGATATTACTAAAACAAGGGTTTGCTCTGTTGTGTACTTATTTGACACAATTATACTAATTTCACTTTTTTGTACTTTTTTTTCAAAAAAATTTTTTTGGAGATTTCGTTTTCAAATTTCTGAAATTTTAAGATTTGAACTTTGTAGATCAAATTTTAATTTTAATATAATTTTTAAAATTAGCATAAAAAATTATGAAGTAATAAAAAACTATCCGATACCATCGGTTTGTTGCATAGTCTTAATATTATTTTTGCAGAAAATGTATTTATGTCGTAGGCTAATTGTAAATTCAGTCGTTTTATAAAACGCCTAGTCATTTTGAAAACGACTGAGCAAATTGTAAATGTATGAATAAATAAATTTTATGTGTATTATAAAAAGCCTAATAAGGTTTAGTCTTATTGTAAAATGTTTTTAAATACATATTCTCCATTTAGAAAATGACTGATTACATTCAGTCGTTTTGTAAAAGACTGAAAAATATTATTTTATAATATTTACAATTTCTATTGTAGTTAGATAATCTTTTAAAAAAACAAAGTCAAATGTTAAACGTTTTTAATGATACAAAAAAGAAGCATAAAGATTTGTCAACAAAAAATTACTACCTAGGATTTGAATTTTTAGGAAAATTACGTTTTTCATGTTGTTTGTAACTAGAATTTTCAGAAGTAATTTTGAATGCCTAGTGTTGGTTACCCCTTGTTGTTGACGGTTGACGTTTTCTGTCAACCTGCTGTCAAGTATTCTATACAAACTGACAGGTGACTTAACCTAAATTTTTGACACTAGTTACGATATCTTTTGTTTGTCACTAAAAACCAGCCTAACCAAATCTATGGCAACCTATTCACGAATATCTCTAAATCCTAGGGAGTAATTTATTGTTGATACGATATTTCAAGAAAACAAATAAATTTTCTTAACAGTTTCATCATACAGTTGTGGAATTAGGAAGTAGAAAGGGGACGCAGTACGAAACAATTGGTAAAAATCGGTCGCACCGTTCGGCCGCAAAATTATACGGTTGAAGATACAATAAATTCATGGGGATACAAATTATTTAGAATTATGAAATGTACCTTATTAAACAGTAAAATGTGATAAAATAATAATAATAATTCGTAAAATAATAATAATGTAACTAAAAAAAAAACTGCACCCCAGACTCGAACCCGCGACAACTATTTCGCGTGTAATCCGGCAGTTGGCACGCAATTTTTTTCCAAATAAGTAGGATAAGGAAAGTAGTGTGATGTTCACACCAGATTTTTACTCTTGTCATGTTTATGTCATTTTGACTTATTTACTTTCAAAAATATTGATTTGTGGCATAATAACGGGTAGGCAGCAGATCAAAGCGATGATTTAATTTAGTTACACTTAGTTGAATTAATATAAATTTCCTAAGACAGACAAATTGTTTAATCAACAATTTTAACAACAAAAAAAGTTTAATTGTCAAATGTCAGTCATGATGACAGTAAGAGGTAGTTTACACTGAACTTTTTAAAGTTAATGTGTGACGCTGGTTTGTTTCAGTCATATTATAAATTAATCATACGTACTTTATAATAAGACGAAAACTTATTAGGTTTTTTATAATACTCCTAAAATTTTCCGTCATATTGTAAAAACTCTGCATTTATTCATTCATTTACAATTTGTCCAGTCGTTCTCAAAATGACTAGGCGTTTTATAAAACAACTGAATTTATCAATTTATAGTGAGTTTTAATCATCTGCATTTTTGTAATAAACCGCTTGTGAAGATATACAGGGTGTTAAAAAATATTTAAGGTCATAGTATGGACCAAAATAAACAAAAAAGTGTCAATAAATATGGCAAAGTAACGGTTTCGGAGATATCGAATGTGAAAATTTTTACTAGAAGCTTCTCGTTTTTGTTTGAAGGGATTGCAAATAAATGTTTCAAAAAACGGATAATTTTTTTGTTTTGTTTTGGTCTTCCTGAAATGTTTTACAATCTTTTTTTAACACTCTGTATAGGTCAAGGGAGTCTGGTTAGGTCAGGGCATTTTTTATTGATGTAGTTTAAAAGAAATAAATCTGTTTTTTTTTTTCTACTTTGTCTTTTTAGTTTCTATTTGAAAATTGAAATATCTACATCTGTCAAACTATTACTGATGCCTATTCAATTCTTTTTATATCTACATATGATATTTTATAGTAATTCTAGATTTCTGGTAGTGAACATAGAGTTTTCAAGTAACAGAACTGTTGGATCTGCTGTATGATGGATCTCTCTGAGTTTGATAGAGCCTTGCAGAAATCGGTTTTCGAATTGCGGCTGAGGCAAACAAGCTCCCGTCTTCCAAGAGTTTGTTTTCGAAGCCGGTCCTGTCCAGCGTTGGGTGTTGGGTGCTTCGTCCATTCCCCATCACCCCTGGGAAAGCGATGCGTGTGTGCACTGCCAAGTGTTTGCTCAAAGATGTTATTGATTTTCAAGTTGTGCGGGCGCTGTCCTGTCCGGCAACGGCAGCTCGGCCAGGCTCCATCAGCGCGCTAAATTGAAATCTTTCAGATGTGTGCCGCTGTGAGGCTTTGTGTCGCCCCAAGCTCCGTGCTCCCAACTCCCTGTCCTCACTCCCAACAGTAAATATCGTTTCTCTTCCATAATGAGGTCCGGCGCTGTCCGGCCGAATGCGCGCGCGCCCTTCTCGCGACTTCAGACGCAAAAATTCAATATTAATATCGGTGGGTGCGAGAGTTGGGGCGGAGTGAAGAAGTCCGCATTGCGCCACGTTCGCCAATGGCAAGACGGCCGACCCCGCGAGCTATGAATATGATGAATTTATGGAAGTAATAAGCGCCACTGCGGCCATTGGCTGGCGCAAGGGGGCTCCACGGAGGCCTCGCGGCCGCTCGCACCTCGCTGGCTTTGCCAGACACGACGCGGGGCGGGTGCTCTTCCCACTGGCACGCTGGGAGACCTTAGACCATGAGCCAGGATCTGTACAGGGTGCTGCATTTTGGATGTTCGAATAGGGAATCTCCGAAACTAAGAGGTTTAGCCAAAAACGAGTAATACATTCCGCATCCCGCTATCGTCTTTTATAGACAAAAATTGACGTTTTAGCGAAATCTAAAAAATTCATATCTTCGTTATTATAGAAGACACAGATTTGAAATAAAGACATTATACAGGCACTTTTTTACATAGAATTTAATAATGTAGTTAACAATTTTTTTCAGTTGTTTGTTTAGCCGTAATAAAATAAACTTTTATTTTTTTAAATGGGAATCATAGATGGCTATGTCATTTTTAAAAAGCTTGTTTTTTTCTTATCTAAAAAATATATATTTGTAACAAATTATTATAATACATTTTTAGCAAAAAATTATCTTTGACTTTTGTTCGCAGTTGGCCATGAAAAAATGTTGCATCTTCAACTAAAAGGATTTAAACTATATTATATTCAACCAGTGTCACTAATGAAAGAGTTTTTTAAGTACTAAGTGATGAAAAAGATGCAAAATAAATTGTAAATCAACTTATTGGCAACTAATAACATTTCTTTGTTTTTAAACAAGCTAACATTACCATTGCAACTTCTAGTGATACATAGAGTGTTGTAAAAAAAAGCAGCTTTAATTCTTCAATAAAATATATTTTATATGACACAAAAATGACGATATGGCTATTCAAATACCCAAATTCCGTCTATGTGAAACGTTATCCTACCTCCATTAGATCATCAAAAAAAAATGTTTTTTCTAATTGTGTTGACTGTTGACACATTTGTTTTTCCTATTTTTGGATTTTTTAAAAATATGTAATAATTTTGTTCTGAGGCGCTCGGATATTTGTTCAWTGCTTCTACCGTATCGTATTTTTTAAATCTTTATAATTTTATCTATTTTTTCATCTATTTTACAATTCACAAAACTCATATTGATTATTATTTACACATTTGGAGTGAAATAGTTTTTCCATGACCAATTATTATCACACAAAATATGTATTTCACTTTTTAAGTATAGTTAT